ATATTTACATCCGCGTACTCCGGAGAAGCCACATTACTGGCTGTGGACATCCATATGCATACAAAATATCAATGGCCTCGATCCCTCTATGCAAAGTACTTCACTGCCGAAAATAAGAAAACCAACCGTCTCATCTAAACCTCGGTGAAGGAGAAATCTCAATAATTCATCACATGCTTTCTTAAGATTCATACAGTATGGACTCGACTAGTCCTTGGCCCTACCCACTCCGTACGTAGTTCTGCACGGATAAGATCCGTTACCAGCCCCACATCTTTGGGCATCAGGGCATCGGACCATCGGTCTCGTGTGATTTTGCCTGGAATGGGTGCCTTCGCGTGCCCGTCCGCGCATTGCAGACACACAGCCTTGAAGGATGGAGCAAACCTGCAATTGTCAGCACTACTGTAGGCAACGGAGTAATAATTGGAGAGGTTGGATTCCAGCAATTGGCATCGGTTGTAAATTGACGAGGCGCTTTTCGCGCGATAAGACAAGCAAACGGACTTTTGAGACAAAATACTCGGAGACTCAGAGTTCACGGGTTGAGCCGTCTTTTCCTGTGTGTATGCGTATACTCCGTATTAGGGTGGGTATGGAGTGGTATCCATGAATGTTTCATTTAGCACTGATCGCTATTGCTCTGTGCTCTCATCCGTATTCTTATCTCGAGATAGAGATAGAAGCTCGAAATTGAAAAGTTGAAAGAACTCCTCGGAGCTTATGATCGACATTAGCCACAATCTATCAGTACCATTCCCATCGAGGTAACCTGTGTTATCTCGAGTCCCCTAACTCCAGACTCTTTGCAAGTGGACTCCCCGACTCCCAGCAGACTACCGACATTATCTGATCCTCCTCGGACCAGCTCCTCGATAAAACCTGGCCCGAGCTCCCTTCCCTAAACACCCGCAATCACGTCCCACGGTTCAATCCCGACCGGAGCACGGAGATGTCTCCCAATTCAAGAGCGACCACCGCAGATCACACTCCTCCGGAAGTATCGGAGGGGCAGAAGGATCTCCTCGCCCCCGCCTTGTAGTAAAGTAATACGCCTATGATCATACCGGCTGGTTCCTGATGCGCCTAGCTCTGTGATAATGCGGAGAGGGCTTGCATTAACTTACCCCCAGGCATCCTGCGCCTATTGGATCGCCTTCGTGATCGTGTCGGAGGTTTTTTTTTGTCGCTCCTTCGTGCTGACAGGCGTCGGGGGGTTTGAGAACATGTGACTGGAGGGGAATGCGTTGATGGGGAGGAAGCGATTTGCGTGTGAATATTCGGAACTGGCCTGGCAACTGCAGTATCACCGAGTTTTTGCAGGGCTGGATAGTGGTTGGTTGATTGGGGTGGGAGGGGTGGTTGGTGATAGTGATACCGGTTGATCTAGTTTTGGTTCTTGTTTGTGGTAGGATATTGTTTTGACTGTATGGGATAATAGTGATTAGTTTGGATAACTTCATATATACATTTCGCACGGAGTGCCTTGAATGACGGAATTAATTAAGCAGGGGTTCAAGCAATAGAGCATGGCTCCGAGGTCTTTTCTTTGTTGTTAGCTCGAAGCTCGCCGAGCTTGCCCATCAAGTCTAGACCGATGACGGAACGAAGCGCTTTCCCTCTCCATAATGGATCATGTCGCAAATTTAAGACCTCGATCAAGTCGGAGTATATGGAAGCAATTGCACCAAAGATGGGAGCTTTCCCCGTCTGTTCACAATTCAAGCTCGTGGATGGAGCTCTCTCCACTGTTACGCTCTGGTCACTTTGTGATCCAAGTACTGAAAAGTTGAGCCATCAAACCTCCGTAACTACTCCGTAGTGAACCACGGAAGAATTTGCTACTCGATGCTACGCACTATATTTTGGGGCGACTTGAGAAACAAAAGTACCACCAAGTCAATCACTAAGCGGATGTTTCCTACCAGTCACCCCCCAAATTTTCACCGGAGAGACAAAGTCCCGAAATAGAGAGAGAGAGGCAACTTAGACTGGACCAGGCCAGACCCTGACCATTCCGTAGCGAGTAATTCGGTCCTTTCCATCCGATATCCATAGTGCATCCATCGCATCCCTCGGTACCGTCTTTCATCCTTGACTATGGAGGAGAACCGTCTCAGGTCTTAGACATGGGTCCACGTCAAAACAAAAAGAGACTAGAAAGAGATTTTCCCGGCGAATCCACCCACCAACAGCAGCATCTGCACCGTACACCGGCTACATTAACTATTAACGATGGGCCCGTCCATGCGGACTGTCGGACGGCCTACAGTATGGAGAACGGAGGATACTGTATGACCCCCATGCACGGCGCGGGTGGCTCTACAATAATGGGGCCCGCTGACCGTGACGTTTGACCGTTTCCGATGAGCCTTGCGATAGCTCGAATCTCCCAGCCGACGCGTTTGTGGATCCCGCGTCTGCCAACGCGAACTTGCGTTGGTCACTGTTGGTTCTTTTTATGGGCGGTCCTCGCAATCCTATCGACGATTCTGGACTAAGGCAGTGGTCACTGGATGCCACCGCCCCACGCGGGATGAAGGGGGGAGGGGTAGGTTAGAAGGCAAACAAAGAAAATGGGTTGGAATGGGGCGAGCTAAAGATGGAGGCTACTCGATGCGCTTGTGGCGATGGGGCGAACGGGATCTGGTTCTCTAAGTCTACGGAGTACAGACCGGGAGGAGTTGAACTAGTTACTAGTATGGAGTTACTGTAGTATCTGTATCTTGGTAAAAGATTTCGAGGAAACTGGAATACTTGGGGCCCGAGGACAAAGTCCTCTGGTACCGAAGTTGCTCGGTCGACATATCTGATATATTACATCTCCCGGCCTCAGGACTAAACGGCGTGCCAAAATAAATTGGGAGGCGGCAAAAGCACTAAAAGAGACTTTTATTTTTTTGGCTGCTGTCACTTAGGGGACGGTCGCTGCGCTGTCGATCCCCGGAGGATAGTTGACAGGCAACGTGAGAAGAGCCAAGGCAAGACTAGCTTGACTCGTTAGGGTCATGTACGAGGTAGAAACTAGCAATCTAGAAATAAGAAAAGAAAAAAAAGACGGTAAGTACCTTTCGAAAAAAAAGGTGACTGATCGAGTCCGCCCGTGTTTGGCCCTCGCTGCAGGCTCCAGCACACACGGCCAGTGCATTTAAGACAGGACCGGGTTTCCCCCCACAGAATTGATTTTGGAAGGGATTTTTGATTCGTGCGGTATCGCGGGTGGCTTGGTGGTTTTTCGGAGTGGACCAATTAGGAGGTGATTTAATATGGGTTTTTGAGTTGGTGAGGTCTGGACCGGGAAACGTTCGGCAGATGTAAGGTGGATTTTGGGGAGAAAAGGAGAAGGATTTATTGAGTGTACTGTTTATGGAGGACTTGGTATGGTTTGTATTATTGGGTGTGTATGTCTGTATAGGTAGTAAAGTACTTCTGTTGGATCTTGGAAGAAGGTCCTTTGAAATCATTATGTAGTATCCAAGGAGCCTTACAAGAAAGAAAGAAGCAAGTACAATATGCATCCATGTCTACGGAATACAGTCCATGGTACCGTGGCCCGTTCATAGTAGATAGCACGGGGCAAGCTTATAATTCCTTTTTGCTCCGTGCTACCTTATCTTCTTCGACGTGGGCTATGTCCTTACTATGATAGGCACTCCGGGTTGCTTTTTTGCTTCTTGGTTTCCAGAAGCAATATATGATTTCGGGCCACCCAGAAGGACGGGAGGTTATGCTATCGGGGTAGGGGAAGTCGACAAGATAGACGGAGATGAGACTATTTGCCTTCCAGTTATGGGAGTACTGGATACAGACTATGTACGGATGAACGGGAATGGTATTATTAGGGTACTCCGTACTGACGTTCCAAAAGTACGTATGCTCTGTAATCGTACCTTTGGAAAGAAGGCACTACTATACACTAGCGTAATGTATTTCTTCCCCCTAGTGGCATCAATTTACGTCAATTACGGGGCCAATACCGGCCAGTGGAGCTTGCATGGATCGTCCCGATCGAGTCCCAGAAGAATCAACTGGGTCCTCGACTCCAGAGAAGCTCTTTCTTATTATTCCACCCTCCTCCCTTTTTCCCTTCAGTCCTTCTTTTGACCCTTTAGCATATTCGTCCTTGAGGGGAAAAAGATTCAGACCTCTTAATTGATTTCTGATTCCATTGCGCCCTCCCCGGTGGCAATTATAACGGACTGTATTCTTCATCCCTTTTTTTACAACCCCTCGCCGCCCTTGCGTTAAGGTTCCAAGCAATAAGGGATTCCCAGCTTCGTCATCTAATTTTTACTGCAAGTCAGTTGGCCTGTCCTTGCTGCGACCTTCGTCATTAGGGCTCGACCATTATTGAGGCTCCCCTGGCAGGTTGTGTTGTGCATTATTCCCAACCTCGCTCGGCCACTTGGAATATACAGTGGGTTATCCTGCGTTTTCTATCGATTTGCGACTGTGACTTGTCAATCATCATCCCCCCCTTTTGATTTTGGGGTCTTTCAATGTTTCGGACTCCTGTTCAAGAGAGTCTGTCACTGTTTATAGTTTGAGATTACTTTTCAAAAGGGTGGGTTTGTCAAATCCGATTCCTCTCTCCCCCCCCAGCATTCCTTGCCCTACTCGACTCCTTGGACTCGCAAAACATTCCAATACAGTTCCCTATTTTGGGAACTAAACACTTGTGATTCCTTGTTATCTGTTCCATTCGATCATTTTGCCCGCCCTTGTCTAGCGCCCCCTCCAATTGACCTTGATGTGTAGGGTTATCCCCAGCCATCTGGCGATCCAAAGCCCCCGCAATCAAACCTGATTTTCTTCACGACTCGCCACTTGTCTTTTCTCGAGCGTTCAGCCCCTTTTGTTCATCTGCTAGGTACGGAAGGCCCTTCGAGAAATGTCAATTGCATCTATCATCGCATAAACGCCCCGGTCAGTGACCATCACGGCTTTTCCGCTACTCCCAAATTCGATACCCATCCCGAAGTGGGCAACCCACGGAATCAATGAAGCCAAACATCCCACCGTTAAAGATCGCAAAGTCGAATCCGAATATTACTGTGTCGACCACATTGTCGGATCAAGACGACACAAATCATACGCGGGCTCGTTTCTATTCGAATAACCTCGGCCAGTCCGAGATGACGCCGCCATTGACACCTTCAGGCATTACTCAATCAGAACACAATATGGAACAACCAGAGGCCCCGAGAGCCGTCTTTCACAACTACTTGCGTGCATTTTATCCTTTTCATCCTGCCGGAGATGTCTCTCCATCGACGGTGACTCTTCCGCTAGACCAGGGCGATATCATCCTGGTCCACTCCGTTCACACCAATGGCTGGGCCGACGGTACCTTGTTGGATTCTGGGAATCGAGGCTGGCTGCCTACCAATTACTGCGAAGCATATGATCAACTACCCATGCGTCCCTTGTTGAAAGCACTGACAGACTTTTGGGATATCATTCGAGGAGGATGTGGCTCATCACTAAAGGATTTCGGTAACCAAGACTTGATGCGAGGCCCCATCGCTGGCGTTCGATTCCTCCTGGAGAAATCCGAGTGCTTGACTCGGGAAGCACCCCTTGTCAAGAAGTATGATGGACTCCGCCGCATCCGCAAGGCTCTGCTGTCTGATCTTTCGTCCCTTGTCAAGACTGCCAAGCGGTTCCAGGATGTTGCCAATGGTGCTCCGGCGGAGGATGAGGTCGAGGCCATTCTGGATGAGATGCTTCTCAAGGCTTTCAAGATTGTCACCCGTGGTGTTCGCTTCTTGGATGTCTGGAACGAGGAAGTTGGCTTGACCCGGACGATTGCCGAGATGGAGACTGTCGGCACTCAATTCGATATGCCCCCAACCCCAGCTTCCGCGACTTTCTCCCTGGCTGATACTGCCCCGACTTCCGATACTTGCACCGAACGAAACGAGTCTCGACAGATGAGCCACAGCCGCATGGAATTCAGCCGAGCCTCGATGCGGAATGAGATGGTGGATCACCAGTCCCGACCCATGTCTGTATCAACCAAGCGTATCTCCGTCTCCCACCGGGTCTCTTACTCTGGTCCCTCGTCAGCCATTCGTGCGCAAAACCTTGCTTCGGAGCGACTAGGTACCTCGTATGATGCCTTCCTGGGCGTGCTGGGATCTTTCATCGGTCTTCACATGCAGTCGCGCTCGTCAACGGAACTGGTCACCACCACTCAGCAGGCCGTGCAGTCTTGCCGGGCTTTGCTCAAGGTGGTTGAGGCTGTGTGCGAGCATGATGCCCAGCGAAGTGTCCTCCTCGACGAGGCACGCGAGTCCATGTGCGAGAAGCTGGCAGAGTTGGTCCAAGCTGCCCGCGACGTCTTCCGTCCTGCCAACTCTCAAGACGACGACCTGGTATTCATGCCGGATGAGGGCAAGCGACTGGTCGATGCTGCAACGGATTGCGTTCGCGCCGCTGGTAACTGCCTGGCCAAGGCTCGTCTGGTGCTGGAGCAAATCGGTGACATCGAGCTGGACCCCGTCCAGGAAGAAGAAACCACCACCGACCAGGAAGTCTCAGGCATTGTCACCTCCCAAGTGTCGCCCGACATGCCGACTGACCAGGAAAAATCCCAAGAGCTCTCACTTCGTCTTCCCCCGCCCCCTCTCACGATTCCAAACTCGACCTACTCGCCTTCCACCCCTGGCCTCACCGACTCGACCACACCTTCTTCTTTCCAATCGCACCTCACTTCTTCCAGCAGTCCCGTCCACCCTTCTGCTCCATCCTCTTTCCCTAACTCTGCCACTATCCCCACCCAGCCTGATCAAGCTTCCTCCTTCTCTTCATACGACAGCGGCTTCCGTGAGAGTCATCCCAAGTCCGACGTGAGCGAATCCTTCGGTCGTGGTGTCACAAGCACGGGTAGCAGCTTCACGTACCACAGTCACACGCGCGACTCCGAGATGAGTGGCCTTTCTCAGACTTCCACCCGGGCCACCTCCCCTGACATTGGGGGTAGCTTCCATGGCAGCTTCAAGGTGCCTTCCTTGAAGGAGAGTGTCAGCCACTCTACCTTGGCCGAGGAGAACGAGGAGACCGAAGCTCATCTTCTTGAGAAGACTTATGCTCACGAGCTGGTCTACAAGGATGGCCAAGTCATGGGTGGCAGTCTTCGTGCTCTCATCGAGAAGCTCACTGCTCACCAGTCTACCCCGGACGCCATGTTCGTCTCCACCTTCTACCTCACCTTCCGTCTCTTCGCTACTCCTCTGGAGTTCGCCGAGGCTCTCGCCGAGCGATTCGAGTACATTGGCGACACTCCCCACGCTGCGGGACCCGTTCGGCTGCGCGTTTACAACGTGTTCAAGGGCTGGCTCGAGTCCCACTGGCGCCATGATCGCGATAACTCGGCTCTCGAGTTTATCATCACCTTTGCAGAGACTCGTTTGACTACTGACCTCCCGACTGCCGGCAAGCGTCTCCTTGAGCTGGCTGACAAGGTCTCTGCGGTCCACGGCCCCGTCGTTCCTCGTCTGGTCTCGTCTATGGGCAAGACCAACACCGCCATTGCTCAATACGTTCACCCTGACACCCCTCTTCCTCCTCCCGTCCTTGGCAAGAAGGAGGCCAACCTGCTCAAGCAGTGGAAGACTGGCGAGGCCTCGATCTCCATCTTGGACTTTGACCCCTTGGAGCTGGCCCGCCAGCTGACCATCAAGGAGTCTCGTATCTTCTGCTCGATCCTTCCCGAGGAGCTTCTCGACACCGAGTGGACTCGGAAGTCGGGCTCGCTCGCAGTCAACGTTCGCGCCATGTCGACCCTGTCCACGGATTTGGCTCACTTGGTCGCCGACTCCATCCTCTACCTGGAGGAGCCCAAGAAGCGTGCTGCGACCATCAAGCACTGGGTGAAGATTGCCAACAAGTGCTTTGAGTTGAACAACTACGACTCCCTCATGGCCATCATCTGCTCTTTGAACTCTTCCATGATCTCCCGCCTGAGGCGCACTTGGGACGTGGTCTCGCAGAAGACCAAGACTACCTTGGAGCATCTCCGCACCATCGTCGACGTTTCTCGCAACTACTCAGTCCTGCGCCAGCGCCTGCAAGGCCACGTGCCGCCCTGCCTGCCCTTCGTCGGTACCTACCTGACCGATCTCACCTTCGTTGATCACGGCAACCAGTCTCTTCGCTCCCTGCCAACGGACGATGGTGAGATGACTGTCATTAACTTCGACAAGCACATGAAGACGGCCAAGATTATCAGCGAGCTCCAGCGTTTCCAGATCCCCTACCGCCTTACCGAGGTTCCGGAGCTACAGACCTGGATGCAGAATGAGCTGGTGCGTGTGCGCTCCAACGGCGAGACTACTCTCCAGACCTTCTACCGCCGGTCGCTGGTCCTCGAACCGCGAGAGCCCTCACGCAGCAATGTCAATCTCCCCGCTCTGGCTCAGGCTCAGGCTCAGGCCCAGGCCCAATCTCAAGCCTCCGAGTCATCACCTCCCAACCAGTCCATCCTTGAAAACGCCAAGGACAAATTCGACTTCTTATCGTGGACAAACCCTTCTAAGCCCAAGTCCGTCGCGACTAACGGCTAATCTTCTTCATATCATACCCCAATACCCCAATTTTACTTTTTAACATTGACGACTGATGACCACATATTTTTCTTGTTTCTCCGGTTCTATGCTGTTTTATTCCATCTTTCCGACCTATTATCTGCTATGCTGGCTGCATAATGTTTCATTTACTCCGTTCTTGTCTCCCAAAGTTTTGTGAATATCCCCCATTTTTTTCTTCCTTTCTTACTATCTTCGGGCGGCGCTCGTGTCTTTTGTTTCATTCTTCCCCGCGGGGATAACTGGCATCAGAAAAGCGAATAGGAATTGGGTCCCGGTTGGAAAAAACGGAGTCACCAAGGGCCTTTTCTCGATTTCTTTTCTTCCTTTTGATCAATGGGTTATGTCTTTTGGGAGGAATATGGACCTTCTTGTCTGTTATTTGTGCTGGGATGGTCTTCCTACGGCTCTTTTTTTTGAGCAGGGATGCTAGCCCCCCGGCTTCTGTACAAGTGCTATGTTAAATGCTACAATGCAAACATGCTTTTGCTGAATATTTGATTTCGTGGAATTGTAGATTGTAAATCATAATGTAAAGCCTAGTAAATCATCGTAGTCGCTCTTTCGCTTAGTATCTCGTATGGTGTCACGTCTTCCGACTTGGGAATAGGACTCCCAACCAATCTAGCCCCGTCAGTCCTCCAAGACCCTTACGTAGTCCGAGCTCTCTTGACACTTTATAGCCTACTTGTGGCTCGTTCTCTATTCTAATGAGATTAAGCTACTGAACATGGGACGTCATAGTGACAACGAAGCGTCCACATTTGTCGATTTCCCGCTATAATGTCGGACGTCTAATTAGGAAGTCCACAATCTAGATCAGGCATAGTATTCTCTCAAAAAGGCATGGATATTTTCCTATACCACGAACTACTCGCCCTCTCATACTGGTAGTAGTCCTTTCCTTTTTCTCCCTATCACCGTCTCTCCCTTTCCTTCTTCAACCTCTCTCTTGCTACTTGCTCTACTTTGCTGTAGCCTTCGCTCGCGATTCTTGCTCTTGCAGTTGCTTGGATATTATTCTAGCTTCTGCTTCTCTCTACTCCTATCTCTCCATCTACCTGTTTCTACCTTTCCTTATCTTTCTCTCCCTCCTCTCTAGCTACAGTAAACTCGTACTAGTCAGGACTCTTCTATGGGATTATCGCCAAACAAGAAACTCCTCTTTACCTCCCCGTTACAAACGTCCATCCAACAACGGGGATTAACCACCACCATGCGCCTCAAAATGCAACAAGAACCCACCTGGATGTGGCGCTATAAGCACCATAGCGAGGTGCTCGTAAACATCTGGACATATCTTACTCAGATGTTGACGGATTCTATCCCGGACGTTTTCATCAAGAAGCTCAACGTCAACCTTCAACCTCTCGACTTCTTCTCCGGAAAGACTGTGACAGACCCTGCAGCTTCTTTTGACCCTTTCTTCATGCCGACGGACAAAAAGGTCTTGCAGAAAAAGAAGAATAAATCTATCGAGCACACGGTCAACTTCCCCCCGCATCTTGGTAAGCCTCATAAGGCTACCGCAAAGCCTACCTCTCAAGATCTAGATCTTCAGAAGGATCTTGTGGAGGAGCTTCAGAAATTTTGTCTTCTGGCCGAGTCATATCCTGTAGCAGAGAAAATGACTCATTTCGAGTAAGTCTTACATCTGTAATCCGAGTACTGCGCTTTACACGTGAACTAAATCTTGTTGTTAGTCGACCCTCAAATGCCAACGCGGAAAATATCCGGACGTTGGCCGGTTCGGTTCCCTTCCAAATTCCCTGGGCGATGGAGTATAAGCAAGGTGCCCGTGTCATCACCCTTGCTCCAGAAGCCTACCCCGACCCTGTCCGGCCCTCAGCGACCGAAGTCGAAGTCTTGATTGCCATCATCACACAGGGTCTGCGCCAGCAGAGCGATGATCTTGGTCTATCTAATTCCAGGATCAGAAATATCCTGCATTTGGGTTTCGTCAACTTTGTCATCCCAGTAAGTAACAGTTCAACAGTTTCCCCCAGACGATATGAATTGCCAGATATCCTGACTAACGTGTATTCCAGGCTCTTATCATCTCCGTCTACCCTGGTGCCCAAGTCCGGGTTTTGTACGGCTACATGGTCAACAACCAGCTATACCTGCACTTCACTAAGCTCCAGCAATTCACAGAGAACAACTTCCAAAAAATGCTGGAAGCAACTCTCCTCTGGGCTTTCCCTATTGCTCGTGGCCAAGCTGCCAAGCTCATCACCCTTCCTGACATCATGGAAGAAGAGCAAGAAGCTGTAGAAGGAGAAGACTGGGAGGACCTGGAGGATGTAGAGTCTGAAGAAGACGATGAAGATTGTACTCTGCACGTATATACGAAGGAAGAAGGGGGGGATGGTCATGTAAAGGGGACGAGAAAAGATTGTATGTTGAATGTTTCGAACACGTCTACTGTTACTGCTACTTCTTCTGCAACGAGGAAGAGTAGGAGTAAGAAGCCCACGAGGAAGGGGAGGAGACGTGGTCATTAGGAAATTTGGAAATATCATATTGGAAATGCCCTATATCATGTACTCGAGATGTTAAGAAGAATGAAATGAAAATTTTCACACAAAGCCACCTAAGTTTGCCCGCCTCCTTCAACAATATTAGTGTGTGGGATAAGTAGTAGCCTGGAGAGTGAAATCAATCAAATCGATTTTCAATTTTCATCCCATTTCATGAGTGTAAGCGATAAATGTTGGAAAGCTATTCTGGTTATGTCTCACTACATAGTGAGATACGTATGAAGTAGATGTGATGGGCCTAGAGAGCTTTGATGACTTTACGGCCGTTAGAGGATCGGGAGGTCCGCGGACTGTCCGGAGCTCAAGGTGCAAGACTCCACTCACTCCGCGGTCTTTGAAAAGGCATATAAAATACTCAAGAGAATAGCAATTATCACTAGCTCCATAATTCATACCTATCACACTATCAAAGAGATTGTCAAGTCTCATCCACCACCCACGCCAGACCTTCCTCATAAATGTCAAACGAATCCCTCCAAGAAACCAACAACAAAACACTCGGAACAAATCCCGGAACATTTCCCATCGTAACACTCCCAGATGGACGCAAAGTACCCACCGGCACTGTTGGGGCGTTGCTAGTCAATATCAAAGCTTACGACGAGGGGAACGAAGAACGACGTGCTGAGTTAGAGCCCGCCATCAAGTCGGCTATCCCGACACTGGTGAAGGTGGGAATGTTTGATCTATTTACTCCACAAGAGTGGACGTCGGAATCTAGTCCGGGTCGGACTTTGGTTGGGATATTGGCGAGACATTATCTTGAGTAAGTTTCTTGGGTATACTCTTGATGGAGAGAAGGGGTCTGATTAGTGCCCGCAGTGTTAGTCAATGAGTAAAAGGGGCTCAAATTTGGGAGACTTGAATGGCTATTCTCTAAGAAGCAGTTGGCTGGAATTTACCTGATATTGCACTTTTGTTCCTAGGTTAATACTGAATAGCTCGAACTTTATGGATTGCTAGTTTGGTGCGCGCGCACATCCTATGCCGCATGGAGTACATGCGGATGGTTTTGACGCCCGAGGTACTAGCTGATTATTGATCGGAAACATGTATGAGATATTTCAATAAGGATATTTGTTACAATAGATACCATCTGGCAAAGTTTGATTTCCTGATTATTGGACCTCCACTCCACCGTTCAGATCGTATCTACAGAAGTCCCGTTTACATGGAGTATCGAAACCTTGGAGATACTCGTATTTTATATTATACAGTATAATTTTTCTAGGCCTTTTGACAGCGTAATAACGTTCGTTTCAAGATGAGTGATCAAATGATGTATCTCAATTCCATTCCCAAAAACCATCCTCCGTGCATAAGGCTCGCTCGAACGCCCTCGAACATCTCCACAGACACCCTATACCATACCCAAACGGTATCTTTGCATGCATAGAGTATGATGATTGCCAATGCAAGGGATACGTCAAAAACCCGAGAGTTTGGGCGTAGGGTCAGAGTGGAGTTGGTGTGCACCCGGATCCGTAGTCCGGCGAACAATACGGGTGCCTAGATCTGCGAGGTGCGTCCGTAATACTACCGATATGTATTTGTAATGGGCGTGGGCGTTGTTCGAAACAACTAGCTGCATGTTAAATCTGATTTATGCTAGGTCATGCAGCATGAGGGCTGAAGAGCCGCTGACGAGGCGGCTATTCGCTCTCGGACCACTGCGCCAAAGAAGATCGTCTTACGGTGTACTCCGTACACCGAAATACATGGTACATGTGGATTCTTTTTCCAGAAGTACGGAATGCGACACAATACAGTATTGTCATTGTTCGATTTGGCGTTGGAAGTGTTTATGCTTTGGTGGGTGTTTTGCTTAGATGAATGTGACATATCAGAAGCCTCATTTTTAACGAGGCAAAGTACTGTGCGGGGCAACATCAAAAGTACAGCGGGAGAGTTTCAATGGCAAGAACGTCTATATGGCAATAAAGTACCTTTGTAAGATTGTAGGAATTGCCAAGAAGAAATTCAGGGTGTATCATTTCAATTGTCTAATTTACATACTGTGCCTGAAACGCGTCTAAGAAATCTACCCCATTGTTATCATGTTCATCATAATCCGAACCCATGATGCCAGCATCAGAGGGCACATTTCCGATTCCAGGCTGTGGTCGCAGGTCAAGTATCGGGATCATGGACGGTCGGCCATGGGCACATTGGAATGGAAAGGCGCATCTCGAAAGCCGTGTGACCAGTTCCTCACACTCCTGTAGACTCAACGGGTCATTGAACATGATAGCACCTCGGCATGCCCGAGAATTGAGTAGGTCCAGAATACTCTGCGGACAGCCGCTCATTTTCTGTACCCACGGGTGCGCGACGATCGCTCCGGTTCTGTTAGCGGAGAACTCATCGTCATCAACGTCGCCCCCCGTTGAAAAGTTCCTCGTTGGCCTTTTCGAGCCCGGCGGCTTTCCATTCTCCTCTTCGAAATTCCAGATTTCACGACGGAGAAGATCCGCAATCAAGTTTGGCTCAAGTCGACAACGTTCAGCGATGAGAGTTGGTACCGCTTGGACCTGAACGCTTGCCTCAGATAATGCTTTCATAGTTATGCTGTAGCCAATGCCCCAGTTGCCAAAGAAATCCAAGTATTTGCGGAAAAGTGTAGCTTCCGTAGCAGATATGCTGAATGAGATTGGTTCAATACCCACGGTTTGAACCTGATCATGTTGATCCAAAGAGCCAGGGGAAATGAACATGTCTTTAAACAATTGTTCGACGCGGCATCTTTCATCGGCGGCATGTTGATCAATCAAGACAAGAACACCCTCCGAGTCATGATCAACCGTAGCACTGGGACATATGGGGTCGAATTTGGCGAGAATGAATTTTTGATCAACCTGTGCGATGATGCTGGCCGTTGCCAGGCTTTGACGTTGTAATTTGCCCCTGAACTTAGCAACTTGCGTTCCGTACAAGTTTCCAATATCCCCGTGGCAATGATGCGAACCCGGTAGGTTGTGAAGTTGATCCATCTCGACGTCAAGATTTGGCACTGGCGCCTCTGTTCTGGCAAACGTAGGATTGTCCCATGCATCAAGCAAATTGTCCACCCAGAAGCTGGATGACGAGGCGGATCTTGGCCTATGGGATCTGCCCAGACTTTGCAGAGTACTAAGGAAGTTATTGGATCTAGGTCCAGCACTTATCGCTTTGAGATTGACGGTCTGTCCCGTTCGTGAGTTTATCTGATGCGTTTTCCCAGTACGCGGGTCAACCCAAGGTATCAACTCGTCAGTAGGGGCCTTAGATGAAGGGTTCCCCGACTCTTGCTGCTTGGCATCTTCGACACCGTGGAGGGATGGGGTCGTATCCTCATGTCGCATTTCGCGCTGACTGGAGCAAAGAGGGAAATGTCGACTGTGGTTTGATTGACTTCGTCGAAGATCCGGTAAGTGAGGCAGCTGCCATTCTTTGGGAAGATTGTCGCTTTGAGATATAAGATCCGCACCAACAACGCCAGTTCGTGGATCTTCGGGGGTTTTGGCGGCTTTGACACGGGACCAATTGCTGAAGTGCGGCCCCATATTGGCAGACTGTGATCTCTGCAACGAGGGAAGTTTTAACTGACTATCGAAACCCTCTCTCATGCTCTCGTTCCGCCTGCTTCTCGCGATGCTGTTAGATCGCGTAGAGCTGGTGCGTGCAGCACTGATCGTTCTCTGAGGCCGATCAAGAAGTCTCCCTTGTCGTCTACTCGACCTAGGTCGCATATTTTGCTGTTTCAAGAACTCCAAGATCATCGCATCCAAGACATCAATGATTCCTTGAAGTGACTTCTCAGTGGCGGGAGAGAGTTCATCGCCATCTTCCAGGTGCCGAAGAACCTCAGTCTCGATACGTATATAGAACATCGGCCATTTGTTGATCGACTTCGCCCAGGTTCTGCTCGACGAATCATTCAAGGACTCGGATCTGCCAGTCACATGAGCCGAAGGTTTCGAAATTGCAATGTCAGATGCACTTCTAGGGTTCCCAAAGTCAGACATGGACATCAATCGATTGACCTCGTCGAACAGGGCATTTGAAGAATTCCGTGACAGCATTGGATGCTTGCCCAATGAGATGAATTGTATCTTCTTTGAAGGGCTTGGTACGGTCGAGATTGCTGCATGTATCGTGAGGCGCGGAACAGAAGCAGATATGACACGCCATGACTCCATATTTCGCGAATCCAGTATGTCGGATTGCGAGAGAATGGATCCTATGCGTCCAAGATTCATTTCAAGTGCAGCATTATTCAGCGAGGTATTCGGCGTAGGATTACCGGGACGGATGGTGACTCGTTTCCCTCTTGTGACGTCAGAAATCACAAGCTTCAGGAGCTGGCTATTTGCTAGTGTGAGGGAGACCATCAGATCTCGGAGATGGTCCCATTCTCTCTCCAGTTCTTCCGGCTTCTCAAGGGCCATGGCTCGACTTTTGACCCGCACAGGCATATTCCCAAAAAGATCATTTACGGCGACACAGGTCCCATGTTCCCCAAGCCGGGGACTCTGATGTACCGGAGCAGGGATTAGCCTTGCAACGGGCCTGGCGTGGTGAAAGATGACGGAGTTTGTGCTCGCATGTTGGATATGACGAGACGTCACAGTGAGCAGTGATAACGAGGCCAAAGAAGCTAGGAATAGACCTCGATGTCCATAGGCCGTTGGGGTTTGATACTTGGATGTATCTGACACAAAAATTCAGCAAGGCAAGACAGCCAAACATGGAATTCGGTGACGTACAGTGCGCTTTTCCAAGACCGCCGGTAGGCTCAAACTCCGCCGGTCGTATTCCCTCCCCATCATCCTCCACTATGCAGCTTCCTCTTGGGAAGTCCACAGAGACGAGGACTGTTTGTGCGCCCGCATCCAGCGAGTTCTTGACCAAGTCTACAATCACTCCATGCAGGTGAGTGATTGAGGTTGAAGATTTGATTTTAGCCGCGACATCCAGAGGAAGTGCCTGAATAACTGGTCCATGAGAAGACATGACAAACTCGCTCCGATGTTGAAGAGTTGTCGCGGATGATGTGTCAGTCAAGGTATGCTTCCATTGCATCACCAACGGGGTTCCAAGGACGGCAGGAACGTTGCCACTCTTTCATAATTGTCACATCTGAAAAGACTTGGATGTGTAAATACAATTTACAAAGTCCAGCACAAGATAAAATAGTCGAATCGAGTTAGATGAAAAGTAAATTAGGTAAACGAAGGCAAATGATTGACATCAAGGGCGGGCACATGACCTGCGCGGATAAACAGTCGTCCCGGGGTCCCCCAATTGCCTCGGCGCTGCTTGTTCAGTCTACGGCGTCATACTGCTCCTCCTCCCGAGCAAGTGAACTGTGTCGGGAGGCATCTTGACCTTTTGATACTCTTATCCACCATGGCTACAACTGAGGGGCCTGCGAGAGTGCATGGTAAGCTGTTCTGAGAGACACCTGTCCTGTGTGAAACGACGGGGTCATTAACGGGGTATATACAAATAGATCGCAACGGTCGGCGCCGCCCTTTTTCGAGTTGGATGAAGCGCCTCGCGAGCCTCAAGAGCTCCTCCGAATCTGGCTCTCATCGTTGGTCTAACAAGCGACACACAAACTCCAAGGGCAAGAAGAATGGGGGCCAAGGGAACAACCCGTATCCATTGTCGGGCACACTTAACCGCCCAAACCACAGCGACTCGTACTCCGAAGTCGACGAGCATGATAGACACGGCTCTGGGTCACGAAGTGACCCCTCCCTGGTCTATTCAGGTTATGAAAATCAGATCCCCGCGACAAGCGCCAAGTCCACCGCCCCTACCGTGTCGACCAACGGTGACACCGCGATCTCGGATGCAGGCTACTCCAAGGCAGGGACAATGGCGACAGGAGGTGGCGGAATAAGCTCACATGGCGGAGGCGAAGGGAGCACCTTCTCGTCGCCCGCGCCTTCGGTTCGCTCGTTGACCACCACCTTGACAACTGTGCAGTCGGCGGCCCCATCTACCCAGTTGTACCCCGCGCCGAACACACAACATGGACATGCACATGGCAGCTCCACGCAGAGTTCTGGAAATCAACAGGTTCAGTTCTCGCATCAATTCCCTACATCCTCCTCGCCTGCTACAGCCGTGCCCCCGCACCTCATACCCCATAGCCAGTCGATGACCTACAGCAGCGCGACGGCAAACAACGCCTTGAACGACAACGCCTCTATCCTCACACTCGCAAGCTCGTCCAAGCGCCGACGACGGAATTCCCTTGATACCAACGCCTCCGTCCGTGCCTTGGCACCCTCATCGGTCTTTGGCGGGAGCCGTGAGAGCTTGCCATTGAGTCTGCTGAGTGGTAGTGTGGCTGAACCGTCAAGTACTTCAGCCTTCAACGCTCAAGGGGTGCTGGCCCGACCGAGCATTGTCGGTCTCGCAAGTGCTGAGCGCATCAGTGTTTATTCCTCGTCTGGTACGGCACCTTTGGCCAACGGCGGCGAGCGGGGCAGTTTCCACACCGCAAAGCCTAGCCTGGCTGGAGGTGACGGAGCAAGCATTCGCAGCGGCGCACCGTCTCATACTCGAAATGACAGTACGGCTGCTAGTATCACCGGAGGTGTGGCCAGCCCCCTTGCCATGGCCTCTGGCCGTGTCAGCCGTAGGAGCTCCGGGTGGGGTGAGATCACCGACGAAGGCAACGAGGGGAAGCCTGGCGACGGGACTGACGAGCACTCGGCACCGAAAGCAGAGGTCTCTTTTAATAAAGAGCCACATGAAACTTGATACTCGACGACAACGGCGTTGTTTCTAGGCCATTCCCGAAAAGGCGATGACGAGGGATTCGAATGACTTGCCGCAAGACCCTGCCAAAGGCAGACATACTGCGGGCGAAGACAATTTTTTTTTCTAATGATTGACGCATGGAATTGGGGGAAAGGGGTGGATTGGATTGGCTTGCGGTGTTCAAACTTTTGGCGTTACTTTTCTCTTTTCTCTTTTCTTCAGGACAGGAACTTTGATACCCTCTGCCGTATGACTGGGGTTATTCTCTTTCTACTTCAGCTGCATACATTTTTCTGCAAATTGGCCGTGTGTATTCATAAGAGTCAAAACATAATTATTACTCCTCTTTGATATCATCCTCCTCGTGATAGACAGCGCGTAGACCATAAATGACTACTCGCGGCGCTTGATGATCATCGGCATGTCGTACTGGTAGACGAACCAAGCATCACGGTACTTCCACTCGTGCTTCGGATCGACTAGTTGAATCTACATTGAAAGGTCAGTATAGAATAGTGATGTTCTGCAGCCATTGGATACTCACATCGAACAGACTGTAAAGTGTCGCAATCAACTTCTTGATCTCCAGCATGGCCAAATACCGACCCATGCAGATACGACCACCGCCACCAAAGACAAAGTCAACGGTATCCTTCATACGTCGAGAACGAGCCTCGAATTGCTCATCGCTTTCATTCTTACCCTGCAACCAGCGGTCCGGGTTGAAATCATCGGCATCGTCCCCAAAGACACCAGAGTCCCGGTTGGTCACGAAGGGGTTGCACCCAATCTTAGTACCAGCAGGGATATAGCGTCCGTCTGGCAGGGTAAATCCACCCTCTGGAACTACACGCTCAAAGATCATTGCGATGCCGGGGTTGATGCGCATGGATTCGCGGATAACTGCATCCAGATAAGGCAGGTCTCGGATCGATTTCCAAGGTGCCGGTGTGGGGAGAGAGGCAGCTTGCAGCTCGGTGGCGAGCTTGGATGATGCCGCGGGGGACTTGGCCAGGTAGTAGAAGATGGCACGCATAGTGGCAGAGCTGGTATCGCCTCCAGCTAGGATGCTCAGCATCAGCCAGTTCACGATTTGTTGGTCGTTGACCATGTCCGGGTATGTCTCCTTGAGTTGCACGTATTTGTCCAAGGTGTGATCCACTGAGCCGGCAGTGACTTTCTTGTCGGCGAGCTGAGCTTGGTACTCTGCAACAACCTTGAAGGCATAGAGAACGCCAGTCAAAGTTGGTTTGGGTCCAATTCGCTTGATTGGGTTTTTGTCGAGCAAGTTGTCAATCCAAGGGATTTGGGAGACCTAGGTTGGGTTAGCATCAACATGTTCAAACTGTATACAAAATAGATCGGTTCTCCTTACAGGAGCAAAGTAGATCAAACCATCAGTGGAGTCGGTGATCAGATTGTCCACATCCTTCTCTTGGTCAATGAAGCCATAGTGCCGACCGAAACTGAAGTTCGCAGTGACATCCCAGGCAACTAACTTGTGTGTTAGTTAATGCCTCGAGAATTCAAGCAGAGGACTAGACTTCAAGGCTTACAATATCCAATCCACTCGTCTGCTGGGCAGACAGTACCAGCGTTCTTGCCATCCACAAACTTCTGGGCAAGCTTGTCCACAAACTTGTTGATGGTCTCGTCAATAAGAGGCTCATACTCAAGAACCTTGGTCATGCTCCAGAGACCGCGAATAGGTCGAATGTTCTCGTTATGCCACTCCTCATCTTGGGAGTTGAACAAGTTACTAAGACGATGGCCTTCAATGAGTACATCGTTAGGCCGGTACATGTCACTCTATCCATGTCTGCTGTCAGCAAGGATAACCTGGGGGAAATGCGGGCCGGAACCCTACCTTCTTCCATGGGTTACGTGTGGAGTAGATCGTCCGAATAAGGCTCGGATCAGAAATGCTCACGCAGTTAGGACCAATTGCCACTGCTGTTCCATATTTACGGTGGAGTTCGAGATGTTTCAGGTCGGCACGGCCACGATGCGTGTGAATAGCCCGCCAGGCATCTGTGATCTTGGCCAAAATTGGGCCCGGAATGGCCCTCAACGGAGAAAAGAAAACATCCCAGGCAAGTTTCGTCAAGAGCAAGAGGCCAAGCGCGACAAGAGCTTGGGCCCACTGGCCGGAGGCAAGAGAAGACATTACTGCCATTGTTTCGAGCTGCACCAGGCTGTTCCACGCAAAAGTACGCGACGAGAGAGATACAATTTACTGCAGAGCAATTGCAGGACTGCGAAAGGTGCTGTTATGGTGGCGAGAACACATGGTCAATCGCAGCTAATTTCGAAATGCCGGGCCTTCTGGCCTCCCCGGACCTTAGCGCTCAGGGAATCGAAGACAACAACCGATCTACCCAATCAAGGCACTCCGCGGGGAATCAGAACAGTAGGTCTTTACGAGACACCACGCAGCCCCGGCACTGCGGTCATTGTGTTTTCCGGTGTTTGGCATACGCCACTAGTCGTACATGACTAGAGCTTAGCTTGGTGACGGCACGGTGGAGGGCGGGTTGTGGAGCCCGGGATTGTGTTTACGGCCGCATTGACTGGCCAATTCGAGGGGCAAACTGCCATAACAGGCTTTAGGGTCACTTATTTTGACAGCGGCGCGGCCCTAGTCCCTATGGATGTCGCTTACGAGGAATCCCTCGTAAATCCTGCAGAACGTGGCTTCGGGGGATGACCGACATGAGAATTTGTCGTAGCGAAATTGGGTCTGCAGAATCTAGCAAAGTGGGCTTGTTAGTCAAGAACTCCTGAGTGCGGGAAGGCGCTGCGAACCAATGTTGGGTCTGAGCCCATCGACGAGACAAGACCCACTGAAGGAGTTGAAGGATGCAGCCACTAAGTAGCATTGTCGTGTATTGCTCGAAAACGGATGGGTGCTCACTACAGTGGCGTTCCGGCAGCTTGAAATCCCGAAATGGCTCCAAAAATCAATCGACCAGTTGTGTAGAAAGATAAACTTCTATTAATTGTTTAGCTATGTAGAAAGACAACCTACTCAAGCCACTACTAAAGTTATCAGATTCCAGAGGAGGTAAGCTGCAGCTTAGCTGGTTAGAGTACGCTTATTCCCCGGCTTCTCCATTCACATTTCTCAATTTATCGCACCAAGATCGGATATGTTCTCCGGCAGTCGCCCCTGCTCGATACGACGACAAAATCCCCACAGCTCATGCGGAATGACCCATCAAAGCAAAAGTTACCCCTGTTGTATTTCTTTCTCAAAACCGTTAGGTCGAGTAAGCATTTACCGACCCAGTGGTGATTGGGGATGCTTAAATGTCTTCTGGCTCCCGCAGGGCAGTGGCGTTGCTGCTCCTTCTGAGGCGTCTGGTTTTTGCAAGTTTATTCTGAGATTGTGGTGGTGGAAGCCTGGGTCCGCCCAATATGGAGTCAGAGGCCTATTTACAGGCGAGCAGGGCTCCGCTTTTACAGGGTGTGATGTGGACAATGGCTATAGTGCCTTTGGTGTTTGTGCTGATGCGATTGTACGTTCGAGTTATCTTGAAACGAGTTTTCGGTTGGGATGACTTTATTATCATCGTTGCAACGGTATGTGTTTCATTCTCTTCTACTATTTCTTTCTCGGGTTCTCAAGAGACTCATGCGATTATTCAATAGGCCTGCTTGGTTGCTTATGCTGCCGTTTGTCATGTTGCCTCCACGATAGGCCTTGGAAGACATCTTACTTTTGTTGAGGAAAACCCGAACCACGTCATCGATGTAGCTCTGCTATGTGATATCGGTGAAGCCTTGGCCATTATGGCATGTACGTTGGGTAAAACTTCGTTTGCGGTCACTCTCCTCCGCATTGTCGTTCATAAGTGGATGATCATCGTGCTCTGGTTTGTGATTGTGACGATGAACTTGGTCAACGTTCTAGCAGCCTTGTTCATCTTTGTACAATGCAAGGATCCAAGACATCTCTGGAATGCTTCTATTCCATCAGAGTGTTGGCCTGCCGATGTTTTCACGCACTTTTCTCTGTTTGTGGGTGGTAAGTCGTGCCAGAACTTTATCTTGACTATACGAAATGCTAACTCTTGTTTTGCTTATAGCATACTCTGGTGCGCAAGACTTCGTGCTGGCCCTACTCCCTTGGACACTTGTTTGGAATCTACAAATGAAAAAGAAGGAGAAAATTGGTATTGCCTTTGCCATGAGTCTAGGTGTATTGTGAGTGTGCCATTGAGATCTGTCTTCTACTTTCCTTTCTCAGATTCTCAAGAGACCGATGCTTCTGAAACTAATTTTGTGTCTTTAAAGCGCTGGTGCGGCCTCAATCGTCAAAACAACTTACTTGGTGGCGTTGTCTGAGAAGTCAGACTTTACTTGTAAGACTTCCAATATCCAATCCCTGGGTCATAGCTGATCGACCTTTACTACTAGGGGAACTTGCTCCACTGCTTTACTGGGCGGCTGTCGAAGATGGATTGGCCATTACTGCGGCTGCGATTTCTACTCTCAAGCCATTACTTGCCAGAGTCTTCCCCGGATCATCAATCAGCAACAACTACAACATGATTTCTTATCCTTACGCGCCAAATCGAAAAGTCTTCGATAATTCGCAAGGCGAGACGCGCACCGACATCGGCCATACGAGTATTCACGAGAGAGGGAGTCAGACTGCAATTTTGGAGCCGCTGTCTCCAAAGCGGGATGAAAGTATCAACATGACTACAGAAGTGTCTGTCACTTACAATCGGCCGTCTTAAAAATAAGGGTATATTGGCACACATAGGTAACAGGCCCTGAATAGGAGTTATTGAATGTTTGATATACCTTGGTACGGAAAAGTATGGTGCGGAAACGTATCGGTGTCCGCCATTTCTTCCACTTTGGGACTTCTCTGACGATGTAATGATCCAAATGTTATTTTTCTATACCCCACTTGCGCTGTAAAGCTCAAATAAAGTTTTGGAAATTCTCATTTCTTCTTGGTCCGTTTGAGCAAAGAATCGATACGAACAGTGTGTACATTTTCGCTGCTCACAAACTCTTAGCCTTAATTGCTAAGTGAGATTCGGCATTCCAAGTCAAACCTTCAATATTAAACTCCGGCTATTGAGTTATAAGACTTCTCTCTGAGGGTGAAGACAGCCTGTCAGGATGATTGATGGTCACCAAGGGCCTGACGGCAAGCAACACGTTGTCCTTCCAAGGACCCAGGCCACAAAACTTCCCGAGGTCTATCGAGTCTCGCTTTACGCCATCCATAAACTGGAAAGGGGCCGGAGAGCCTATATTTGGCCGTGGAAAAGGAGTGTGTTTAGCATACTCATCCCGCTCAGGCTTGAAGATGTTATCGATGACCAGATTCCTCGTCCATGTGAGGCCGATCCCGGCTATGAAAGCTGGAAATCTTGGTCAAAGGTCGTCCGGTGCTGGATGTTGAATCAGCTGAGTCTAGAGGTGATCAAGAATCTCGAAATTTTCTGCAGGCGGGTCGATGTAGAACTTGACTCGGAAGATCAACTTCCGCGTTATTCAGACGACTTGTACACGCTGATCGTCAAAGCGTTCATGACAGGTGAGGAAACCACACAATCTAAAGCTGTCATCGCTATCCGTACAACTCGTCGAGATCAGTTCGAACCTGCTGGTGAATATATCGAGGAATGGAGGAAGGTGATACGTCAAATTCAATCACAAAAGATTCCCTTCGACCTCTATATTGTGACCAAATTTATGTTGCTTGAACTACGAGATGAGATGCCGATGAACATTAACACGTTTGAAGACCAGATTGACAGACTGTCTGTGGGCTATATTAGTCATGAACGCTTCCTCCAGATTTGCGACGAAATGATCGCGAAGTCTAAGATAACGGTCGACAAGAGTATGGCGATTTAAAATGTGAATTCGATGATTGTAGCTTCTGGGAAGGGACATTGCTAGTTCCTCTACGTTGCTGATGATACGAGAATTCTTCCGTGCTGCGATGAAAGTTAATATTGCTAATGGCCCACTTTTCTTCTATCTTACGCGTCCTAGTCCTCTGGAACCCATTAGTTATTCTCTCTGGACCCCCTCGGCTATGACTTTGACTCGATTTATGCCCCTTTGATCTCCGGAGTGGTTAGAAACCGATAGATGGCACGACAAATGAGGCTGTGATCTAGACCAGCGCAAAATACGTCCCAATTTGGATAGGTAGCTCCACTGGCTTACTCCTAAACTCGCTGATTGGCTGAAAGAACGCGACAGGCACGCGTTTCAAACCTCGGAACCTGGATGATGATCGTGGAGATGGCGTTATGGCTATACCGAGAGTGTTGGGAGCTGAGAAAGAATGAAAAGTTCAGAAGTTTGAACGAAAAGAACTTGTAGCCTACTCAACCTCCACTCTAAGCCAAAAAGTTGGCAAAGTAGTCAATTATTTCAAGTAGTCAGTCTCATCTAGTTATGCTGTGCATATAGAATGACTAATCCACTGCACAACTAAGGTTAATTTTGGAGGGGACCTGAAGGGTTTAAAAATCCTGTAAAGATGGATCAGTTGTGGGTTTCCATAATGGACTGTATGCAGGGATCTTGAATCCCAGTAATCATACACCTACTGAAGCTAGCTAGAGTCAGCTATAGTTGGTTTTAACTGCGTGGAAACCTGGATAAGCACCAAGGGGTCTATGCGACCGCCAGGGGAAGGATTAAAGTGGCCAGTGACGTGGGTGATGCGTGATGTCGCCGATCGATCGCGATTGGGCTGAGTCTTCCGTTTAGGATGGAGTCCAGTAAGCTTGTAGCCTTGTACGAAGTAGAGTTGGTACCAGTTGGTCAGTTGGTACGAGGTGCTTTGCCCCAACAGCCAAGGGATTTGCTTTGCACCCGCAGCCCGCCAATCCAGTTTTCAGCTCTGCTCATCACGGTTCCCATACCGCCACATTTGTTTTTCACACCTCCCATTACTCCCGAGCCTTGCAAGCGTTGAAGAGGGGCTCCATGTCTTGCCGATAGCGCCTGTAAATAAATATTCCTCCACGTTCCAAGTCTCCCAAGGCTCTGTCAGTACAACGAGGAGCGTCGCCAGCATGAAGAAACCTCAACCGTTACACACAAAGACGGTCGCGGTCGTGGGCACGGGCATGGCCGGTCTAGCAACTGCCCATTTGTTACACCAAGACCCTCAGAAGCGCTATCAGGTTACTCTAATCGAGAAGGTTGGTTCATTTTCGAATTTTTGTCGCCCTAAATCAACCCACTACGCGGTGGTGGGGGGAAGAAGTTCACGATACTAACGGGGTAAACAGAGAGACCAAATATCGTTGAGCGCGGAGTCAGTTCAGATTCCTTCGCAAGACCCTAACGGCCCAGCTGTATGGGCTGACGTGCCTATGCGCGCCTTTGCCGGTGGCTTCTACCAGAACCTGGTCCGAATGTATGATTACTTGGGAGTCAAGTACCACGAGCAGCCATTTCTTTTCAGCTTCACGAGGTTGCCGAAACGACAACAGTCCTCGCCAACTACCTCTTGTATTCCTGGCCCGCAGATGGTCTATGCGTCGAATTTTCACCAGATCCCACCCATTCCACGCACATCGGACCTGATTCATTGGTGCGTGGAAGCTGTCTATGCAGTTATGTGTTACCTGTGGTTTACGTTCTGCTGCTTCTTCATCTCCCCCTATTCTGAGAATCTCCAGAGTGGGCAACTGAGCGAGTCATTTGACCACTACCTACGGCGGATGTGGATTCCACAGTACTATGTGGCCAACTATCTTCTTCCTCTGATTTCGAGCGTCTGTACCTGTTCGCATCAGGAGCTGTTGAATTTCCCAGCCTCCGACGTTCTAGAATATAAGCGCCGCACGCACCGCCAGCAGCACTTTGTGGTGAGTGCGGGTGTTCAGTGTGTCCAGCCGAAGCTTCTAGAAGGCGTCGAGTTGCGGCTTGGCGTGAACTTAACGCATGTGATCCCGCAAGAAAACGGAGTCCAGATCAAGTACTCGACCGATGATGGGAAACACTCTTCGGAGCACTTTGATCTAGTTGTTCTGGCCGTTTCACCAGATGTCGCTGCATTATTGTTCCCCCCGGTGAATTCGTCTCTATCTGCCATCCCGACGACTAATGTAGAGACGGTCGCGCACACCGATGAGTCGACTATTCAGCCGATGCTGCGTGCGACAGCGACTCCAAACTCGATCAAATGCGCCAAGGAATCGCGAGGTTCTTACAATATCGGGACGCAACGTATTCACTTGCTATCGAATGGCACCATTACTGAAGCCGTTCATGAGCAATCGAATTCCATTCTTGTCACGACGAACCCGCTCTTCCCAGTGGACAAATCAAAGGTCATTCGCTCCGCAAGCTTTGTGCGCGTGTTGCGAAGCCCGCTTAGCCGCCTCCTTGTCAATTCTATCTTCCAAGGACGTGGAGAACAGAAGATCTTGTCAAAGTCCAGCACCGCCGTGAATTCGTGGCGAAACGGAGACAACGGTGTCTACTTGGCAGGTGGATGGTGCTGGGATGGAATGGTCCTTCTCGAAGGCTGCATCGTTTCTGCCATGAGAGTTGCCACAGATCTCGGCGTGTCAGTCCCCTGGGATGATATTTCAGCATGAGTAGTTTATGTCTAGGAGTTGCGCATAACCCGGGGGAATGGGTTTCGGTCAGATAGTCATTCTTATATTTGGGCCCACTCTAGAGGTTCTTCCGGGCTCATTGTTGTTCTATTGGGCTTGTTTTGGGGTGAAAGGGCTGTATATGCATAATATCGCGCTACATAATGTATGGCATTTACGACACAAATCCTAAGAGTTCATTTCAGTTATATCACAGAATAGCTGCTACTGGGCACTTTATCCACAAACACCTCGCAACAAATTCGCTTCATGGCCAGCACACAATGTGGCAGGAGTAGGTTAGACACCTGGGCACAAATTTGTCCTGGGATCACATGGATGTGTGCACTACATAGTCAGTATTCATCAGTAAAAGCTTCTAGTGCATGTAGATAGTCGGGAATGGACAAGAATCGAGAAGTCACTTACGCAAACAGCTGGACCGGTAGGGTCAGACGCAGCCGGACACACCTCAGGCCGGTTACAACAGCCTGGGCTAAGACCACCTACAATACATACATGACCGGCCGGGCACTAGCAAGGTGTTAAAATAATTTCACGGTTTTGTAAAGTTCGGGTGACTTACGCAGTCTCCAGTCGCAGGACAGAGTGGATCCGGAGCTGGACAATTGCATTTCGCGGCAGCGCATGTTCCGGAGCACTAGTAATATCAGTTAATGATGCTGTATCCACAGGGTAAATAAATTTGGAAGATTTGAAACAATAGTCGAGAAATGAAAATGGCATCTAGCCTCTAGCAACAACAAAGGAACCGATCCCCTCGATGGTAAAGGGGCCGGGGAAGACGTGAAGGTGTGGATAACAGAGAGGATATAAAACTTACGTGCTGGCCACATTTTCCACAGTTGTTTGGATCAGTATTGATGTTCGTACAGACGTTATCACAACAAGACGGTGTCGCCAATGGGCACTAATAAATGTCAGTGCTATGTTCACAGGAAAGGGAAATTGGAGAAACACACAGTAAACGTGCACGATCCACAGTTCTTCGGATCGGTGCTGAGATTCACACATTTTCCGAGACAACAATTTGGGTTCGCCGAAGGACACTATTACATTATTAGTGGTTAGGTACTTGTGAATCGATGGAAAATGAACTCACAATGTTTTTGCATGTTCCACAGTTGTTCGGGTCGCCACCCAAGTTCACGCATTTCCCGTCACAGCAGTTCGGAGCCGTGGAAGGGCACTAATAAGTTATCATTAGACCATGAGTCTTAAGAAGGGTGGTCTAAAGTTAGCAAAACTCACAATATTATTACAAGTACCGCAGTTATTCGAATCACCAGCGAGGTTCACGCATTTTCCGCCGCAACAGTTCGGGGCCGTAGCAGGGCACTAAGGAATTAATAGACCGTAGATTAGGATAATCGGCGAAACTCACGATTTTATTGCAAGTACCGCAGTTATTCGAATCGCCAGCGAGGTTCACACATTTTCCGCCACAACAGTTCGGGGCCGTAGCAGGGCACTAATAAATTGTTAGACTGAGGATTAGAGGAGTTGAAACGTTGGAAAAGCTCACAGTATTCCTGCAGGTTCCACAGTTGTTCGAATCACCGGCAAGATTAACACACTTTCCGTCGCAACAATTCGGGGCACTAGCAGGGCACTAACATACTATTAGCCAGGTTGATCAGGATAATCCAGACGTTAGTGAAGCTCACGATATTCTTGCACGACCCACAGTTATTTGGGTCACCGGCAAAGTTCACACATTTACTGTCACAACAGTTCGGGGTTAAAGGTGGGCACTAATTAAATTATTAGATATTAAACCGGGGTGATCTAAGCTTTAACGAAGCTCACCTTGAAATTGCAAGATCCACAATTATTCGAATCACTACCAAGGTTCACACATAACCCGCTACAACAGGTCGGGGCCGTGGCAGGGCACTATCAAATCATTAGCCTGTAAGCTTGGTAGGTTAATGTAAATATAGGCAAAACTCACGACATTCGTACAAGATCCACAGTGAGTGGGATCTGCTGCCGAATTGACGCACTTTCCGTCACAGCAGTTCGGGGCTGTCGAAGGACACTACCAGATTATTAGACGGTAGGTTGGTTAGGATGATCTAGACTTTGACGAAGCTTACTTTGAAATTGCAAGATCCACAGTTATTTGAATCGGTATTGAAATTCACACATAATCCACTACAGCAGTTCGGAGCAGTGACAGGGCACTAACAGAGATCAGTGGTAGTTCTTGCTCAAGGGGGTTATTGATTGAAACCACTCACGCTTGTTGTGCATGATCCACAGAAACCAGGATTAGTACCAAGATTCATACACTTTCCGAAGCAGCAAATCGGGTCTGTCGCAGGACACTAGCGGATTATTAGCCTGTGGGCGTTTATCGGGGTGATCTAAAATTAGCGAAGCTCACGATATTTTTGCACGTTCCACAGTTCTTCGGATCACCTGCAAGATCCACACACGTGCCGTTGCAGCAGTTCGGTGTTGCCAAAGGGCACTACGAGATATTAGAATTGACATTGACCATAGGACTGTATGGAGATCAAAGAAGCTCACGCTTGCTGTACACGATCCGCAGTGACCCCCATCGGTACCAAGATTCACGCATTTTCCGCTACAACAAGTCGGGGCAGTCACAGGGCACTGACAAATATTAGTATATAAATAATAATCTCAGCATCGAAAAAGCTCACTATAGTTTTGCAGGCTCCACAGTTCTCGTCATCACTATTAAGATTCACACAAACTCCACTACAACAGGTCGGGGCCGACATAGGGCACTAAAAAGTATTAGTACAATCGCGCGAGAGAAGTGATCGGACAAGGGAAACTCACTGTAGTCTTACACCGCCCACAGTTGGATGGATCAGTAGCTAAATTGACACACTTGCCACTGCAGCAATTCTCAACTGCTAGACAGGGTGAACCTGGACAGCCACCACAATGGAGTGGGTCTGAAGTAGGGTCGATACAAGTGCCGATGCAGCAAGTACTTCTTGGTGACGTGCACTATATACTTCTTTTGAAAAAAATTCCAAGGATATCGTGGTGTATGTTGTACTTACTTTTACAGCACATGCTCCACAATTAGCAGTACTGTCACTCAAGTCGGTACACTGTCCAGAGCAGCATGCTGGCTTGACTCCTTGACAAGGCATAGTAAGACATGCTCCACAGTGATTAACATCGACCGCGAGATCGGTGCAAACCCCCAAGCAACAGCCTGGCTGGGCTCCAGTACACTAAACGGAGTTTTTCTTAGCAAAACAAATTTCTCTCTTGGTGGATGACGCAAGTTTCTCACCTTCGTCGCGCAGCTTCCACAGTTATTAATGTCAATGGCAACATCCGTGCACTCGCCGGAGCAACATTGAGGAGTTAGACCCATGCAAATCGTGGTAGTGCCGTTGCCAATGGGAATAGTACTGCAGGAACCGCAGTTGAAAGGATCCGTGCCTGTATCTGTGCATTTACCATTACAACAGGTTGGAGCCGTTGCATCGCACTAGTTATTATTAGAACTGACCCGCTGAAGTAATATATCAATAGCAAAGATGAGGGAAACTCACGCTTGTTGTACACTGTCCGCAATGCTGAGCGTTGCCGGCCAAGTCGAAGCAGGCCCCTGAACAGCATCCAGGAAGCTTTCCGGTACACTAGATGTAGAGTTCAGATACTGTTGATTTTTGGTCTGACGGAAGATGTTCTCAACTCACGACATGAGAACAATTTCCACAATTCTGTGGATCGGATGCCAAATCTGCGCAAAAATTATTGCAACATGTTTCACAGGAGGGGCACTACAGGCAACTTAGCAATGAAGCTCAGGTATAATGTGAGGGGGAAGGTCGATCAGTTGATCGTTAAACCTACCGGCCTCCATGGTAGCCAAGGCGCGCAGAATTGACCGTCAGAAGTAGACGATGAGACTGTGCTGGCTGTTGTCACAGTCACGTTGACTCTAACAGGCGAGGTCCCGGGCGGCGTCGCCTCCACACAATTGAATGAGGCAATCTGAAGGACTACTCCACAATCAGGATCGTATCGTATTGGCCCGAGGGTAAGGCCGATTAATCGGGAGCTCGGGGGATTAATATCCTACCAAAGGAAAGAAGATGAAATGCTAATATCTTGACCATGTTGGGAAACCCTTGGTAAGATATGATGCTATAAAGCTTGGTTATGAGCAATCCTCGTCAATTTTGACTAGATCATACACTTCGGGAAACCTAAAAGGCCAACCCAGCGATAAGAGGACAGCCCATCTTATGTGTAGTATCTCGGCGGCGCGATCTCCGTTCCACATGACGATTTGAAATCGAAGCAGTGGCTTCTAACTTATGTTGCGTCCTTTCAGGGTGGGACACACCTGCACGCGTCCGAGCTTTGAGTGGGATAGACTCGAGGAAGCCAGTTTAAGGTTTCCTAAATCAGCTTTCAGCGAGCTTAGTTTATTAGGTGTGTGACTCGAGAAGCTTGAACTAGCAAATTGAGTGCGTAGAGACCACGTAGAGGTGGCCTCCTCTGCTGGGTTCCTGCTTTTGGATGGTCGCACAGCTGTCGAGTCTAATTGTAGCCTGGTCGAGGGGCATGAAAGAAATTCAATCTACGTAATACAAACTAGTTCATGAGGATCATTGTTAAGAATGATTTTGATCAAAAGTGTGGGGAACCCTTTTACCAACCCTATTGCAAGAGAGTGTCCCTTGTACTAAATATGCTACCTTACCCATCGCGTCACAGTAGCAAGAGCTAGCTGGTGTTGTGTTACTCTATTGGCTGGAAAGGTGAACATCCTGGTATCACATATGTACTTGACATTGGGCAATGCGTTCAGAGATCGTTCAAATAAAAATATCTCTACTCGGTGATGACTAGGAGAAATAGTGGAGAATTGCAAGCTTCGGCTACAGCAAAATTGATCGGGCGATATCCATGGGTGTTGAACGCCATCCCATGCCAGCGAATTAGCCTGTTATAGTCCGTCCTCTCTATACACTACGGGACAACACATTTTGACTTCTCGAGGTTCGTTAGAGCCAGTTCAAGTATACTTGTGACGGTAGCTTATGCATGATAAAAGCCCTACTGCTTGGAATCGTATGCGAGGTAGCCAAACGAGCCCATTGAGAGAGGTAGAGTCAGCCTATATTTTACGACATTCCATGTAGTTGTCCTCCGGATGAAGATCCATCCGTGTGTCTTGTGCGGGGGATATATACCTAGGCCGGCATGAAAATAATACACCGTCGAGGCTTTGTAATTCAGCAAAAGTGATACCTACACCTTTGACTACGGTAGGCGACGAGAATATTTTCAGCAAAAATCACGAACGCCAGGATCTCAGTACAAAAATATAGTGCCAGCGGAACCTGGGAAATTGTACGAATCCGGTTATCGGTTCCAATAAGAGGGACAATATGAACGTCCCGAGGGGGAGAAATCTCATTATTTAATAATTCAATCGCCTCATATTCTTTGTCTACTTGCATAAAATAGTGAAGAGTCGACGGTTGGCCACATAAAAGTGAAAGAGATGGTGAGCAAGGCTGGCTTGGCATTGGCTGGTAAGCGGGGCCCGCTGGAACGCGCCTCCTGGCGTTCCTGTTCATCCCCAAAGATTCTCACAACAACCTCCCCATAACGTCATCGGATAGCCTTTGCTCTGATCCTTGGCCACTTAGTCCTCCTTTTAGCCAACTGAGAGACAGAATAGTAATCAGCGAAGATGCTAGGGCTCCTCAAGAAGGCTCTGGAGAGCAAGGTATATGGGCTGGATCATGCAGTGCTCAACGTGCGACTGCCGCCTGAGACTATGTGGATGAACATGGGATACTGGGAGGTAAGTGATGCCCTCTAATATATTTACGGTTGTTTATTGACACGTACAGGACACTCAAAACTTCCCAGAGGCCTGTCAAGCTTTACTTGACCAGGTTCTGCAAGCTGGTCTCTCTACGGAGACGGCGCAGTCAGTGCGAGTTTTGGATGTTGGATGCGGATGTGGTGACCAATCGGTCCATATTGCAAAACTCAAGAAGGAAGCATTTTCTTATTCTACTACCGCCACATCTCAATCCGGGTTTGGCTCCTCGACCGGGACCTCCGAGTCTGTCTTGCAACGGAAGAGCAATGGGAACGAGTCGTTCAAGTCTCTTGTCGATAATTACGTAGGTATAACCCTACTTTCTTCTCAGGCAGAGATTGCCCAACAGCGAATGCGCTCGTATAAAGAGCATAATAACGATGGAAATGTCCGTACCTCCGCGGATGTCTATTGCGCCGATGGAGCCGACCCCTCCAGTTGGACTGGAGAATTGAAAGATTCCATTTCCAACATGGGCGATACCTCGCTCGACCCGGATACATCTACTTGGCTATTGGCCCTTGATACGATGTACCACTTCCAGCCATCACGACTTCCTATCCTTTACTATGCACAACATACTCTCCATGCATCCTTTATGGCCTTTGATCTCCTCCTCGCGGATAACACTTCCTGGTGGCAACGTCTTAAAATGCGGCTAGTCTGCTGGGTGACTGGCTCGCCTTTCACTAACTTCCTCACTCGAGAGGAGTATATACGTCTCCTGGTCGCGGCTGGCTATGATCCGTCCCGTATTGAGATCAAGGATATTTCTCGTCATGTCTTTCCTGGGATTACGGACTTTTTGGGTCGGCGGATACGAGAGGGACAGCTTTATGGTATCAAATTGGGGAAGTTCCGTGGGGCTAAAACTGTGTTTGGATGGTGGGCTCGAAGTGGGATTGTTAGAGGTGTGGTGGTTGTTGCAAGGAGGTGATGATAACGCGGAGATTGGCGACCCTCGACATGACGAGTTTATTATGAATCATATACATTAAGATTTATTATGTGCGTGTTAATATTTACACCTTCAAGTGGACAGCACCGGTATCCAACCTCTTCCCGGGGGATGTCCCGTCAGTTTGCAGGAGATGGACTCTGCGGGTTGCGGAATACATTCTGGGGATCAATCTCCTCCTTGATCTGCTGCAATCGAGGGAGGTTGGCGCCCCAGTATGCTTCGGGACCATGCTCCATGAGCGGGTCAACATATCCCGGATAAGCTGAATACGGAGCCCCATCATTGGTGACGAGCGAGTTGACCTCGTCCAGGAAATTGATCTGGGTCTGTGTAACAGAACCTAGCAAGTTGATGCTGTACGATTGTAGCCAGATCAGAACGTCACGGTGCGCATACGCAGTCGCATCTGTCGGGATATCATTGGTGTAACCACCCTGAAAATCGAAAAGAATGAACCACGCCAAAGTCCCCTTATCCGCATTGTCGATATATTCAAACATTTTGTCGATTGTGTCAGAGTTCATCAGATTGCTGGGCGTCCAAGCCGTGGACTTGGAATAGAAGTTAGAGGGAACGCCCCCTCCAAGCTGCAAGGCAGCTTCTTCAGCCCAGTTGCCGACAAGACCAAGCCAGTCTTGGAAGACGATGGCGCTGCCGTTCACCCCGGGCCATTGGCTGCCTATGTCTAGTGCGTTGTATTCTTCCTCCGTGCCGAAGAAAGTGCCCGTGATAACCATGCTGTCTTCAAGGACAGTGAGTGTGGAAGCTAACTTTCGTGTCAAGTTGGGGTTGGACACGTAGGCTTGCCATTGTTTGAACAAATCGGCTCGCTCTTGAGTGCTTCCAACCTTGAAGGTATACTCATACTTGACAGCGGTGCCGGGCTCGGGCTCTGTTCGAACCTTGAACTCGGTGACGATGCCAAATCCAGATGCGGCTCCCTTGATAGCGAAGAAAACGTCCTGGTTTTGCGTGTCCGATGCTGTCACAATGCTCGAGTTAGCTAGCACAACTTCTGCTTCCACGATATGATCCAGAGCGGCGCCGAACTGTCGTGAAGTTGGGCCGAGGCCCCCAATTGTGAAATGTCCACCAGAGCCAACCTGCGGACAAGTTCCGTGCGACATGGCTCGTCCTCCAGCATCGTGGAGACGTTGTGTCACGTCCCCTAGCAAGGTTCCAGACCCAATAGTTGCTATCCAAGTCGTGCTATCCATGGAGAACTGTTGGAGGTGCTTCAGATCGACGACAACGGTTCCATCAGTTCCACCCAGGCCTGCCATCATTCCCGACGTATTAGTCTGAATCCCTCCAACCGTACACCTTTCATCCGCTCATGCTGCTCGGAGGGAATTACACACCATAATTGCCATAGCTATGCCCTCCACTCTTCGCTTGAACGGGATATTCATTGTCTGCAGCACATTTAACAACCGCGGCGACCTGTTGTGATGAAGTCGGAAACGTCACCGCAGCTGGAGTGACGGGGATATTGAGGTTATAGCGATTGACGTCGACCTGCTGATAGAAGAGATCACCGGGGAAAGCGACACTGCCGCTATCTGTCAATGCATAGCGGAGGCATGATTTTAAGCTATCACTCCCACTGGCAACAGCAACTGATGCGACACTTGCAGCGACTAGGAGATTTCTGAGAGCGGCCATGCTCGTTTTGCAGGTGAAATCCCCCAACACTTCCAGAAAAGCTCCACATCTGCAATGGAGGGTCAGAGCTCTTTATGAAAACCCCCGGGGTGGACCAGCCAAATAGGCACGATAGATAAAGTTCAAGGCTAAGCTCAACCCAAACCCACCGAATACCTCCAGTCGCCTTGTGGCTTCAGCAGAAAACGCCGCCTGGGGGCAGCACTCTATGCTTCCACTAACCATCGATACCAAAGTACCGACCCCATGGCGGGAGTTATTGTTCGGCTAGACCCAGTTCGAATGCTGCCAGGGCCATGGGTGAATTCATTTTGCACTCAATAGTTGGAGTTGATGAACGCCAGCGCTCGGGTCCTCGCACGTTGTGGGGAATTCGATAGGGGAATACGAAAAACTCTCCAAAGTCAATTTGGAGTGCTGATCTGCTGTCCGCGAAGTTTCTGTCGGGGGCGGATTTTGCGTTCCGTCTTGATGAGCATGATAGCTTCCTACAAGGGTCATTGCTGGGAGTTTGGATCGACAGACACATGGGTTTGAACTTTCAACGGGTGATGCCGATGGTATGCTGTGCAGAAATATCTGCCGAGGAAGCATGACAGGTTGGACCTTAAGGGCATGGCTTAGTTCCTCTCTTCTAAGTACTAATAAACAACCCTCTCAGGCCTCAGCCAACGTTCTCTATATACCCCACCCGGCTACATAAGTGCTTAATGGTCAATGCCTTGTATGCATCATGATTGAAACTTCGTCCGAAGTCTTAGTCTAACGACCGGACGGAACAAAGTCTTTGTCCGGTAATCTCATGTGAGGGTTTACCGACGCGAAAGTACAGCGCAAAAAGGTACAGAATATTATTTTTAGCTACGAAGCTGGCAGGCATGCCGGTTCCAACCTAGCATCACGATCCATGGGTTTCAAGGGCGGACGGCTATTGCCCTCCACTATGACAGCCCCGGCCACGACGTAATATTTACCCACCTGAATATCCGTGGCCTGGTTATTTAGACCATGCTGTAGATTATTCCTTTACGTACTTTGTAACCACTCATATTAGTTGAAATCTTGAGAACTAAGAAACCATAAAGATTATCTTGTCCTGTATATAGATAAAAATATGAAAGGAGCAACTTAGGACTCGATGGTTCATTGGCATATACCCCCCATGCCTCTTTGATAGCTTTCTTCTCCAGAATAGCTATTTACGTTCTTCGACTGTGATCTGTAGCTGATTAGTACTCGAACTTGAATCTTCGACCGATGTTCGACCCTATCGTTCGCGAATGATGACGGAGCGTTCCAAGTTGGACGTGATTAGGTTTCAGAGTGTGATCTTAGTAACTATAGAGTTGAGTCAACTATGTAATAGGGACGTATACGATCATTTAAACCTCCTCTAATGCCTCAACCCCTCAATACAATTCTTCATGTTCTAACTCCCCCAAAAAGATTCCAACCTTCATCACCACCAGACCCCAGATGGCTTCCGATGATAACAAATGCTCCCTTCCCTCATCCATTCTATCTTCGTTAATCGGGCTGATCATCGGACTATCCATCGTTATTCTAGTAGATATCATAAGACTTATCGAAAGAAAATTGAAATTGGCCAAAGAGCAACATGGACATAGTCCGGATATCGAGCGTCAAAGTCATACGCGTGATACCCCGCCTGATTCACTCGCTACCCATACCCGTCGTCCGACCATCACAACTGTCAAGACTGCGCCCGGACACGCTCTTTCTGATATGGATCGAGATAGCAAGCGCATAGCCGCAAGTACTCAAGAGCTGAAGGATCTTCATGCTGCGACTTTTGGGGAAAGTGGTGAATCTAGTCCAGTCAAGAATGGACACTGAATGATTTGCTTATCTTGGGATTTCGTGTACTTCGTTGGAATTGGGACTCTTGCTACGTAAAGTATGAGTTTTTTTTGGAATGAATATTCAGGGTCATGGATTCTAACTCGCATTATAGAAATAATGTATGGCGGCCACGAAGCGCAGTCTGGCAAATACGCAACTTCAAGCAGAACTATGCGATGTTCCCAAATTTCGACAATCAGAAAACTGAGACGACTATATCTCACTGCTCAATACGTTGAAGTAACCACTACCTGCAGTGCCTATCATCATGCAATACTTAGTTTATTGAACGTCATCAACCTTCTTACCAGATCCTAGCGTCGTTCAGATATAGTATCTAGAAAGTAGAATAGTAGCGATAGTAACGGTGAGAGGGAAGACACTTGTAAAAACGACGAGAAGGGTCAACGGCAGGGCCAAAGGGGGTTGAATAGCCGCAAAAGTCGATTCTTTCAATAACATCTAATGGGCCCTTCCTAATCAGGAAGTTCAATATCTCGGAATGGGATGGCAACTGCGAAATACTATGCGAGTATGAAGGTCGCATACTGTAGCTAGAAATAATGACATCGACCTTCCTCAACTGAAACCTACCCATAACTAATGATCGTCTAAGTCATAAAACCAGGTAAAGAGTAAAGCGTGTCTATTCAAACAAACTGCACTGTAAGAATCATCACTCATAGTCTTCTGCCACCCTCATCTGCAGCAGCCATGTAACACAGCATACCACAAAAAGAATTCAAACAAAAGTCGCTCATAGAATATTGACAAGAAACAAAAGACGAATGGGGTAGGGAGGGAGAGCTATCCTCGAGTAGAGTTATCACTCCCCGTATCATCCCATCATCGAAAGCAGTAGGGGGGACAGAGTAACGGTGCATGAATCAGACTGCGGGGAATAAGGCGTTTTTTTTTTTCTTTTTTTCAGTTATTATTTTGTTTTTCTTCCACTAGGCAGTGGTGCCCACGCCGTGCTTGGACTCGGAAAGACTTGACTCGGTCTTGCGCGAGGCCAGGAACTTCTTGAACATGTCAGAGATGGCCTTCTCAGAGGCCTCGTTGCGCTCCTCGGTGCCGTTCTTTTCCATGATCAGACCGCGGAGCCAGTGGTTCTCCAGCTCCAGCTGGGAGACACGAGCCTCGAGGGCATCGTTCTTGTCGTTAGTCTCCTTGAGGCTGCGCTCCAGCGCCTGCTCACGCATCTTCTTCTTGACACGGAAGCGAGCACTGGCAGCGGTGTTGCGGCGACGCTTGTCCTCCTCGGCCATAACGCGGGAAGCCTCCTCGGCACTCGTGGGAGTGGCCTTGGAAGTGCTCTTCCGCTTGGCGGGAGCGGCAGATGTAGCCGGCGAAACGGCAGTCTGGACGGGAGTGGCCGCGACGCTCGGAGGAGCAGTGATGGGCACATTTTGGGTGGGAACCGAGTTAGCCGCCACGGGTCCGTGAGACACGGAGGGGACCGCCGAGTAAGGTGCGGATTGCACGGGCATCGAGGCGTTCAGGCCATTCAGCTCCTGCTGGTACTCGGTCATGTTGCCCAGACCATCTATGGCGAATCAAAAGTTAGCATCCACTAAATTCATCTCATCAGAATCCACTTGGTCGCGCGCTCTTCGGTCAACCCGAATTGGTTGGACAAATTCCCCTTGAATGGCTTTTGGGGTGTGTTCCTTTCCGATCACGTGGAATGGCGTAATAGCGGAGAAGATTCACGTCTGCAGCAGTCCAATTGCCAGGCACCGATCGAAGGCACGAAAAAGAATCTGCACGCGCCACCCGACATGGGTGACCTGCAGCCCTAAGGGGAGAATCACCAATGACTTTCGCGTCAGGGTCCAAAAGAAGGGTAGGGTTGTGCGTGGGGTGGAAATGGGCACATCCAGCGTGTTGAAGACGACATCCAGCCAAGACATGAGTTGTGCGACCAAAAGCCAACATCGAGTGGGCGAGTCATGCAGCCAGTTCGGTAGTCACAGCCATCATGCATGGTTGTATGGGAATGATACCCGCAGACCGAGACCATAGAAATGGTGTGACCAAGGAGGAACTCGTGCAAATGCCATCTTGTATGGCAAAATGTCCAACCATCGAGCGCGACCAATAGGATTCTCCAACAATATCTCTTCAAAGAAACTTACCATTCAGGAATTCCAAAAACTTCATATCGGCATTTTGTGTAGACTGGTCCGCGATGGACTCGACGGGGGAAGACTTGTGATCGACGGCATCGAAGGTAGGCAGGCCAAGGTCGGTGAACTTGTCGAAATCGAAGAACTCGGTATTGGTGAAGAGAGCCAGTTCCTCGTCGAGGTTGAAAGTGTTCTCCTGCTGGCGCTGCTGCACAGCCTGGTCGTAAGGCGACGGGATGGTGTTCAAGTCATCGAGATATTGGGCAAAGTTGGGGGCGCGGCGCCCGTTGAAGTTGGCCATTTTGATTTTGGGTCAACGTGCGGTTGACGATAAAAAAGCCGTTTTAAGTCGCGGATAGTCGGGAGACCAATGTAATTGTTCGTCGTTGAAAGACGAACTGTTGCGCGAGCGCGGTCGCTGGGTAGGTGTGTGACTCGGGGCCGGGTGCGGCTCTAGGGCCGTTGCGGATGAGGCGGGTCAACCCAGGTGTGAAAGGCGAGGGTTGCGACTGTTGTCAAGTCGGATGGGATCGATTCCAAAGGCGCGTCGCGATGGAAGGGCGTTGAAAGATGGTGGAGAGGAAGATGGAGAAAGGGAGGGAGGGTAAAGAGGGTCGAGTCAATGTGGGCTCTCGTTCTCGGGGCTAAAAGTGGGCTTTTTTTTCTTTTGGAATCACCGGGTGGGGGTTTCTCGTGGAGGGGGGATGAGTAATCCACACGTTGTCGCCTCCGGCGGCAGCGCAGCTACCTCGTATTAAACTGTCTATCACAATGATTGAATGAGTATCCTAGATGTAAGTCTATTTAGTTATATCAAGTATTTGGAAAGAATGTGATCTCTTTGCTAATTGCTATCTGTTCTACTACAGTGTCCTTTGAAGAAACAAAACCCGTTGCACCATCCGACCCGAATCGCGGAAGTGGCCGAAGATCGGAGGACACTCTAGTCTACACTTTCAGTAAGTACAGGAGGATCCACACTCCAAGAGAATCCACCGGGAAGAGTTCCCCAACCGGGGAGATCCTTAATAATCAGGTGGATTCCATTTCAGATCCCGTACAGATCAGAATCAATCATGAAAAGTGTTGCTCTCTAGATATCCTAGAGAATATTTAATCATAAACACCCGGGTATACAACAGTAGGGATCCTAGAATTATAGCGACAAGCGCGGCTGTTGGATTGGAATTCAATACGCCCTTGGCCCTTTCCACCTGCACCTCTGATTGGCGGACGTGCCAGCCCGGATTGGTCAGCCCGGGTTCGGAGGGGTTGCAGTCACCCTGCGCTCATTCCCTGATTGTCCCGATCTTTGAATTATTAATCCAAGCCCGGACAATTTATCCTAAAGGAGGAACAATGGTTCCTGGTTGGAGTGGTTGAAACTACCAGTGAGACACAGATCGCATATTTGGGAATGGTAATGACCCCAATCTGCCTTGGTTATGACTGGAAGTATTATTGGCAGGGAAGAGATGCAAGTCATTCTTATAGTTCATCCATAAAGTAGTAGTCGAGAAGCACGGACTGCCTCCGCTTTGGCGGGACTAATCAGGAGCATCCAGATAGCTCGGGGTTCAGGGCAGGGTTAATCCTGGCATTATTGCAGTTCGATATTGTATAGAGAAGAGAGCCCCGTGGGGAAAGATCATATCTACCTTTGTTACCTTGTCAAGCTGAGATACTATTCTCAACTACCAGAATGCCAAAGTGGAAAGTGTGTCCATCATGTATAGTTTGGTATGGGAGGGCCTTTGAGGCATTGCATTGGCGCCATCTTGGATCGAGTTATACTAAACTAATAGGACAATTGTCTCATTAGAATTCACCGAGATTGTAATTTCGCAAGAAGCAACCGCTATATCCTGATGCTGCAAGAATGAAAGATAGACGACAGTCCATTCCACTTGTCCCGCCTTTAGATGGAACTCACGTGATACACTTTATCTTTATCACCACGTGACCTTCATTGTTGATACTCGGCTTCATCGCGTGGAGCTCGACCAGATGAAGAAAAACAAGATCAGCTCTCCCTATTCAGTCCGATATCATGCAACTCCATTAATACCTGTATTTGACCGCGTCATCCCTTCATCACAAACAAATCACCAACCCCACCCATCAATCATGGCGCGCGCCAAACCCCTCCGCGTCCCAACGACCGGCAGTCTCCCAAACAACCTTCGCATCCCCTCATCAACACCCTCCCTCGCCAAATCCCTCAGCAAACACACTCGTCAAGCCCTCCTCGATCTAGCCCTCTTCTGGCTTGATGACGACAACATCACGCTCTTCCCTCCATACCTCAAATCCACCGCCCAACATGACACAACCGACGAAGAAACCCTCCCATACCCGGCCGCCGAAACAATCGACGAAATCCGCCAAGTCTACATTGACCTACAAGAGCGCAAGGGTGGAAAGCGCGAGGTCCTAGAGCGGATATTAGAAGGCGATTGGCGCCATGGGATCACGTTGCGACAGCTCGCAATGTCGGATATACAATACATGGACGATCACCCCTCCAGTTTACGCTGGACAGCCCTGGAACTTAGTCGCATCGATGCGAGACCGAAGGAACCCCTCGATTCCTCCGTACCAGACTGGTCGGCCAATATCCCACGCACACAAGCGGCGACCTTTGTCAGAGCCCTGCAGCAAGAAATCGCCCCCTTCATCAAAGTGCACTACCACCTCTCCCGCGCAACAGTCCTCCCCCTAACATTCCTGCGCATATTTGTCCTCGAATCACCCTACCAAGTACCCCAGCAAAACCCGGAGATCTACTCCGACTCCTCGCGCGTCATCTACGTCGCGTTCCCGGATAGTTGTCCCTACGTATACACCTCCGTCACCAGCTCGACGGGGACACTAGCCGGACCGCCGATTAACATGATAGCCACGGACCCGAAGAGTTTACAGCGGTTGGTGCGCGATGCGGTTCCCAAGGCTCTTTCCCGTCCTCACGAGCGGTATACGCTGAAAGCGACGGGTCTGGCGGCGAAGAATTTACCTACGTTGCTTGCGCTGCGTGGTCCCGGCAGGACGACCGCTGCGAATGGCGCTTTTAGTATCTTTGCTGATGCGGCTGTTGAGGGGAGTCCGTTGGATCCGCGGCCATCGAATACGGTCTCTGCGGAGGAGTATATGCGTGGGGATGGCAAGGTGGTGTCCACGGAGGATAAAGAGAATGATCGTCCTGCTGATAGCATGGGTCCTGCTTCGAAGCGACGCACTGCTAGTGGTGGTGACACCGGCAACAGCCCTCTCTCTCCTACGTCTAAAAAACGACGACTCGCGATTCAGTCCCGGTTCGGCACGGCGGGGGGTTCACTCGCCCCCGCGCCCCTCGACCGTCTCGATATCCGGCTTTTGGATGTACCGTCTAGCAAAGACGGTGATGATGCTACAACTAGTGCTACCCCTTCCGCGGCGCAACCTACTATCTCATTGACATTCACGGGCTCCGATGTTATCGGTGGAATCCGGAAACTTACTGATCTGGGATTAATTGACCCTGAGCGAATGCCATCGTGGATGACCGGTGAAGAAGCAGTTAGTGTGGCCGTTGTACGTGGTGGGAAGAGACTGAAGAGCTCTGCCTAAACCGTCTAGTTGTTGACTCTTGTTTTTTTTCTTTCATTTTTGGGTTGTATTGCATGTGGCGTATTAGGTTATGGGATGGTAGTTTCGTTGGAGCGGTTTTTGTCGTGATACCCATATTTAGCAAGTTTGCATGGTTGGAAGTAACTGTCTGGTTTAATGTGATGATTTAACTCGTATTCTCTCCGAACAGAATCTTTTATCCTGAGTAGCTTGGTCAGTGTGTTGTCCTGTCGTTGTGACCACAGTTTTCAGGGTATTCCTCACCATGCAATATCTGAATGTCGGTGGTTAATACGAGTAGGTTGTTTTGTTTATTTCCTCAGTTATAATGGCTTTCTATCTCCGGGTTAGTCCGTACTTATATAGATAAAGTAGGTCTTTTCCTGCGACATCAAGCACCCAGCTTGAAGATATACTACTAACCACGAAAACGCACCCCACAGAACATGGACTCGGGCGAGCTTAATGCCAAAGATATCGTCTCTTGAGATAAGACCGTTTGGGCCGGGTATTCAAAGTAACAGGTGAGTATTTGCTTGGATATACCGGTAGCTGCCACCTGGAATATGCGCAGGACGCAATACTATCGAATAATTTACCGGGACGAAGGATGAAATGGCTCATACAATAATCATAAATCAATAATTCAAACTGGGTATCGTCAATACAGAATAATAGAACAATCATCACTCATAAACGCCTGGTTATTGAAAACGCTTGCCGTTAAACTCCATCACTCAGAATAATTCATGTTGTATGGGTAGCACCAGAGTAAGCATGTTGTGGCAACGCGGCGACCACCCTACTTCGATGGATTCTCGGCATCATCATCAAGCTGCCCAGAGGAGCGCGATCCTCGGGCAGTTGAAGAAGAGGAGTATGCGGAAGAGACTGCAGAATAGTGGAGAATGTTAGCAACTGTTTTCGACTCAACTCCCCTTCTCAGCAGGATCATAAAGGGAAAAGTACAGAGAAAAGTCCGTACCGCGTTTAGGCGAGAGGCCAAACTGCTCTGCGACGTTGACGTAGCCCTCTCGTCCGATGGTGCCGTTCTTTCGAAGATTCTCGACGTTGGATTTGTACCCGGGAGTTGACCAGTTGGCGCGGCTGTAACGAGATCGAGTTAGTTGGTGCAACTGGCAAAGAAAGATCATAAAAAGGAAAAGAGAAACCCACCAGTAAACACAGCGAATGGAGCCTTGACTTTTGAGCGATGTGCTAGCCCACTGTTTGAAGCACACTTCATGAACATTGTTCCCACAGCCAGTCTGGCACCACACAGTCTTGTCCTTGGCCTCGAAATCCATGAAGCAGATGGGACAGGCACCCTCGAGAGGCTTGCGTTTGCCATCGTGATCGTGAGCCTCGGCGCCATTCCTCTCAAACATGCTCATCAGGGAGCCTTCGTACATTTCTCGCAGCTCCTTCGGAAAAGTTAGACAACTCGGCTAGAGACCAGGGTATGTGTGGAGGAGTCTTACCGATGGAACAAAGGAAATCTGGTATCGAAGCTCAGGACGAGCGTTGAGGGCTTTGAGAAGGACTGGAATGATAAATCAGTAAGAATGATCGTAATAATAAGCTGCGATGAGCGTCTGCAAGGCAAAGACTAGGGAGGAGGGGAAACGTACCATAGATAATATGTTTACACTCGCCGCGACAACGGAACAGGGCATCTGGGCAGTCGCAAGAGGGCAGCTTCCCGATCTTGGCCTTGTAGACATTGCCGGTGGACCCGACAACATCAAAGTAAAACTCGGGAACATCGTCCTCAGTTTCGCAGACTGTCTGTCCCACGATAAACATGCTACAACCCAAGATGGTCAGTCATCACTGGAAGGTGAGTTATTGTTGGCCATGACATACCGGGATCGCTCGATCCGATCTACTCGATCAAGATGGGAATCAGGTGGCGAGTCACGCCAGGGACGGGCACGCTTCTCTGTGCCATGGTATTTGACGATGACAGGAGCCGGGCGAGCTCGCTTGGCAGGAGAAGCCCCAGATGATTTTGGAGTTGGAGAGCCGTCTTCAGGACCGTAAACTTCTCCAGCTTTTCTCTTGGGGCTCCTCTTCGCAGGAGTAACGGGGCTTGCAGAAACACGTTCCATTGCTGGGCTGCCTTTGGCAGGAGCAGCCTTCTTCGTGTGAGTAGCTCGGGTTGAGGAGGCTTTTTGCTTTGCACGACGAGGAGGGGGATTGGGTGGGATCACCGTAGAAGGAGATCCGGGGTTGCCCTCGGAGTACTGCTGGATGGGCTCCATCGTTGGTGGATACTCAGAGAAGGCTGACTCGTTGCGGGCTTGAGGAAGGAGACTTCTTGGAGACGTACGAAAAATGGAAGGTTGGGGAAAAGAAGAGTTGGGAAAGCGTGAATTGGAAGGGGAGTGAAGGAAGGTTGATGGCTTCATATGAAGTATTGTTTGCAGTCCTCCAGCCTACTCAAAGCTCAGAGCAGGTGACGCCAGGTGTTTCAGGACAAACAGCCGACGTCAAGTAGGAATTGTCCTCCAAAAAGCAGAGAGGTCAAACAATGAAGCTGGAGTTTGCCTCTTAGAAAGTTGGAAAGACTCCAGAAAGAAGAAAGCAGCCGAAAAGGGCAGGAGCCCAGTGGTTGGTGTTTGCAGTGTTTGTTTTGCCACCCCGAGAGTAGAGATTAGTATATTGTTGTTGAATTACTTCACGGTAGTCTTTAGGTCTCTTGATAGAAAATATTGGTATGAATTTGGCTCATCCCTATCTTCTCCATCATATAGACTATATGTGCAGCCATCGCAGAATAAGATATAATGCCATCTCTTTCACCTAGCTTAGTTAAGAATAGATCATCTTTCCCTCCTCAGCTTCGAGTACTACAATCATCCTCTTGATACACCTCCTTGCTAATCTCTAAACATAGTTTTTGCTCTGTCACTTCTCCCCCATTCATCGTGTTTTCAATATCTCCGTCCTTTTAGACTGAGCTGCACCCTCTACGGGGGGCAGCCATTCCCGCCGACTCTGGCAAAAGACCTCAACCTGAGGCGCCCACTCACTCTTCGACGGTCCCAGGTCCATCGTGCCCGAAGTAACGGTCAGCATGCCCTTGAACACCGAGTTGGTGATGAACAACGGTGAACCGCAGTTCGAACAGAATGTCCGAGACAGTGCATTTCCTGAGGAGTTGTTGCTATCTTTGTAGATCTTTAACAGCTCTTCGCCAGAGATTATTCGGAATTGCTAAAGATAAGTTAGTTTTGGGTCTTATCGGAATGGAGGGTATAGAATCGGGATGGAGAAGGACGTACATCTTCCTGGTACACGGCATTCGCCATGAAGCTGGATCCTGTGGCTTTGCGACAGTTATCGCAATGACACAAGAGTCTCACTTGAGGGTCTCCAGAAATTTCATATCGGATCTGCTGGCAGAGACAGCTACCAGAAATGGTCGGGAGGTCTGACATATTCTTAGAATATAGGGTGGTTGCGGGGAATCAAAGTATAAAGTGGGGGTAAAAAATATTAAAAAAATAGATCTTGACTCTAAGGCTATTTATCTACTTAAATAGGGTCTGACAAGAATTTAATGGAAGGTTCTGGGGATTGCGAGTTGGCTGCAATATCCCCTGTCCCGCAATGCACGGCTGTCTATGAGTGTAGCGAATAAGGTGTGGTGATTAACGCCCAAAGCTAGGTTGGATGAAACCACAGCAGAACGCCTGAAATAGCGGGGAAGAGAGTTTATCTACATTGCCCAAAGACAATCCTAAATATACATTACCAGCTGTCAGACAGCCTTAGAACCACGACAGTAACAAGATAGGAGGCAGCTCATATCCTAGATGATGATACATATGGTGATACAAGAAGCTATGAGGTCAAATAGTAAAAGTTATATCCATGAATTAATCATTGTGAGTCATTGTAAGCTTTATTATCTGTCGGCTTACCCCAATCGAATATGTGCCTGAGGCTTACCGATAGACGAATGTTTGCATCGTTTGGCTGAGGGAGCTCCATCGGCGCTATCGATCGTTATCGGCCCGCCCGCGCGACAACTGCCTAGCTCTCCACCAGAATGACTTGCTGAGCAGACTGCAATGCCCGCTAGGACAGGAAACTTTTTCTCGAACTGCAATCAAACACACCAAGTTCATTGCAGAGTCTATGGCGCGCCCACGAGCTGCGTCGGGCGCTGATGCCCCCAAGGAACCCCACGCCGTGTCCCTGAAAGGTGCGCTGTTCCCCGGAGTACGAGTTGAATGCGAACGATGCTGACCATGATTATGATCGATAGTTCTACGGTAAAAACCTTGTTCTCGATACTAGCTAGCTGGTCATAACCACTGACACCTGCTAGTCTCTCTCGGCCGTCCTTGTCTTATCAATCCCCTCTCCCCGCTGCCAATACCAAGATCTCCCCAAAGGCCTCCCTGAGCTATCCATCCGCCGACTCCGATGATCAATTCATTCTTACGCCCATCGTGAGCTCACACCAAACTTTACGCTCATCAAGTTAGCTTCCCACTAACACAACACAGCTCACCCTCCCCCCAGCATTTGGATCAGTCTACGTCGGCGAAACATTCGCCTGCACACTCAGCGCCAACAATGAGATTTCCCCAGACGACACAGGCCGAGCCGTAACCTCCGTACGCATCGTTGCCGAAATGCAAACACCCTCCTCAGTCGCAACCCTCGATCTCGATCCCGCCAGCGATACGGCTCAAACGGATGGTCTCGATATTGCCGAGTCTCTACAGAAGATCGTGCGCTATGATCTCAAGGAAGAAGGAAACCATATTCTCGCCGTGAGTGTGAGTTATACCGAGAATAGGATTGGCGAGAATGCTCATGTGGCGAGTGGTCGTGTTCGCACGTTCCGGAAGCTATATCAGTTCGTTGCGCAGCCGTGTTTGAGTGTGCGCACTAAGGCATCGGAATTGCCGCCTTTGGAGGTGGATAATAAGTCGCTCGGACCATATGGGAAGACTCGGTTGCTTCGGTTTGCTTTGGAAGCGCAATTGGAGAATGTGGGAGATGGTGCGGTGGTTGTCAAGGTGAGCAGCCCACAATTAGACGAGAAGCAATGGGGGACAAAGAATATAGCACCGCTATACAAAGAACAAAAAAATAAAGCACCAGCTAACAGACCTCTAGCAAACCCGCCTCAACCCCAAACCACCCTTCAAATGCCAATCCCTCAACTGGGACGCAACAACCTCCGATCCCACCGCATCAGAACCGCCAACCCTCAACCCACGCGACGTCCTCCAAGTCGCCTTCCTCATCGAACAGGAAGAAGGCCGCACAGAAGGCCTCGAAGCCCTACAAAAAGATCTCCGCCGCGACGGCCGCGCCACCCTGGGCCAATTATCCATCGAGTGGCGCGGCGCCATGGGCGACAAGGGCTTCCTCACAACTGGTAATCTTATGAGCCGGAAACGCACCTGAAACACGGTGTAAGGGCCGGGTGGGGACACTTGGTTCCCGTCGTGCCACGACATGTCCACGGCATTGCTATCCGAGTCTCCCGATGCATATATCCGCGTTTAGTGCAGGGCACGAATTGCGTTGGGTGTGCAAGGATTATCTTGGGCTTGGATGGAATGTATGACGAATGAAAGTACATAATTTGCGAGTCTTTTTCTTTTCTTCTTGGTATCTCTTATTTTGGATATATTCCATTGGCGAATTGGCGTGTTGCAATGCATTTGTCTATCGTACCTTTGGATATCCTGTTCAGGCTAGATCGGTCCTCACCCCATGCCTATGCCCATGCCCAGACTAATCCCTGTCCGATCCGCAATTTATTATGCTTGTCTGTAAATGCCGAAACGGTAAATCTACTGGAATACCGTGAATCCTTACGCGGGCTCCCTGGTTTCCGGCGCCACTGGTATGGGGCTCCCTCGGATGGCGGCTTGCCATGCAGCTGCGGGGTTCGGTTTTGGATGGATCATGGGAGTGTGACACTGCAGGGAAGTTGTGGCTACGAAGTGGATCTCCGAGCTGGGCGAGGTTGGGCTGGATTGATTGTTATTATTATCGACAAGGTTGGATTTCTATGATAGATTATGTTTAGTATACTGTAAACTATGGGTTGAGCTTGGAAAGATAGCCGAAAGTGTCAAAGTATGATGGAAGTATACTTTCCCAGTACATACCCAATTCGGTAAAAGTCATACAGTATGTAAATTGACCTGATCGACATGACTCACTGATTGTTATGCTAACTATGTATCGACAATCTCCTCGATGTTTGACCATGCACAAGATTATCAGCTATGATCAACGGGTGGAGAGAGTCTATTTCTGGCCGAGTCTAGAACACCTCCCGTCGCTGATAGTCAGATCCATGGCCCGAGTCCAGACCGATGGGATGGACAATTGAACTGTGCTTGTTTGACCGCATATCTGCCCGATAATTCGAATTTAAATGGTTCTCTGTGGCTTTCTGAGCAATATAATTCTCCATAGGGACGCGATCTCCATCTGTAGATATATCTAAGAAGACGGGTAAACACCCAATCTTCCATACATCTACCACTACGCACAAAGAAACAAATCCAACAAAAATCCCCATTGCTCTACACCCCAGCAAAGAAACCCAACCTTCCACCCACCACTTAATTCGCACTGTATGTACTGTACTAAACCCAACCTACCAAATACCAAAATCCCTCGCCATGCAGGTTAGGATAACCTTGCCGTAGCCCATTCCCACCTGCAGCCAGGCGAAAAGGGATATTGCAGTGTAGAAGTCCGACTCACCACCCAGAAGTTCAAGCTAAAGCAGTAAAGCTCAAGGCAGAGGCTACCGCTAGAGGCTTCCACGTAAGGCCCCGGTGCAGGCCGGGTTTGGAGTTACACAGTGGCGGGCTGAGGGCGTTATGGGGGGGGGGGGGGGGGGGGGGGGCCCGGCTGGGTGATTTGGCCAATCGTGTTTCGTAGCGAGGATGTCCTGCATAGAGGCGGTTGGTGGGAGAGGTGTAAGTAAGGGGCAGTTTTGGCAACGGGTATAAATTGGGTATTTATAGTACGGTCTACAGTTCTGGAGGAATTATATGGATAGTAGTAGAATGGGAATGAGGAATTGGATTATGTGGATGTGGTCGGGATTCGGTTCGAGGATGGGAGGGACCTTGCAGAACAGTCTATACATTAGTATGCACCATTTAAGTAAAGATTAATGTCAAGCATAATTATTTCCATCTTTACCTTCCTCCATTCAATGTACATACATACATTCTCCTGTACTCCGTACACACAGAAATCAGCGTGCGCAACCACGATTATGATTGCCCAATTCAATCCCCTCCCTACTCCACCATCAACCCGCGTCGGGCATAGATCGGCCTGTCCCCAGAGGCACAGGCCTCCACTTTCGCTCCTGACTCAAGCTCCGACAGGGTATAACTATTCTCCCTAAAGTGCGAGATGATGGGAATTCACATGTCATAGCTGGAAAGAGTAGGAGCATGGGTTGTTGAAACTATCGGTTTATGGGGGATAGTGGCGTGGTAACGAGTCATGAAGAACGGAAGGAGGAACAGTTGTGGTTGTTCTCGGTTGAGGCGCTTTCGGCAGCGGCTGACCTTTTCCCTGCTTGAGAAAGACCTGAAAAATTGGGTTACATGGTGCTGGAGATCGCTGGTTCGGAAGCCAGTTGGCTAATAGCGTGGTGGTTTGGATCGGATGTGTAAACTCAATGGGAATGTAGATCTCTACTACTGTGCAAAAACTAGGAACAAAGTCAGTTGGTTAGTTAGTTGGTTAGTTACAAGTTGTTGTTTATTCATCTTCACCCTTCTACTATTACTGCCTCGGTATCCCTCGGTACCTGCTTCTAATATTACCTCCTCGCTATGAATACATACCCCGTACTATTAATACCCCGGCTCCTATCCCCCCCTAAGTTCAATCCTGACTATGTTACCACAGCACCGGATCAGCGACTCGACCAAACGCCATGTCTCAGGCCGAGACCGTCAAGAAAGTATAGAAAACTGCGATCGCCCTTGTGATAGCAATTAGCCCCCACGACACCAAGACCGCGATAAGCCGGCCTTGAAAATTCGAAATACCAATGGAAACTGTGGTGGTTGGAGAGATTTGCTTTGGTGCTCCGTACTTCCCGCAAGAAACGCTTTTGACGCATTTGGCGGGTCGCCCGAGGATGTGGAGGAATCGTCGGGTAAACCATGGAACGTGGGCTGATTGCTCTCCGTTCGGTGACGGGTTGATGGAAATGGTTGGATGGATTCTATTCAAAGGGTCAGTTGCCAGCCAAGCACGGATGTGCGATTGCGCTCCACCGAACCGATCATCGAGTGGTTCGAATGGTCGTTTTATATGGTGCGTGGTGGAGAACTATCGGAGGTTTACCTGGATACTGCTGTAATCTTGGGATATAAAACTTTCCAATAGAACTATTCAAAGCCGGGGTCGAAGTCTATAAGAAGTTAGTGTCTGGTTCTAGAGACTGCCTTAAGGCAGTCTCTAGAAGTATAGTATGGGTCTCTGTCTCACAGGGCCTGGATTGCCCTGGATCTCTCCCCGATTGTTTAGAAAGGTCTCGAAACCGGCCAGTGAGGGTGCATTGGCTGCAGGTCGGGCCCGTGTCAGACTCTTGTGCATCAATGGGGCGCTTTTTTGGGGGCGCAGAGTGGCGGGCTGGTTTGCTTTGCTGGTCAGTGCACCAAGGGGTTCGAGAGATTGTTCCTGAGTCTGCCATTTGACGGGAATTGGGGGATAGTTTGTTCGAACGCCACCGGAAGGGGTGAATAGGAGTGGATTAGGATTGTCTTAGGGTTAGGAGGGAGATATAGTAGTTATAGTAGCTGTGGGATACAGTAGTAGGAGAGATAACGGATATAGTATAAGTCATAGCTACCAAGTTATAATATTCTCTTATGGACTGGCAGAATAAAGATACTGCAGGACTCTCCTAGTAATCGCATTACGAAGGGCCTACGCAACCATCCGTCCAACAGGAAAAAAAAAGCACTGTAAAACTGGGGCATTCAAAAAGAAAAAAAAAGAATATACCCTTCTAGAGTCCCACAAATAAAAATATCCTTGGGTTAATAAACTCTTGTGTCTTGATTCCAGAATTATAACAAAGTAAATAATCAGTTCCATACTAAAGTCTCCCCTATTTTTGTCCTGCGTAAGAATCATCCTTACCCAATCCCACCCCCAAAAAACCCCTCGAAATCCATCAAAAACCCAACCCCCCAAAAATTGATCTTCACCCCTCCTCCCGAATTTCCCCTACTCTTCTCTTCTCTAACTCTTTTTGCTACGATTGTTCTGTTTCTCCCCTCCTCCTACTACTACTACTATTATTCTCTCTCCTCTCGATCAGTCCCCACTCTCTTCTGGGTCTCGCCAAATTCGTATGCTCCCGCGGTCCCGTCGTTCTTTTCCCCGCCTCTGCTCCCGACATCGCCCACACACCCCCTGATCGAACTTTTGAATGCGGTCGGAGTTCCTACCATCCATGCGGTGACAAGGGAAAAAGGGTGGACAACAGTTGACCAACTCAGAGTGTGAATTGCTTCTATGCGACGGTCCCACACACAATTACAATGCCTTCAACTAGCTCCCCGGAGGGCGCTCCTCTGGCCGATTACTTTTGGATTGCGGGCGTGGACGGCACTGAGATTCTGGATACCTTCAAACGACTCGGCGAAGACTATCGCATCAATGGCGCTGCCTCCCCGGGCCCCGCGCTCTCCGATGCTATCCAGGAAGACGCCGACGCTGAGGAGGAACACCTCCCGGATGGTACCTCCCGGCCCAACTCGACTCTCTACGCTGGAAATAGTACCCGGCGCAGCTCCAACCAGCGCCTGTCGACCCTTTCGCGCACCGATTCCAACCAGCCCAATGGTACCGGTAGCAACCGTAGCAGTGTCACGGTCAAAGGCGCCTCCTCCCCGATGCGGGCTTCGGCAATGTTCTCCGAGGACTTTGATTTTGACCAGGCGTTGCTGAAGTTTACGTCGGAGAGAGATACCTTTTTGACGGATCTGAGCTTGAGTGCGGGTGCAATTACCACGAACACGCGCCCGCGATCTCGTGTTCGTACGCAAAAGATTGTCTCGGAGGATTCGCCGTCTCAGGGTGGCAATCTACTACGATCGGGCATTGGAAGTGTGCGCCGGCATATGTCGTTTCGGGATATGAATAGTATGAAGAGGCAGCCGTCGACGATTGCGCGACAAGGTGAGTTCTAGCTTTGAAAATGGTTGAGGGGACGGTCTTGCTATGGGATTTATTACTGACGACAGGCATTGCTTGATATAGCTTCCGTACGTACGTCTCGACGACTTAGCAACTACAATTCCGTGATTCCCGTACCGCAGCCCCTCGAAATCTCCCCGACAATGCACCCATTGAAGCGCCGCTTCGAGCCCGTCCTGCTCGATCGATACCCCACGCGAGGCATGGCCGACGAGATGAAGCAGCGAGGCAACTTTCCGGACTACGTACCGATGTTCGCCTTTCCCAATGATGTCAATATTGTTGCCTCGGATCAACGGCCGCGGTCGACCTGGCACGGGTTTGCCATGACAACGGACAATGGCTCGAAGTTGCACGCAATCTGTGTGATTATTTGGATCCCGTTGAATTCAAAGGCTGCGGATGAGCTGGAGAAGCGATGTGAGGAGTGGCGGAAGGATAACATGACGGACGAGGAGCGTGAGCTGGCAGCGAGTCTGGGCGAGCGGCTTGCATCGGAGCGGGCCAAGCTGTCTAGGCTGCTGGCACAGCTGCCGAATGTACCTTCCGGATCAGACTCCCGTGAACAGCTCGAGGACGAGATTAGCGCGGTCGAGGAGAAGATTGGGCTTATGACGGACTTGCTGCGCCCGGTGCGACATGCGGCGTCTTCCAAGATCGAGGGTTTGACTGATGGTGACACGGGCTTTTGGATTCCCCGCGCATATGGTATTCTCGGTCGTGAGGCGAATATGACCAGCTTCTGGAAGGAGTGGCTGAAAGCGATCGTTGTGCCGATGACCGAGGGTGGTGTGCAACGTGTGCCATCCAGTTCGCAACGAATGGGGGTGTGGCAGCCGCTGGAGCGATACGTCATGAATCTCTGTACGGAAGCATTCTGTCCAGTCTCGTCCAAGACACAGGTCGAGCTTGCAATCCGTGAATTGCGGCTATTTGCTCGCCAGGAAGCTTCTAACGAGCTTCCGGGTTCTCGCAATACCGACCTGTATGCCTTGTTCCGAACATTATCCGTCCCGAACATTATTATTCTCTTCGAGTACGCTTTGACAGAGTCTCGAATCATCTTCTTGTCCTCCCACACCTCAATGCTCTACCTCGCCACCAGGGCTCTGGTGGACCTGCTCTTCCCCATTCAGTGGACTGGTGTTCTGATCCCTGTTCTCCCCGCTCGTTTGGTCCAGGCGATCGAGGCTCCTTGCCCGTATATTGTGGGTATCGAGCGTCGATATGAAAAGGTGGAATTGCCCACCGACGATTTCGTTCTGGTCGATCTGGATAACGACATGATCGAGAGTACCCTTCGCCCAACTCCTCTCCCCCGTCATCAACGTAGGAAGCTCCTCTCGCTCTTGCAGATGGCTGCTCCTCACCACAGTCGCTGCGGGGTACCAACCGGTCCCCCAGCATATGCGATCGAGACATACCCATGGGACACATTCTTGTCAGAAAGCGCGGCCATGTACACCGCAAAGGCCCCGCCAACCAACCTTGCCAAGTACGTGGGCCTCAATTCCAGCACCTTCGGCTCAACTGCCGTGACTCCTGGAACGTACCAGCCCCCGATCTTCAATGCATTCCTTCATGCCCGTAACGAGCAGGCCTCCTCACGCGGGTATTCCTCCAAGAGCTATGACCGGCCAGGAACTAGCTCCACAGCCAGGGCCAGTGCGTCTCCCCCATCGCCCAGAGAAAGCTCCCCTACCTCGGGTCACTTCCCTCCACCTCCACCGACTCCCTCCTCTCGGAATGACTCTGGCATGGCGTTGCAAGCGTCGCTGCGAGAGAAACGGTCTGGCCATTTCGATGCTGCATCTCGGAGGAGCTCGTCCTTTGGAATGACGCGGCGTCCGAGTGCGCCTTTCCTCGGACATGCCTCTAATCTGTCCGTCACCACGCTCAACACGGACTACGGGCCAGGCTCGACTTATGCTCCGTCGGTGTACGCTCAATCCACAATTGCCGCATCGACGATTGTCCCACAGGCTGCTGTGCAGCCCATTGACAATGCTACGGGCACTGCCTGGGTTGAGGGCCACTATTTCCAGACCCAACCATGGGATGAGAAACTAGTATGTGCCATCTGTGATGACCGCGCAGAGGAAGGCATGTACAAGTGCTCGCAGTGCAAGTTGACTGTCCACAACCGCTGTGCGTCCCAGGTCTGCCTCGTCTGCGATGCTGCCTTCCACCCCGATCAGATCCGCGCGGCCTTTGTCAGGTGCTTCGCCAGCTTATTCTATACCTATAAGAAGTTCCTGGTACCGGCTAGTGGGGAGAAGAAGAAATCTGGAATGTACTACACGTTCAATATGGATGCTTTTATGAAGAGCCTTCCACATGAGCATGCCGAGTACATTGCCGTCCTGCAGCAAACGCAAGGTAAGAATCTGTGTTATGTTTTTGACAAGATGATAATGTCTAACGCTCCAAACTTAGGATTCAATGAGTTCATCAGTGAACGTGAAAGAACCAATCCCAAGTCCAAGGACTCAAAGATGGCCCTCTTCGACGAGATCGTCCTCTCAAAACGCAACCGAGGCCGCAGCTCCATCTTCTCCGGTCGATCAACCACCGACTTCCTATCCGACACGTCCAACCACTTGTGGCGGACAGCCAGTGCCACATTCTTCGCGCCAAGCAGCCGTAGCCAACCAAATCTCTCCGGTGATTACAGCAGAGTTGTCCAAAGAGGTGAGTCTGATTCTGTCCATCCAACGACTGTCCCCATCTAACCCGCCACAGCCCCGGCCAAGCTTGACACGAGTCTCATGAAAGAACCCCGCATGATCCATGGAGCTCCGCGGGTCTCCAAGACGGCAAATACTGCCCGTCGAAAGCCTTTGCCTAAACTTATGAATGGGTTGGCTATATCTCCTCCGAGTTAATTGGTGTGATTTCTTTTGGGCATCGTCCGATTATCATTCCGTCTGTACTTGGTGCGCCCGCGTGGGCCCTTGCCCGTGTGTGCGTCTGCAGCTGCATCTATGTCCATTTTTTGACATGACCCGAGCCCGCTTTTTGAAACAATTGGTCTAGATTCCGTCTGGATCGGCTTTGGCTGGCGGTTCCCGTCCGTGTCTGCCTGATTGATTGGCAATTCCTGGACATGCTGGTCGTCTTGACCTTGGACAGGGCGGTTATGCGTCGCCACAGAGCCAAATCGCTGCTCAGGTGAGATGGCCTTCTGTCTCTATGCCTCCCACTGTCCTAAACCATCTCCCTCTCATCCTCCCCTATCTCCTTCTTCCCCTCGCTGCCGCCCATGGCTCGCCTATCGCATGTCGATCTGCAGGAAGCAGGTCTACTGCAAGGATGTCATCTCTTGTGGCGTGCCATGATGTTGTCCAATGGCGAGCCATAATCGCCAGGATACCCAGTGTCACAGATCCCCACCATTTGTCTCGGGAGCCGATCTCTTTCTCCAAGCGGCTCCAGTCTCGTGTCTCGTGTCTCTCTCTCTCTCTCTCCGCTAATCTAGCTTCTGCTGTGGCGCGGGAAACGTGCAACAATCACGTTGGCGAGCCTCGGGATTGATTCCCTTGTGACGATACCTCGACCTATTGACGGAGGTCCCTTCTTGTTTCCTTTCTTTCTCGTACATAGTAATTCCTCCGGCTTGATGTCGGGTGGAGTGAACAAAGCAAACTTAAAAGCGCAACGGCGCAAAGACTGGTCTGATCTGTCGAAAATCTACTTCTGATACACCGTTTGCTTTTATTTTGAAAGAGATCAGCTATTTGTTGGCGATTGTTTCAGTTATTCCCCTTTCACCTCATGTCTTTGTTGTTTGTTTTTTTCAATACCCCCTTGACTTGGTTGGTATGTTTCTCTCGTTTTTTTTTTCTGTGTGGACCATTGGAGGGGTTATCTCCCGATGATTTAAATTCTCTGACCATGTTTTTATGGATGCCATGTAAGACCCATTTCAGATCATATCATTTCAATCTGCCAACATTGATTGGAGATAAAAATCTTTTTTTTATTAATAAGGGATTGGTGATTGTATGAACGACAAAAGAATTGTGGATGGGATGGGATACTTTGACGTATAATTTGATCTTGTGACCATTTCCGTCTGGCTAGTAGAGTGCTGGAAGTATAGTACGTCCCGCTTTATGTTTATTGAGGGACCTCCCTTTATACGATAGTCCAGTAGCTAACTACCTACCCAGTGGCTATTACTACTACATACCCGGCAAGTCCACCAGGCATCTTCCTACCGCGGCACTCATCACCTATTGGTCACACCTGCTTTTCCATGTTTTTTTCTTCTGCTTTTCCGAGGACGTATCAATTCTTCCATAGTCACCCTTCTCCCACCTTCCAAGCCAAGCCCTTTTTTTTCGATGGATGACGGTAATAGACGGCATAACTTATTTGCGTTCTGGTGTAGGAGACCAGAGGTGATGGACTGGGTGGATTACCCGGGCCGGGTGGTTATTGGTTCTCGACTAGCCGTGTCTCTTTGGTTAGCCGGAGATTTTCCCCGTATCAACGCGTGGGAATTGTGGGCTTGTCGGGGGTTCGGGGGAGGGAAGTGCGACCCTGTAGATGCGGCTGTGTGACATTGGCATTTTAGATGGTACGGTATTATTATAGAGATTGGATTATGGGTTGATGGGTTGGTGGTTGCCAAGTATACGGGGTAGCTATAGAATAGGCTATAGAGTAGATTGGATTTGTAGATGGAGAGGAGTATATTATTCGAATAGAAGGTATTCTCTTCTTATAAGGATGATTGTAATTTTCCAGTGATTATCCGGATAAAAATCCTTTTAACCAACTAACACGTAGTACATAGTTACTATAGTAATACTATAGTACGGATAGTACTAAGTATACTAGATTACCCCCAGAATCTCCAATATCCGATCCGCAGTTTATGTGGCCAACTCTTCATTCTGATTGGCGGAGAATTGCAACCCCGTCTCTTCTCCCCCCGCCCCCGGAATGGATTTTCGCATTTTTGGTTTTCTTCTTCGGATGGATCTCGGATTTCCTCCTGGATCCTACCTGCTATCCCCTACCCTATTCAACTTCTTACCTTCCTACCAATTCTTCCCCGGTCAGACAAAAGGAAATTCAACCTTCCAACCCTGCGCTATAGCCGCCTGTCTTGTGCCCCCCCCCCCCGTATTAAACTCTATCCGACCTGCTACATTTCCCTTTTCCCCCCCTCCCCCCATTTCGTTCTTTCTTCCTCCACTACTTGCGCCTGGCACTTTATCCGGTTTAACCCTGTCTGGAAAAAAGACACACCAAATCTACTATACTACTACTTACTCGTCTCGTTCGTTCTCGCCTCCTCGGTCAATCCCCGGTCTATGCCGTTGCGGATACTACTTGCCACTTGCCGTGGACGAGCCGGACGCTGATATTACAATTTTTCCATCACACACACTCTTTCTTTCCTTTCTTTCCTCTTTTCTCCCTCTCTCTCTTCTTCCTTCCCCTTCTCCAATTTTTTCTCCCTTTTGGATCTTGCACTTTGTTGGCTATATCTCAACTTGACATTCCGTTGTCTTCTTGTGGCCGGGGCCCTCTCGCGTGACGTTGACGGTGTCGGTGATAACCCGCAATCTACGATTGAGAAGATTCGTGGACCAGACCTGGTTGGGTCGAATTCGAGCACGTTCATCCTCACACCCCAAGTATGAAAACGTCTAAATCTGCTATGCGACGATGATGCCAACTGCCCTACCGCCCATGGCAACGCCGCTACGAGACGAGACGGCCGCCGTCTCCACCCTAAAGGATCCCGGTCCTCATATGGCTTCGCCCAACAATACCGCTTCTGACCTTTCTACCTCCGTCTCCTCGACCTCCTCGGCTGGCTCGGTCTTGAATATCGCTGCAATTGTCTCCAATAATGCGCCCGCCGTTTCCTCCCCGCAGAACCATGTCGCTCCCTCCGTTATACCCCCGCCGGAAACCCCGTCCGGGACGATAGTCATTGTGTTTGGCGCGGGGATGGAAAGCATCGTACACATGGTCGCGGAGGTGCTCGGAAAGCCCTGGACAACGGAAACCTCGCTTGCGACGCTGGCTAGAGCCACGGACGTGGTTGTCGCCGGTGTGCTAGCCCATGATTTCGACCGCAGTCTGGAGGGATGCGACAGGTCCTCGATCATCTTGATAAATACCCATTGCGTGGAGGACGGGTCTGCACCCGAGGATGCATTGACCGAATCATGCGACTACGAGTTCTTGTACTCGCGAACCCCCTTTTGCGTCGCGATTTGACGCGCTTTCTTTCTTTGATCTTGGGTCAGACGAGGCCGCATGAGGACTTGCGCACCAAGACGCGGACCAATTTTATTTCGACGACCTTCCCGGATGTACATGCCGCGCTGCCGAATTTGGATATCTTGTCGGTGGGATCGGATGCGGTTGAGATTCGCGTGGACTTGCTGGTCGAGCCTACGGCGGATGGCACTGCGGCGGGCTCGGTGCCCAGTTTGAAATACGTGGGTCAGCAATTGATGCTGCTGCGGCAACATACCGAGTTACCCATTATATTCACGGCGAGATGCACCAAGGAGAATGGAAAATTCCCCATGGACGATCCCATGTTGTTCTACAAGTACTTGCGGCGCGCGATCCAGTGGGGCGTTGAATATGTCGACGTGGAGCTGTGGTTGCCCGAAGAGATTCGCCGGCGATTATCAGAAGTCAAGGGTCATAGCATTATCATGTCTGCCTTCCATGATTTTTCGGGCACATGGAAGTGGACGGCCCCCGAGGCTCAGCGTGTCTTTGAGGAGAGTGCCAAGTACGGTGATATCGTCAAGATGATCGCCATGGTCTCGACTATCGAGGAGAACTATGAACTGGAATACTTCCGTTCGACTATCAAAAGTCGTGGACCGGGTCCGCTACTCTCTGCCGTCAACATGGGCCAAATGGGTCAACTCTCGCGTGCCTTGAACACCGTCTTCTCCCCCATCACCCACCCTTTGCTCCCCATGATCGCAGCTCCGGGTCAGTTGACCGCCGCCGAAATCAACGAAGCCCTGCATATCATGGGCCAACTGCCCAAGCGCGATCTATACGTCATCGGCTCGTTCCGCGCCACCCCACACTCCATGTTCATGGAGAAATGTCTCAACGAGCTCGGCCTTCCGCATACTTTCACTTCCATCGACCGCGGCCCCAAGGGCTCCATGGAGTCTATCCTCACTCAGCCTCAATTCGGCGGTGCCTGCCTCAACCCACCCATCTCCAGCTCAACCACGTACATGCCCTCCATCAGCGACGCGGCCCGAGCCATCGGCCTCGTCGACACAATCGCCCTCTCGGCGCCGGCTGAAATCGGCAGCGCGCGGTTCGTCGGTGAGAATGCCGCGTGGAAGGGTATCCGTGCCACGCTGACGCGCGAGTACGTACCCTCCGCGTACCGCGGCCGCGCGGCAATCATCCTCGCCGGCTCCGAGACCGACGCCTCGGCTGCGATCTTTGCCCTGCGCAGTCTAGGCGTGGGATCGATTTATACGGTCGGGTTCAAGGCTAGCGGGCCGCTTGCGGCGGGGTTGGAACCGTTTACCTCGATTCAGTCGGTTAAATTGGTTGAGCAGCCGTTTGTCATTGTTTCCGCGTTGCCGCCGGAAAAGTCCCTCTTGGTGCAGCCCTTGCTCAGACATTATCGGACCAATGGCCGCTCGTCGCCGCCGTCGACGAGGGGGAAGGTTTATCTGGATTTAACCTCTGGTCCTAGGAAGGGGGATCCCTTGGGCGTGGCGAGTAGTGCGGGCTGGACGGCGTATGGGAGTGAGGATGTTAGTGCTTGGACGACGGTGGAGACGTTGCGGTTGTTGGTGGGTCAGAATGTGCCGTTTGACTTTGTGAGGATGGCGTCTGGGAGGCCGTTATTTTGAGTAGAGGGTGTCATATGAGTGAGTCAGTCGTGTCATAGCTTGGAGTGGACTTGGTGATTAGGGTGGATTGTATGTCTGTATGTGCTTGTGCTTGTGCTTGGTTCGTGTGTCTGGCCCGGACGATGCAATAGATCTGAAGATGTCGTCGAGGGTCTAGGGATTGGAGTTTGTTGGAGCTTGGTTTGGATATTGGTTTTCATCTTTCTTTTTAACTTTGAGGCGATTGGCCTGAGTTTTGTGGTAGTGCATAGATATGCATGATCATTGGAATAGGGTTGGTACTATTCTCTATATATCTTTCATTTCACTCAGCATATTTTTCTCGTTTGATCCGTTACCGCACTAATGTGTTGTGTGATACTTTTGTAAGGATATATCATTCACCTCGAAGTATACGTCTAGTATAGTAGAGAAACTCTAACTGGCCCGATTATCCGATCCAAATCTTATCGGCAAATCCGGGGTCAATCTCCCCTCATTTTCACTTTAGTACCTTTTCCTCCCGTCCTAACTTTCTTCACATTATCCGAAATACACATCGATAGTCCAACATCAACTATACATCAAATCCAAACCTCCTCCATCCTCACCATGCATCTCCGCCGCGAACACGCAGTCCACGACCTCCCAACATTACACACCTTCATCCGCGCCCATCCCCTCGGCGTCCTAACAACCTCATTACCCTCGGCAACTTTTCCTACCTTACAATGTAGCCATATACCCTGGGTTCTGGATACAGACACAACAGGCCCAGACTCGACATCTGAAAATGAATCCGGATTAAACGAACCGTCTAGTTCATCCACTGCCACTACGCACAACCCCTCTTCTTGCCCCCTAGGCGTCCTACGCGGCCACATCGCCCGTGCAAATCCACAGGCTGCCGCTATGATCGAAGCCGTCACGGATACTCCTTCCGCTAGTGTGAAGGGCCAATACGATTCTCTCGGTTCTGCAGATCAAGTCCAGGACCAAGACCAGGACAAGGGTCGGGACTCGGGGTATTACCTTCCAGGCGAAGTCTTGATTATCTTCACCAGCCCTGTCGATCACTATATCACGCCGCATTTTTACACTGCGGCTAAAGCTGCTGCTGCTGCTGCTGCTGCGACTACTGGTGGTTCTGGTGCTAGTGGTGGAACGGGTAAAGCTAGGATTGCACCGACGTGGAATTACGCTGCTGTACAGGTGTACGGGCGTATGCGTGTGTACCATGATTCCAGTGCTGAAGAAACGGGGCTATTTCTGCAGAGACAGTTATCTGATTTGGCGAAGCTGGGGGAGGAGGGCGTTATGGGGTTTACCGAAGACGAGCCTAATACTGATGGGGAGGGACAGGGGAATAGTACTGGCAGTGGTGGCGGTACTACTCCGTGGAAACTCGACGACGCACCAGAAAAATATATCGCCATTTTGAAGAAGAATATCGTTGGGATGCAGGTCGATATTACCCGTGTGGAGGGGCGATTCAAGGTTAGTCAGGAGAGGCCGGTCGGGGATCGGGATGGGGTTGTGGATGGGTTGGAGGGGAGGGGAGGGGGTGTGGCGAGGAGGATGGCGGAGTTTGTGAGGGATGGGCGTGTTGTATAGGGATATGGGAGGGTATATCATATCACATTTTGTGTATTTAGACGGTTATCATCGGAGTGTCCGGTGTATATTTTGTATATATTCTTGGAAGTATGCCTGGTTCTGCAAGACCCTCGGTTGGATAAATGGCGGAGTCCAAGACCCTGGTCGGTCTGTATGTCCTGCATGTAGACTCTACCCCGTTTGGAATTCTGCATTCTGCAGGAAAAAGAGCCGAGTTTTGCGGGGTGAGTCTGGGGGTGTTGATAGAATAGCCGATATGGGGAGTAGTACAGGAGTAGTCTTCAAAGGGTTCTCTAAGGTTCTCGGTTTTAATGCATCGTGGAGTATATTCAGTACGTTGTGTACCGTGTCCTAGGATTAATTATGTTATTGCAGTGCTGATCTTGTATATATTTGTATACTTTCTATCCTTTCACAACGAATGTAATACAAGATCCCCTCTTATCTCCTCGAGGGTTCCTGACTTCCCCGTCTCCAAAGGAGTATCCAGGCGGTCGATCCAGGAACAGGGGCAGGGTGCAGGGTTTTTAGTTCCAGGAGTAGAAGGGAGGGGAAGACAACGAACCAAATCCAGGATGACAGGATTACGGATACGAGGGGGAATACGTGGGGATAGGAGGAACTAGGTCTAGGAACTGCGACAGGAACTAGATGATTCTCCCCCCCCCCCCGCCGGGCGCTTAGGTGTTCCTTTCATCTGTGGGGAGTGGATAGGCTCACGTTTCAGGATGCAGGATGCAGGATTCAAGATCCCTCGATCTGGGTATTCAGCGAGGGATGCCGGGGTTAACAGTTACTAACTTATTGTACTGGTGGTTACCAAGTTAGTCGTTCTGCACGGCCAGGGTAAACCTCGGGGATGTGGAATGTGGAGGGGGAGAGATTCTTCACGAGGGTTTGGCTTTCTTGGAAGGGGGACTAGTGAGTTCTTGGTGTGGAGGTTGTGTGAGACATGAGTACTTAGAGGAGTAGTAACTACATACGAAGAAAATGGTATATTCGTTTGTACATTCGGTCGGAGTCATCAGGAGCCGGACAGGGTTTGGCAGGTTAGAACTAGGGTCCACGCGGCATTAGACCCCGTGATGAACGGGGATGGGGGGACAGGGATGGAAATAATAATAATAATAATCATGTAGAGGCATTAGTGTCAGTATGTACATACTCCGTACAGTATACTAGACTATGTACTAGGGTCTGCGTGATCGCCTCGGAAGTGCAGACAAGCCCTAACGGCGGAGCAGATGCGAGAAAATGGTAAAAGCCCCGAATGGCTCGTGGCGTGCGTCCGGAGTAGATTAATATCGGTGGGCGAGTGGAGACTTCATCAACAAAGCATAGTATGTACGTATATTCTTGACTATTTAGACTAATTACCTATTCCATGAAATTGAGTAGAATCGTAAAGTATGAAGAGTGTTGCCACGATCGGGGCTAGTAGGATAGAAGGATAGAGGGATAGAAGGAATAGCACTCTAGAGGAAGGAATAACTACTAACGTTCACCAACTGGTTACTAGTATAACGCCATCGTGGCTACTCTCTAGACTCTCTAGAGAGTAGACTAAAGACTAAACTCATGTTAGTCCTGTGCAATTAAGCAACGCAGGCTGGAACCGAGCCAGTCAGCCCAGAGTTCACATACTAACTCGAGTTAGTCAAAGACTAAAAGATACTAAATTAATTCAAACATCCACTAAGACTCAACCAGTCCTTAGTCAAAGTCAAATCCAAGACTAGAATAATCCTCTCAAGAGACCAGAGAAACTCCGGCGGCACTTCGCCTTTTCTTCTCCGCATTTCGCCCTCTCCACAAATCGCCTCCCCCGTTTTTCTTCTCCCCCTCTTTTCTTCTTTCCCCTGCTTGTTTAGTTCTTTTTTTACACTTTTCGTCTTCGCTCTAAACTTCGCTTCGGCGCTTTTTTCTCTCGGTTCGACGATTGCCTCATCGTATTCTTTACCGTTTTTCCCTTTCTTTCCTCTCTTCCCCCCACACCCTTTCTTCTCATTCTCATTCTCTTCTTACCTTCTCTCTCTCTCTCTCTCTCTCTCTCTCTCTCTCTCTCTCTCTCTCTCTCTCTCCTCTCTATGCCTCTCCGATAATTCAATGAGCGATGTCGCGCCCGCAGGTCAGTATCGACCGCCTGACGCCGCGCCGCGCGACGGTTGAACCGCGCGAGGCCATGAACTGCAAGTCCTGTCGCAAACGAAAGGTGAGACCATCTCCCCCCAGTATTCAGTCTCAATAAATCCGGAATTACTCATCGCTTTTTTTCCAGATAAAATGCAATCGTCTACGCCCCAGTTGCGAGGCCTGTAAGGTCTTCCAATGCCCATGTATTTATGGTGAGTCTCGGAGATTCCACTTTTTTTGGCCGATTTTCCCGCATTGTCCCCGTCGCATGATTCCATGATTCCATGATTCCCAGACTAATCGCCCACTCTGTTTTTCTTAGATGCCATTCCTAAAAAGCGCGGCCCCAAAACGGACGTCCTCGAGGCCCTTCTCAAACGTGTCGATGGGCTGGAAAAGAGACTCCAGGATGAGAAAAATCCCATCTCCCCCACCTCCCCGGACAAGCAGCAACCCGACGATCTCCCGCTCGGACAGCCGCAGAGCGCCGCCCGTCGCAACACCGTCGATGCCTCTGCGTTCAATCCGTATTCGACGAGTGACTCGCGACCGACCCTGTCTTCGAGTTTGTCGCAAAACTCCGACTCTTTCTCCAGATTGACCGGTCATGACCCCTCCCCGGGTTTACCCCCGCAATCGGCTCCGCAGAATGGCGCCCTCTCCGACGTTTTGCTCGACGCGTATTTCGCGCGATTACATGGGAAGCCATTCTATATCTTGGATGAGGCGGGGACTCGACAGCGCCATCAGTTGAATCAATTACCCGTGCATTTGGCCATGGCGATATCGGCCATGACGCTAAGGTGAGTGGGCTGAGCGGGGCTTGCTGTGGACTCGCGATCGTCTAATGCGTTGTAGGTATACTCACGTTGGACAACCGGAGCAGTCCTTGCGTATCGGTCTGGATGCGGCTCTACAAGCTCGACGGATGATCGATGTGGATAATCCCACGATAGACGGGTTACAGTCTTTGCTGTTACTTTCTCAGGCCTTTTTCGCCTACGGACTGGGCAAGAAGGCGTATATGACATTCTGTATGGTCCTGTCGCAGCAAAAAAAAACTTGAATGTATTGACTAATCTTTTCTAGCAAACTGCGCGGCCATGGCTGTGGCTCTGGAGCTACTACGAGAAATGCCATCCAAAGCCAATATCTCTGCGCCCGAGCGTGAAACCCGCCGCCGATTATTCTGGTCCGTCTACCTGATGGATCGCTTCATTACCTGCGGATCCAAGCGCCCATGTCTGATCGCCGACCACTCCATCGTCTTGCGCCTCCCATCTTGGTCCCCCCATGCAGCCGGTCTCAATATGGAGGGCGAGCTGTTCCACGTCGGTCCGAACATTCAATACTCGGCCGATTCACGCCGGAAAGCACCTAGTGCGGCGTCCTTGTTGATCGATATCACCCGGATTCTGGGAGTCACCAACCGGTATCTGGCTGCGGGTGGTGTCAAGGGAGACTCGCATTTCCCATGGCATGCGCTTTCGAATTTGTCCAAAATTCGACAGGAACTGGACATCTGGGCGGCAGGAACACAGGATGTCTTTGCTTCGATCGAGGCATTATTCGGTCATCCTGAGAGCACGACGCTACTCTTGAGTAAACTGATCTATCATTTGGTGCACTGTTTGATATACCGGCCCTTCTTGCCCATCGATCTCGTGGAATTGAGAGGCACGGGTCAGCATCAATCCTGGCAGATCGAGGCAACGAACCTCTGCTTTTCACATTCCAACGCGATCGCAGAACTCGTCGAGCTGGGCCGGAATTCCCCGCTGGTCGAGTGGCCTGCTTTCGTGGGGTATTGCGTATGCACGGCGGGTACTGTGCATGTTCATGGAGTACACTACAAAGGTCGTGAAGGTGAGGTCTTCTCGTCGAGTGCTGAATTCCTCACCCGCGAGATGCACCAGCTGGCCTGGTTGCGGAATTCCTGGGCTGGTGTCCAGCATCAGCGGGAGCTACTTCAAACGATATATACCTGTCATGCAGAGCTGGTGCGGAATCTGGCGAGCAGTTCGATGCGTTTCTCGCCCGTTTTCCATCTAGAGGATTTCCTAGATCGGTATCCTGGTCTCACGGTGGATGGTGCTCATGTGCGGTTGGTTGATACGGGGGATGAACTGGTGGCGAGGTAAGTAACCTGCATTTCGATCAATGCCTGCAATAGCTAATTTTTGTGTCTTTCAGTCCTGCTGGCTACGTCGACCAACAAGCCCAGTTCTACCGTCCAATGGCACCACCCTCATACCAACCCCAAACCGCCTTCTACGGCAATCTTCGTCCAACACCCTCACCCCTTCCATCCTCTCAAACCCCCGACTCCGACCGTCGCAACTCCCACTCCCACTCTCATGCAAACAAACATCAATCGAACAACCCCCTCTCTCCAGCCCTCCACTTCCACCAACAAACCCAACCCTCTCCATCTCTCTCCTCCATCTTCCCCATCCAATCCGCCTCCGACCAACTCTCCCAATCAACATCCCAACCCACCCAAGAAAACAACCACCTCTCTCTACCCAGCGCCTTCTCCCCAAGCGCTTTCGGCCTCTCCCCACCAGCCTTCCTGACAGACCCATCCCTCGCCATCGCCCCAACACCCCCATCAAACCCGCAATACGCAACTTTCCCCTTCGACACGGCGGCCACTACTCAATCCGGCGCTGCACTTACCCCCGGCGCGCAGTCGCAGACTAGCGGCTCGCATACGGCGAGTAGTGAAACGGGGACGGGTAGTTTGGAGAAAGATCCGTTTTTGAGTCTTTTGGAGCAGTTGGCCGAGAATGAACATTCGCAGGGTGGTCCTAGTGAATTGGATTTCTTTTTGACCGGGGCTGTGGATGGGGAGGGGGATGTTAATGTTAATGTTAAGGTTGGGGATGAGGTGAATCGGGGGGATCTGTAAATAAAAGTGGTGTATTGGGGTTGTATTGCAATATGTACAGTGCTGACTGTTATTGTCTTCCATGTCTACACACAGTACGCTAGGCCTATGGCACCAACATTGTGAATAACCTAATGTCAGAATATATTATAACAGCCCGCAGTGGCCCGCAACCTGTCAACTTCTCTCGATCTCTCAGTTGCTTCACTGCAGAGGGCCTAGTGCTGCCCTAGGTGTCCGTCTCGGGCTAAATTTGATATGTTTAACGCGATTCGATCATTTATTGAAACAATTGTATTATGCACGAGAGGCAAATGTCCACAACGTTCCTAGTCATTGGGTAGCAAGCTGATGACATCTACATATGCGGTATATGGCAAGGCCCTTAAAAAAGAATAGAGCTCTATGTACAGACAGGAGTTGAGGTTGGCTTCGAAACTGCCGAGGATGGATTCGTCTGCGAACATCCATCTACAACACCAAGGAGATAATCGTCCACCGCATCGTCATAAGCAGCTCCGCAGTTTGGATCACTGGAATAGCGTTAGGTAAGTCTTCGCACAGTTAAAGCTCGCCAATGCTAACGCACCTTGCTCCTCCGCTTGCATTGTTAAAATAGGAGCAGATATCATGGGAGAAGCAGTCTTGGGTATACACATTGCCAGCTGCAGTACCACTGCATCCAGTGCCACATCGGCCATTGCAGGAATAACTGAACGGTTTGGTTCGTCCGATTAGCAGATACCAATTAAGAAGCCTTCGCACGCGGAAGCGTTGACTTACTCTCCTGATCCGGCGCTGTTGGTGCCATAATTACTTCCTACCACGCCGACAAAGGAACAGCTTTGTCCGGCACTATTGGTCCAGGTGGCTGTGGCAGTTGCGCCGACGTTTAGACAGGTGACTGATCGTTTCTTGATGGCTATTTCTGGTGTTGAAGGTATTGCCATAGCTAACAGAGGTAGCAGTGTGAGGATCGTGCTAACATTGGCTATCATCATGACAGTGCACTTGTGGTTGTTGTGTTGCTGTTGCGAGTAGTCTTATTAGAAAAGTTCCTTTTTATATATAAATTAGTTCTTCTGGTAGTCTTAAGGGCGTCTAGGACTTATATATAGCTTTATGTATTTCTTCTTTGTTACAATAATTACCCCATATATGGTAAGTCTTGTCTAGTTCATAGGTCACAGAGTAGTATTTCGACTTCTGTAGTCGTGGATTGATAGGTATTTCCATACATACAAGCAGGGATAAGCCTCGGAGAAATTCTCGGAAGAGGATCATCCATACTACTGTCCCTCTGCTTTTGTTCCCGGCATTGTCGTAGGTTGACACCATTTTCGTGGTAATCACGACTTGATTTGCCGCCACCTCTGGACCATTTTTAGGCTGTATTCCACTGATTTAGATCGCTGGGCCGTCGGATTTCCGCGAGGGACAGGCATTCGTGTACTTGGCGCCGATGAAATGGTTAATCGAAAGATTAAGGCCCTCCTCGCCCTATACTAGTCTAGCTTGCGCCATTGAACCTCCTGTCAACATGTGATACCCCGCATATAGCGTGTGCATGCGAATGCATAGGCCGTCAGAAAATCAGATAACTTTATACCTCTACATGATCTAGAATGTTGATTATTAACTATCATATCAGGTGAAAACAGCAAAGAGTTTCCTAACACTTTCGTATACCCCTATTACTATTTCAGATTTTTTTTCAGTCATTTCCTGTGACATTCTACTATATACTAAAGTTATAAATACTACATATTGCCTAGTCATGAAGAACAAGTTTAACATTATTCATACTTATTAGTAAAGTAACTAGGCTATACTACGTTAATCTGCTACTGTTTAACCCTTACATCTACTGGCTCTCTCGTAGATAGTTATCGCCCATAATCGTGGATCTTTGATCTGACACATAGCCCTGATGATCTATGATAAGATTGGTCTTCTGCTCCTACCGTACGAACGCTTCGTGTATACTACTAGGGTTTATATCAACTACCTAAATTCGATACTTCTCTTACCGCTATTCAGACTACTACTAGGCCAAGATTAGAAGCACGTTCTATGGTCGCGTTTATTTACGTATACGGCTTTTGGGAGACGGACCGAGGGTTTCTCCTATTAACGGATGGTATACTAAACTTGAAAAGGAAGAAGGGAATCCGATACATTTCAATGTGGTCCTAGACGGATTCACTACCTAAGATACCTATATAATAATACATAATTAATCGCGAAAAGCGTCCCGAGCCCCTTGGTTTTCGAGGTCCGTAGCTCATAATTCAATCTTCACATATCAACATACCGCCGCACTCTTTGTGAATTAGGTAAATAAATAATATTCAAAAACGAAGACACTTCATCAATTCAGATGTTTGTTCTGTTTGCTTTGCTGGTTATGCTTGCATATTTAGAATCGTGAGTTATGGAAGTTCTGGGTATTATAAAATAATCCTGGTATTAACGTTGTCTGTATAAACCCTGTAATTTTGTAGTATTATGTGACTAGGGTTTGAAAGAGCCTCTATGTTCTCGATATGGAAGGCCATAACGGGCGGCACTGTATACATTATCGTGAATGGACCGGGGGTGAAATGGCATGGCTATGCCGGCGCTTAAATACGGTGGTGTTTACGTCGGATATGAGGTTTGACTATAAGCAGCGACTCATACGCAAAGATGTTAATCGGTCTTCTTGCGCGTATCTAATTTTGGTTTTTAGTATGTATTTACCTTGGAATACGAGTATTCCGCTTCGCCAAGTCTAATTCTGCCTTATATCCTCCATATACGAGGCACCACTGGGCAGGGCAACTGGCTACGCCCGACAAGACCATCTCGCTAGGAGTTAGGCGAAGAGATGAATTCCGGCATGAATATAAACCCATTATTCCTAGCTATAGAATAGATCTATCCTAAATCGGAATATCCAAGCGAGATCTCAAGGCTGAATAGTAGATTTGTTACTCGGCTTAGACTCGGATGTACTTCATGCATTAGGGCCCACTGCTTATGGACCTATCACGGATAAGCAGTGCCTTGAATAATCCCTGTGACTCGTTTTTTCCGGTGCCCTGTTTATCGGGCTTTATCTTGTGGTATTTTTTTATGGGGTTTCTTAGATCTGAAGCACAAGGTTGGGGTATTTGTTACTCTATAGAGTATCGTGTGGTGGGGGACTGGGCTGTGCGTGTTGCCCTGCGGATCCACTGCCATAGCCACTTAGTGAAGATGAACCACTGACGTAGAGTGTTGAAAACGTGGAGTGAGTGGTGAGTTGTGTGCAGGTGAGTCAGTAATAGTTGATAAGAAGTTAGTTAGGTTAGTAGTTACCCAGCTATGAGTAAGTAAGGAATAGTTGTCCTCCATTCTCTAAGTGGGGTCTGCAGCTATACGAGGCGCCGAGGTGAGGCTCACTTTTGTCTTGGTAGACCACGATTCGAAAGATCGGATGAGATATAAACATGATACCGTGAAGAATAACTATATAAGGACCCTTCTACTACTTACGATCCTTCATCTCAACATCAACTCATCATTATTATCTCATCTGATCCTGTCTACACGGTATCTATATCCACCCATCTCTAGCTCTTTACGAGCTTGAATACCTTTAACTACATCCCTTATTTTTACTCTATCAACAATGTGGGAATTCCTCAAATCCCCTTCCCGCCGCCGCCGCGAAGCCCGCGAACGCCTACAGGAACAACACGTCAAGGACATGGCCATCCAAAAAGCCACCCAAGAGCGCTACGAGCGCGAAGCTAAAGCCGCCGCTGCTGCTGCCCCTGCTACTGCCCCTGTTACCCCAGCTTATAAACCTTACTATCCCCCGTCGACGACTACAAAGTCGACCCGGACTTCGCGTGGATCCGGCTACTCGGGTGGAGGCTCTTATGGGGGTGGGTATGTAGGCGATTCGGGGGGCTCTTATGGAGGTAGCGGATGTGATAGTGGGGGTTCGAGTTCCGGGTCTTCCGGCGGAGATGGCGGCGGTGGTGGTGGAGGTGGCGGCGATGGTGGGTGCTGAATCTAGTTGGTTGCGAGTGTGTTTTTTGTGAGTTGGACTGTGATTGTGCTCGAGTGTGTTCGTTTTTGGTTATATCCATTAGTTAGTACTTGAATTACGTTAAATTTGATGAATGGTGATGTATCAGAGTTGAGATGTAGTATTCTTAGTGGTAAGAATCACTTACCAATGTAGTAATGTTATAGACATTCAGTATGTTATATCTTGGCCGTACTACTTATTATAAAACTTACTGAAGTGACTCACTTAGAAGCTTTATAACTAATACCAATATATGCTTACGTAAATACTTCCTACGGCCATTTGATACGATTTATATAGGAGACTGGAAATATTGAAAGACAATCGTAAATTCTAGAGTTATAACATAACATATTGCATACACTTCACCATCCTAGACGATATCCCCCTTCGCCCTACTTTCAATAACCGGAACATGCTCCGCCTGGTACGGATCAACCTTGGTATGCTCAAACTGGCGAGCAGGAATCTTCTGCTCAAACAAAATATCCAGCTCACTATAACTTCTCCCCTTCGGCTCGGGCAGTCTGAAAAACGTCCAAACAAAACACAAAAAGCATGTTCCCATCCAAAAGAAGCCCGCCTTTGCGCCCCAATCCCACGCCGTAGATGTCAATTGATAGTTGATAAGCACATTCGTAACCAGTCCGGCGATGTTGTAAAAGTTTCGCGCAATCACGATCGTCTTGGCTCGTAGTCTTGTCGAGGACATCTCTGCGACGAGGGAGTAGCAGACCGGACCAACGGTGGAGTCGTATACGAAGGCGAAAACGAGAATCATAGAGCCAATGGCCCATGAAACGGATTTGTTGCTTTTAGGTGCGATTCCGAGCATGCCCACAATGAAAAGAATTACGCACATCGTCGCTGTTCCGATGAGATAGATCTTTCGTCGACCCACGAATGTCATGACCCACCATGATAGCAGAGTTCCGACTGCTGCGATGGCATATACACCCATTGACATGTCGAATGCGTCCGTGGTGGGAAGGCCAGCTTGTTCGTAGAATGTCGTTGAGTAGCCGATAAATACGGACCCACAGATACTTTGGGCTACCCAAGCAGCAGTGCAGATTTCGGTTCGACGGAGATCCACGCCCTTGAAACAGTCGAGGTAGCTGGTTCCCGAGGAAATCTCTTGTTCGAGTTGGTTGGTGTGTTCCATCATCGCAATGGTTTTGTCAGCGTCAAATTCTGGATCGTTCTTCGTTGTGAGTCTCAACAGTGATTGTTTGGCTTCTTCAATTCGACCCTTGCGGACTAGCCACCATGGTGACTCGGGAGCGAAGTATACACCGACGATCAGGAGGGGTGGCCACATCCACTGGATTCCGAAGGGAATACGATAGGCGTCGGACGTGGTATTGTTGACCATTCCACGAAGCACTCCAGAGGCGATGAAGTGACCAATAACCCAGCAGAGGTTGTTGTATGTCGTCAGGTATGCTCGCAGGCCAACAGGGCACACTTCGGATGCATACGCAGTGGTGATTGTTTGGAAGACACCCCATGGCAGACCACAAAGGATCTCGCCAATCAAAAGCATTTTGATATCCACAGCGAAGAAAGTGATAAAAATAAATCCGGTGATCATAACCAAAGCCCCGAGAATGGTCTTGCGATAACCAATGCGCTCCGAAATAAGACCAGTCAAGAAAAGACCAATAATTTCACCGACAGCAGCACCATCGGATAAACCGGACCGCCATGGAGCTGAGATGTTATATTTCCCAGTTGCCGGATCCAGGACGCCATATTTCTTGCTGAATGTCGGCAGTGCATAAAAGTTGGCCAACAGAAGAGTGTCGTAGCCTTCCATCACCAGGGCTGTCGAGAGAACGATAGACCATAGCGCAGCTTTCGGGTATAGCTTCAGCGCTCGACGGAGTGTCATCTGCTTTTCCAGATTGGCGCCTTCTTTGGCTTCATTGATCAAGCCGTTAAGCTCGGATTTGTGCGCATTGGTGTGGTGGATGATAGGCTCCTCGTGGGCAGTGCCCAAAGAACCCTGTCGCAGTTCATCCTGGTGCTCGACAGTCTCCGACATGATGAACACTGATTGAGAAATACTCGGTAGGCAGTATTTCTTTCTCGACACATACGAAATCCATCTTCGAAACAACTCGCGATAGCTTGAGTCTTATATGTCTGGTCTCTAGAATTCAAATGCTTTGCCAGAAAAAAATACCTAGAACTTGCTGTAAGGCCCAGAAGACACTACATCGTGCTCATACATTGAAATGGCGACATCATATCGCAGCCGGCGAATCGCGGAGCTCTAAAAATCATTTATCCGGAGCTCTCAAATCGCGCTATCAACTTTACTTAGCCTAGACACGGAATTCACCAAGTACTATCTCCATTCTAGAATTAATCGAGTCATGAATCGATGGTCAGTACCTAGTACCTAGTAAGCCTCGGCTCCACCAAAGCTTGAAATTCTTATCTTGCGCGATGGCTGTGGCTGATTGCGAATCGGGCTTCCGCATTGATGACATGCTGTCTAAGTATCGACGAAGCTTAGCCTTGAGCTTAGTCTCGGTGAGAGTTCCCGACATAGTTTAGTTAGTCGCTGTGGGTCTGGGAGGTCGTGGTGGTTTTTGTGGTGACTTTTAGGGCTCATACCACATAACAGGCAACAATTAGAATTCAGCCATGTGAATGTATCCTGAAGGGCTTGGCACTTGAATGTGCATACTTTTCTAGTATATTAAGGGCGATATTACGGCGAAATTCAACATGAATTAGGATGAGTCTTACCAAGCACACCATCCTTAGCGCAAATGTGACGCGTGGGGGCGGGTCTACCGTTGCCGATGTGCTTTCTGGCCAAGACCATGCCTCATGCAACAGTAAAGAGTACGTTTGGCAAAGGGACAATAAACTGACCTCGGGCTATTTATTCATCCGCGTATTGGAGTTTGTAACTTGGTGTATAGAAAGTTGTGGGTCGCTCGCGTCAAAATTCCCACCCCCAAACTCCTTACCCCAGGTTTTGCCGCCGATCGTGGCTACATAGTACGTTTATATCATCAAGGGTCGTATATTGCACTTGCATATTCTTCTTGACTTGGTATGGTAGTCCTAAGATATTGAATGAGATCTAATTTCCGAGTCTGTGAGCCGAGTGCTCAATTCTCTCCGCTCAAACCCAATTTTCCAAGGCAGAAAGTCCGGCAGAATTCATATAACCTAGAGAAGATAGAAGACAAGAGAAAAGACAAGAGAAAAGACAAGAGAAAAGACAAGAGAAAAGACAAGAGAAAAGACAAGAGAAAAGACAAGGAAGGGGATAGTTATATCGGTACTACAGTCATAGCGTCGCGCTGGCCTAAAGAAGAAGGCATCAGGGCAAAGTCGATAAACTGACCAATTATGGGTTTTGAGCAACTGGCGTTCATCGTCCGCCCCACTAGCAGTGAACGGGATAAACATGGACTTCTACAGTAAGCTTCCTGTCGGACAAATGCCATTTTTGGTGGCTCGCCGTCCCCAGTCAAGGCTGATAACTGTAAGCACCTCGGTACCCGGAAATGGTGGTCAATCCACTATCGAAGATAAAACAGTCACAGGCAGGGGCAGGTAATCATAGGGGATGACGCGATACCTGGCTTTATCACGAACACGGACAATATCCCCTTAAATGGCCGGTGGTATAGATAACGCGGTGATCAAATCATTCCATTACTACATACCGCTCTAATCCCTCTCTTTCATACCTTAGCCTTGCCGCTATACTATACTGTGCTCGAACCACTCGAATCCTACATTCAACAAACCCGAGCCCAGGACCACGACGCCCAGGTTCGATTCAAATGGAACAAGAATGATGTTGCTATTTGGGATAACTGCTCTACATGGCATACTGCCACTTATGTTTATAGCGAGGCACGAACTGGAGATCGTGTGTGTGTAGTTTGGGGGAGAGTCCTTATTATGATCCTCGGTCGAAATCGAGGAGGTAGGCGTTGGCGGAGGAAAAGTAGTAGTTGCCTTAATGACACCAGGGTAAATTCATATCGAGTGGTTATTTCTAGGGCAATACTAGATATCTGTACCATTGAGGTTTTACTTTCTGTAAACCATGGAGATGCTAGTTGGAAGGTCAAAGTTATATCGGCGGGAAAGGGCTTCTGTCCTCGATCTACTGGCTTTATCTAACTCCTTGATCAGATTAGTACATCTTCTATTTGACTTACTATTTTTGTTTGAATATGAATGGCTAGATACAGTGTCTTTCCACTTCTGTTCCATCTATTTTCTAGGCTTTCAAATGCAAAGAGCTTTTCCACAAGTCTATGCCTTGGCAGTTGGGAATGCCACATTCAAGTCAACTATGTTTTCACAGCATAACTAGCTGTATATATACCCTCCATACATAATGACACAGTCCGACTTTATTAACCCTCCTCATAAAGGCATCGATAACCCTCCCTCCAGGGTACACAACGCAAAACAGAAACAAGAGATAAATCATCATTCAAAAATAATTTTTGTAAGCAACCCCACCACCATCCGGGGAAATTTGTACTCCATACACCCCGAAAAATAATAATATGTGTCATAAGAATAAAAGCCAATCGGCAAATCCAAAACTCAACGGGAAATCATGTAACCACGTTAGACGGCCAGAGAGCAAGCGCAAGCACAAGAATAGGATAGGGTAACACGCTGTGAGAAAGGAAAAAGGGCTAAGGTATCATCTAAGTTTCTTAAATTTGCAGGTCTTCCACGCTGCTGGATCGCTTGGCTGATCCAACTGCGGCATCGCCGAGGGAGAGGACGGAGATGCTGCGGTCGTTCTTGGGGCGGGCGATGTCTTCGGTCTTGGTGCAGATCCAGGTTGAGGCATACATGTTGACACTGGCTGATGTTAGAGGAAATCTTTGTCGGGAGAATAGATGGAACTTACCGGTCAATACATGTTCCGGGGAAACGGGCTCCAACTCGGCGGGGTGAGAAGCCGTTCTCCTCAAAGTGCTTGATGTACCAGGGGTCGATGCTGGCAGAGCGGAGCAGGATACGGCCACCCTTCTTCAGAGCAGTGTTGAACCGGCGGGCTTGTGCGGGTGCGGCATCTCCCTCGGGGTCGAACCAGTCCATGGAGTCCATGACCTAGGAAATAGATGAGTTATGATGTGGATGAACATTTTGGGGGCGGAACTACTTACCACAGCGATGGTCAATGTGCCCGGGGTGATACGGTTAATCACCTCGTTAATCTCATCGGTGTGAATTCGGAGACCATCAAAGGCACCGGGGGTGGACAGCTTGACGTGGGCTTGAGGGGAGAGATACGTGGGGTGGCAGCTGTAATTTGTTAGCGTAATTGTCCAGAAAACTATGCGAGTCCCAACTTACCGGCGTGAGAACCTGCCCTGCATACACAGGTAGTAGAAGTAGTTGTCGTTGCTGATCAGAGTATCGTTGACGACAGGGTCCAGAGTGTTCACCACGTATTCCCAGATAGATTGGCCACTGATATCCTTGCCCTGCTTCATATCCGTCGTCAAACCGTTGCGGCGGAAATAGTCATCAACAATCATGTTGCGCTGGTTGCGAGGCACACCAGCCGCCTTCCAGGCAAACCACTCGGTACTGACAATGGCCCAGTTCAGGGGCTTGCTGAGCAAGACCCGACGAATGCGAGGCCAAATCTCCCGCTGCTCAGCCAGAGTCTGTGCCGAACACATCTTCTCCACCTCGCCCTGAAGTCCGAACATGTTGAACAGGTAGCGCACCATGCGGATTGCGTGGCGCGAGCCACCAGTCTCGTACAGACCACGACCAGACTTGGAGGTGAAGATGTGAGTGTGCTCCGCCCAGTACTGGAAGGCTTGGCTGGACAAATGAGGGCTGAGCTTGGAGATGAGCAGCTCGCGGAATTCCGGGTGCTTGCCCTCACCAAAGATCTTCCACATGTCACGGTGGCCCAGAGCGATGTAGCTGGCCACCTTGAGCTCCAGGAGGTGGTTCTGGTTGGGGTTCAGGTCGACGGCGTGGACTCGACGAGGGTTCTTTTGCAGGTAATCCAGGATGTTGTCACCGGCGCTGGTAATAGCGAGAATCACATCATCGGGGCCGATGTTGAGCAGGCGGTGGTCGACACGGGGGTCTTCCCAGGTGAAGGCGTAGATGTATTCATTCTGGAATTGGGTGTGCTTGGGGAGCATGTCATTGTAGTGGATGCGGTAGTGGTGGTTTTGGTAGAAGGAGGAGGGAAGGGGCAGGTTGGCGCTCAGGTTGATCACAGCCGATTCATATGCCTTGGAACGGACCTCGGTCGTGCTTTTCTCAACAGCCTTGTCCATCTCCTTTTGGTGGTTCGCGGGGAGGAGGTAGGGAGACTCGGTGAAGGAAGCATCGAGCTTCTCGATAGCGGCCTGGCTCGATGGCGTGGAGGCGATCTCCTTGGGGCAACCCACGAAGATGTAGTAAGGAATACCACCGAGAGCATAGTTGCGTTCACTGGCGGAGATCACGGTACCAAACTTGTACTCCAGGTAGTCACGACGAGCGGCTTCCAAGCTCACACGGTCAAAGTCAAACCACGCACGCCAGAAGACACGACCGAGCCAGTTGACATGGCGGTTAAAGGCGCCACCAGTGTAGTTGCGGCAGGAGACGTCGACAATGCTCTGGACTGTACAAAAGTTAGTATCCCGAAAGATCCATAGTTCCGCAGGTAAGCTTACCGTAGAAATCGCAAACACCCAGCAAGCCAGTAGCCTTGAGGCGGGAGGTCAACGAGTCAACAACGCTGTAGTAGTCTAGCGGAATAAAGGTGTCAGAATGGTCATCCAAGCATCTCCCGGGGTTTTCTCTGCTTACCAGGAATCATAGACAAGCTGTAGCTCATAGTGATCAAGTCCGCGCAATCGGTAGTCGCACCATCAGCAGCATTGGGGTCAATCTGCCTCTCGGGAAGACGGAACGAGCGAGCATCCTGACACAGAACGGTGACATTCTTCCAGCCAAGGCGTTCGAAGCGCTGACGAGCGACATCACAGAGCGAGGGGGAGAGATCGACGAGGTAGACTTGATCGAAGAACTTGTCGACGGGGAGGAAAGCGGACATGGCCTCGATGTTGTATCTGCGGGGGTTAGTTGAATCCAGTATACACGCGTGTCTGCTGCACATACCCAGTGCCACCACCAACCTGTGAACAATTGTCAGTTCTTGTCTTTTTCTCGAGTTTTCCCATCATTCTGTCACTTACATCAACCCAGACTGCCTTGCCCGCCTTGATCTCCTTGTTCTCGACCTTGTACTTCAACTGCGCGGCAACCAGACCGAGCATATCCTCACGACCATGGAGAAGACGACGGCGGGTAGCATCGTAGACAGTTGCCTGGTCATAGTGTCAGCTCTCTGCAATCGTGATGTTCGAAGCTCATTCCCCCGCGGGCATCAAAATGCAGACTCCCACATACCTGAGTCTTGTAGAAGCTCTCCAGCGCACCCTGCTGGCCCTCCACACTCTTATCGTGAGGCTTCAGGAAATTCGCCCAGATGAACTTCACATACGTGAGGGGGCCATGATCCATATCCACCTTGACCTGTTGAAAAGAAACGAGGAGGACGAGAGCAACGAGGGCAAAGACCAAAAAGGCCGCGCCGGCGATGTAAATGTGCAGCCAATCCATGACGGTGCCTGTGTGTGAGGGGGAGGGAGATGGGAGGAAGGGGAGGAGAGAGAGAGAGAGAGAGAGAGGAATAAGGATTAGGAGAGTCGGCGGGGGGAGAGGAGAGCACGAGGGGAAGCAATTCATATAGGTGAGAGGATGAGAAGGCGACTGGCACGAGGCCGCAGAGGGGCATGCATCACGGACATCCTATCAGCAGGACACATGGGTGGGGAGCCATTGATAAGGCCGGAATCGGAGATGGAAGGAACTGAGGACGAGTGAAGGAATAGGGTTTGGGTGGTGGAGTGATGGGGGGAAGGAGGTAGCGGGTACTTGGAGGAGGTCCTAGAATAGATTAGTATAGTAAGTTAGGATAGTCACTTACTATAGTCGTAGTCTTAATATTCAGGACTTGTACTAAAAGAGTTTCAACGGATCGCCCTTTGCCCCCAATCGAGATCGACAGCATCCCGAATTCATCCACATACAACAAAGATATCCACAGGATATCCACCCAGGATAGAGTATCCCATGGAGTATCCCGGCGGTCATCGGGGCCATGCTAATTATCAGCATACACTAATACTGTCCCGTTACTACAGTACTCTGAAGCAAACTTAAGTGTAGATAATTACTGAATCAACTTTAAGCGCAATTAGCTTCGACCTGCGTTAGTGCCGATGGCCGAGCCACTCACAGTTCGGCCCGTCGGCATGTGCTGAACGTGTCCGAGTAGACTCGTAGTCTACTCAGAGTGGTTCCTGGCCGTACGTGCCCGCCCGTGGGGGCTTTGATCCTCTCTGATTGGCGCAACCACCAGCAAGCTTCCGGGGCCGACGGGCGCCAATCAGCTGGTCGATCGCCGGCACATTGGGGCTTCCCCGGATTTAATGGGTTAAGTATGGAGCAGATAAATATTATACCGTTTAACGAGGAACATATTGCTACAGAATACGGCTAGCAATCCTCCGATATTATTCCTATCAACGATATTACTACTATGGTCCTGTCCCATCCTTCGTGGAAACGAAGATCATTTCCACTCCATGTACACATCTCCCAACTAAATATGTAGAGTAAAGAGTAAAGATCTGAGGCAGTAGGTTCCGACAAAGTAAATTCGGGAAAACAACAGCACATGTCGCCACGTTGTTTTCGCCTGGCTCGGCTAAAGTAATAAGAATCCAATACCCCTGATTGGATGAGCTGATCTCAGTCACTCACGCCTTCACGCTTGGGCACTAGGCTCATGACTAGATACACGGACTAAACAGTATCTCTACCACTAGATTAGCCTTCTACTTCACCGCTTAAAGGAAACTGCGACACCGTTCTCACATCAAAATGCATTTTCTTGCTAAGTACGAGGGGCTCAGACACATCTCTACTTACTTCTTAAAGTCGAATCATGTGAGATCTTATCTATAGATTGATATGACCCCTGGTCCTTGCGCGTATGCAGAAAAGGCACAGATCACCGAGATCACCTACAGTACAACCGACCTTCACCTGACACTGGCTCTCCCCTTCGCTCTGCTTTACTTATGCACAGACCACTATCGTGCATACAACCGTCGTGTCATATAACGAACTTGCTCCTCCTCAGTTACAACGGTGGAAACGAATCGGAGACAAAGATATTCATACTGTGAGTAGATTAGGTGGGATTAGATCGTCGACTTGAGTTGAATTCGCGCATACGGTTTTCAAGCCTAAGCCAGGAATTACAAGGATTAGTACTATAGTCTGGGATTACTGCTACAACTTAGAAGTGGTTTTCGTTCTTTTGTACTATAGCGCAAATAATAAAACACTACCTACCTCCTTCTGTGTGATCAATACCGGCCACAAATATATTCTGTATCAATATACCTGCATACCACAATTGCCTAACTCGTGTGTGGCTGCTATGCATGATCCATGTATTTCCGCCCTCCACGTCATCCCGCTAGGACCAAAATTAAAGTGGCATCACTCGTCCTCATGCGGACAACACCAAACGAGCAAAAAATCAATGATTGATCAGTGATCATGGTCCCAGAGGGGGTCGAACCCTCGACTTTGGCGTTATTAGCACCACACTCTAACCAACTGAGTTATGGAACCCCAATTGATGGAATGGCGGAGCAGTAGTGGGGTCTTTATTCGGGTGTGTTTCGGTAAAAGGGCATCTCGCCATCTTGCATGTCCAAGGAGTATTATATACGAGTTTAAGGACTGTAGATGGCTACCTGTAGGGATCGAGAACTTGTATAGAACTTTTTCTGTAATATATGATACTTTTCTTCCATGTCCTCAGCATTCTAGTCCAGAGATGTGTGTGGGGATGACGTCAATTTCGACCGGGTCCACTAAAAGGATGACGCTAGCCGGTGCCAAGGCCACAATGGAGCCGAAACGGAAAATGTCGCATCTATTCCGGTGCACCCACTTGGTGCATACGTTTTAGCACCCACACATCAATTGGGGTTCCATAACTCAGTTGGTTAGAGTGTGGTGCTAATAACGCCAAAGTCGAGGGTTCGACCCCCTCTGGGACCATTTCCTTTTTGCTTTTTGTTCTTCCTAGCTACTCGGGATGTTCATTTTTGGCTCTAGAAAAATGATACAGGCTGTGCGGAATGGGCTTGCGTAGTAGAAGCAGCATGACTTGGTATATTTGTGTTTGCACCTTGATTTCATAACTAGAGTAAAACCTAGTTTGTTCTTCCAAAATGTAAGCCTCGATTTATTTTGCCTTCAAGCTTAAAGTCTTCTAAGCAGTTGACATTGGAAAGAAGTTAAAAAATTGGGTGAGGTGCATCCGAATCGTCTCGAATACTCTCGTGTACAGTATGTGAATGCATGGGTGCGCTCGCCACACGAGTGCGGAGAATTAATGCCTATTAGACATGCAATACCATACTCCATAAACCGATAGATGTCTTTCTTAAATCCGGTAGTCATACCCTGCCTTTACTTGTCTACTACGTACAGAGAAGTGTGAAGCGTAACGTAAGGCACCCCCTCCTTCCTATTCGAAGGCTTGCCCAGTGCTTTCTCCTTCATAATGCCAAATATTTGCCAACCTTCCATCAACCAGACCAAATGGCCTAGTTGGTTAGCGGTTCCATAACTCAGTTGGTTAGAGTGTGGTGCTAATAACGCCAAAGTCGAGGGTTCGACCCCCTCTGGGACCACTTCTTTTTGCTTTTTTCAGGATGAACTCATCTTTGGATTTCTTTTTTTTTGGTGCCTTGAGTTAAGCAAGATGTCTTAATTTGGAATTTATAATTTGTAGCATTTTTAAAAAGATCTTTGAACTTAAATTTTTACTTTCAATTGGCCGTTAAAATTCATGGTTTGTACAATGTTAGGTGTCGTGTTGGGGGACTGGTGGCCAAGATATATTTTTGACCCGTTTCACTAGGTTTAAGATATCCCTTCATGCCACAATATTATTATATATGTCAAAAAACTTGTATACTGGACCCGAAAGAAGGAAATGTGACCATACAATACATCGAGGGGCTCTACAGATATCATGGGTGAGGCAGAGTCACATACAGGCTTCGGTTATCTACGAATTAAGAGAGCCGACCTTGTGGACGTACATCTGGAAGGAGCTCGGGCTGCCTCCATTCCAATCCGTTTTAATACGAGAGTCATTCGTATGGAAGAACGGGATGAATCCGCTAAAGTCAAGTTTTCAGACGGAACAGAAGACACTGCGGATATGATATTTGGTTGTGATGGTATTCATTCTTACGTCCGCTCGGCCCTTTTTGACCCTCAACCGGCCCCGAAGTATTCGGGCATCGCGACTCTGATGTCGACGGTGCCTGTATCGGAATTGTCTCTGGAAACAAGAAGTCAGATTATTGGCATTGAAGCCACAGTCTTAACAGGTGGAGTTTTAAAATTTACTCCATGTACTGCAGCGGAGGACGAAATATTCTGGGGGATATCACGTCAAGTTGCGCTGCCTAACTCGGACGGGGGTCATTTAGGATGGCAAGTGCATGGAGAAAGTGAAACAGAGGCTTTGAAGTCCAGTCTGCTCGAAAATTTACATGAATCCAGGGGGGCATGGGGAGATGCTATGAGAGAGGTTATCCAAAAGAGCCCTACGTTGGAGTTTTATCCAATACACCGACTGCCAATTAGGAAGCCTTGGTTCAACGGACGGTGTCATCTTCTTGGAGATGCCGCTCATCCAATGCCACCACACGCTAGTCAAGGCGTCTTGATGGGAATGGAGGATGCTTTTCTACTGTCTCGTCTTTTGGAAGATCCACATCGCCCACTTGACGAAGTTTACGAGAAATTTGAGGAAATTCGACGACCTCGAGTTAATGAGATCTACGCACATGCTGCATGGCATACAACCCTTCGAAAGAGATCAAGCGCCCTGAATTTGCGGGAAAAGGAGCTCAACATTGCCATGTCGATGTCGCTTTCTTGGGCGTTAGGCCAGGATAAATGGAGGTCAAAGCAGAGCTACGACATTGACGGGGTGGAAATAACGCCCACGGCTCACTAATTAAGTTAAAGAATGATTTTGAGAAAGCTAAATCCATCATACCAATGCTTCCCGGTGATGGAATTTCCACAAACATGCGTATTTCTAGAGTCGGTCACTAGGAGGGGGGTCCTGATTCCTCGACACAACCAGCCTTGACGTCCTCAAGATGCTATATTTAAAAGGATATGCGCTTTTGAGTGTTACTGAAGATAGACGTGCGCGGTTACGCTCGATAATGTATCGTAGCGGGTCACTCCCTTCTTATAAGAAAGGGAGGGTGTTTAGAATCGTAGGTGTTCGATGTGACGGGCTTGACAGAAACCAGGCCAATTCAGGCAGAAACCAGGGATCATGTACAAGGAGCAGATTTCTCACTGCCAACGGACATACCCTAGTCTATCTAGTATTGGCTTGTCAATGTTTCAAGGAGGATATTCACGAATCAGGCTTGCTCACGTGTTGACTCTACCTCTAGACGATGTCAAGCACTCGCTGACCCCCAAGAAATCAACACCAACGCGACTTGATAAGCCTGCATGCAGTCAGCCGGGGCGTTAGGTACGCGAGTCATTTGGATGGCTAGAATCGGAAAAGCATGCAGGAACAGGCTTAGTTCGCTCGATAGGCCATCGGTTAGTTACTCTTTATCGCCACAAGCAGTGCAAGCACGAGCTGAAGAGTCTCCCGAACTTCCTGGAAGGGAATGGGGGCGGGGCTCGAGAGATACAAATCCATAAAGATTTACTTTGTACAGTATAGAGTAACTTGGGGGCCAGTGACCCCATTCTGCATGGACCATCTGGATCGGATAGACCCCATAGGCCCCATGGCCCCCGCGTGTGATTGTGATTGTGATGGGCGTCTATATTAGTATTTGAGGGTTGTCGTGGTGATCAGATCATTATAGGGAATCCATACTACAATAATGTTTGTGTTGATTATGTATTTTTCTGTATTCTTATGCTATTTCCTGTGTATATAATAGTACACGAGTAGTACACTCTCTAGGTATCGTATTCTTCCAGTCACGGGTGTTTCCTTACATCAGCACGAAACTCGATCGGATCGGAGAAGATTTGCCCCGCCGATTCGTTGGTTTGGCAGCTCTTGACAAGTTGAATGCATCAGAGACCCTCGATGATTGGAGCGCAACATTATGGCCCAGGCACCAGCTCAATGCCCAGTGGGACCGAGAGTGACAACCTTCGAGCCCAGAGCGAGTCAGCGTCCAAGAATCAAAAAGGGTCCCTGGCCAGTCGCGACTCGCGACAAGAAAAAAGCGCTCGGGCTCCACTTGAGTTGCGCCTTCACCCCCTGAAAGGCCTGATCGACACCTCCCGCCCCCCCTTGGGACGGCAGAGAAGAAGAAACAGACGAAGGGAACACCTGTTGAGGATGGAAAGGGCCCGGATGAATGCAGGAGGAGTACATCAGAGGGGAAACAAAACAACAGACAACTTCATCAGTGGTTATCGTGGAGTGGAACCAACCTTTTATCAACTCCGGGACTCCCGAAGAGAGGAAAACACTACGATTGCAGTGACCAACTACTCTGGCTGAATGCAAAGTCAAGACTCGATCCATGGTGAACTTTGTGGGCAGAAACCCCCTGAACCACAAAACCACAGACTTTGGACTTACGAATCCTCCATCCGCACTGGAGACACTACGCACTAGCGGCGTCCTACTGGGGCCCGGGCGCCTCCTGAATGGTCCTCGTGTGGATCTAGTTCGGGGGCTAACACCGTGAGATATGCCCGCGATCGACCGGTTTCCCTATGAGACTGGGGTCGGCCAGCATTATTGACTACACGGTCGACTCTGGGAGTTGGGGGGTCTTCCTTCTGGAATCATTCTATCTTCTTTCCCCCGGACCACCAACTATCCACCTCCAACTATCACTACTCCCAGAATTCAAATCCTCATTTTGTATACTCCGTACTTGGAAAAGAGCATCTCTACCCCTTCTCACATCCCCCCTCGATTGTTGAGTGCCACTCGGCGACGAGGACAGGGCATCAGCCCCTCTAGAACTCGATGACAACCCTCAGTGATCCCGACCCTCTGATTTGAACCAGAATGGCGATGGATATGGGCTTTCTGCCCACGATCAAATGCTCCAACTGTGGAAACCATGTTGAAATCTCGGCCATGGGCGACCATGTCTGCGCCCCTATTGACCATGGCATGCCTTCAACGGAGGCAATAACAACAACAATACACTCTTCTACCCCGTCAACTCTCGACCCCTCTCACATAACATCTAATGCGACAACTCCTCCTTCTCCTCCCCCGTCTGCGGGCCTGGATGCGCCAGACCAATTGACCGTGGCTATGGCTGGTAAGCCCGGTCGGCCTGCAGCACCCCCTCGCATCGATCCTACGATCGCCAGTACGTTTCCACCCTGGCGCCTTATCGAAGATCATGAACTATTGGATCACTAACCATGCAATATAGATCGCGCATTCCTCCAACCGACTGTGCCTACGCCGGCGAGTAGTGTTGGATCGCATCTACCATCCCCCTTTCAATTCACTCAGCTCCTCGATCTCCAATGCATTTATCAGTGTCCAACACCCATGTGTCTCCCGATGACGAGTCGGTACTCGATCTGGATACGGTGTTCTCCTTTCCCATGCCCGGTAGCCGGTCCCCGGCTCTCGTTGGAACGCCGTCGATGAAATATGAACCTCCAGCACGGTCACCAGCACGCCCAGCCCCGACTCCATCCCCGCGACTCGGCTTAGATCTGGTTCCGGAGAACATCCAGCTCCCACCTAGTCCCCTTCCACCCCAAACGGAGTTAGCACATGTTGGGCATAGTCGTGGTGATTCAATGGCTAGTCACAGTAGCTACCGAACCTCGCTAGCTAGCACCCGCTACGAGGGTTCAACGGCGCGATCATCAACTCATAGCTTCTCTCGGGGGCTACGCGCATTCATGGATGACACTCCACCCATGCCTCCCGCGCCCCTTCGCACACCAAACAAGGCATCGTTTTCTTCGGAGTCGAATTCAACGAATTCAAACTTGTCGACGAGTCCTTCCTCCCAGGATGGCCGTGGGGAAACCTACAGTGGATTCGATTTCGGCATTTCTCCGGCTCACACTCCTACTGGGCTGCATGATCTCCCGGAAGAACCCACACCTGATCCGATCGTAGTCGACCAAGAGCGAAAATACCTGGCCTATTCACCGAGCCTCTTGCACCCAGCTAATGCGGAAGCTGGAAGTGACGCTCCCAGGAAGGCTTCTGATGCGACGAGCGAAAGTGCTATTTCAATTACCAATTTCGCGCGTGCTTTGGGTCTGGATGATCACCATGTTGAGCAGCCAGAGGGTTCTACTTCTTCAGAATCTTCTCCGTCCGACACCCGCAGTGGAAGTTCTAGCGGAAGTTCCATGTCCAGCCTGCCGTCCGATACCAGTTTGAACCGGCATAAAATCACGGATCCTCTCAACCTAGGTCCTTTGGTGGAGGAACTGCCACCGCGAACACGACAGACTATTTTGGAGCTGCCTGGTCGCATCCGCAGTACCATGGATGAAGTGCCTCCGATTCCTGGTGTTTTCTTCAGCCCTGATTCACCAACCGATCCGGCGATCGGCCAAGGTAGTCTGTCGCTGATTGCTGAGAGGCGCGAGGAAGGGATGCGCCCGCGGCACCAACAGCCGCAACCATCACTACCGCAACCTCCCCAGCAAGATGAACTCCAAGATCCCCCTCCACTTCGCCGACCTATACAACGATCTGCGACCGAACCAATTCCTCGTCCTCCAACCCGGTCCGCAACTCGTACCAAGGGTGACTGTAAGGGTTGCGGCGAGCCCATTACCGGCAAGTCCATCTCCTCCTCGGATGGCCGTCTAACTGGACGATACCACCGCGGATGCTTTGTCTGTTTCGAATGCCACTCCCCCTTCCCATCTGCCGATTTCTACGTCCTCAACAACCGGCCCTATTGTGCCCAGCACTATCACGAGCGTAACGGGTCCCTATGTGCAACTTGCCACAACGGTATCGAGGGTCAATACCTCGAGACCGTCGAGCGCAATGGCGGTCGTCCCGAACGACGCCGTTTCCACCCGGATTGTCTTCAATGCCGGACGTGTCATGTCTTACTCAAGGGGGACTATTTCGAGTGGAATGGCGAAGTCTACTGCGAACAGGATGCTCGGCGTGCGGCTAATGCTTATTACCGTCCTCCAGGCCCTCCTGGACCCCCCGGAGCCCCCGGATCGCTGAGACCTCCAGGTCCACCTGGCCCACCTGGTCGTCGTCGACCCACGATTGGGTCTTCCCCTCTGGCTCAATCTCGCGCTTACCCTCCTCCCGCGGGATACAGACCTCCTCCCTCGCCGTCGCCGAGTAGTGGTGGTCTTCGTCCGGGTCCTCGATACCCATCTGGAGGCGCCCGACGTTTCCCTGAGCGGAGAACCACTAAGCTCATGATGATTTGAGTGAAACTGGCCGCAAAATATCTTACGACAGTCCTCAGCGACAGACTATACACCACTTCATACCCCCACTTCCTTCTCTTGTCACTCGACGTGACCCTTTTATTACCCACGAGCTTGATTTTTCTTTCCCTGCTCGGGTTCGTCGTTCGTTTTATAGATCGTTTTATACCCATGCCTTTGTGTTCGGTTTTTGCCGATGATAGCGTTGATCCTTCTTTTCTCTGCATCTGGACTGATGTTCCACTGGATCCATTCTTCATTCTATTCCCCTCATTTTTGTGGTTTGCCTTTGCGTTTTTCTGGCATTGGAATAATCATCCGCGTCGGTGTTTTCTCACCTTTTGAGTTATGGTCATGTCGCCATGTTACCAATGTATATTCTTCTCGGCTCGGTGTTTTGTTGGTGGTTTATATCATTTTAACTCCTGCTTTGTGTTTCGAACATACTTGAATGAACATAATAATGTTTCTGCAAGAATATTCAACAGTTCCATATATACAATAGGGTATTCGTTTCACTCGACTTTGTAAATGACCAAGTCACAATACTCCCCCTTATGTAGCCTTCCTCTTCTCAATCTGCACCTCAACACCAACAAGATACTTCCGCCTAATAATCCACCCAAACAACACCACAAAAGCAGCAACCAACCAAATCTGCACTCTCTGCCCAAATCTCAACTTATCAACCACCAACTCAGGATCCACCACCGTCCCATTCCCCTTCCCACTATTCTCCCCCTCCCACGCCTTACAAACCCGCCCATACAACGCCGGATCATCCGTAATAATCCCCTGCACACCATGCCGAATCCCCCACCGCATTAAATTCGGCGCATTAACCGTCCACAAAAACACTTTCCGCTGTGCGGCCCGTGCTTCCTCCAGGAAGCCCCGCCCAAACGGGCCCATTAGGATTCGCTGGTTGACGTTGAAGGATATGTTGGGGGTGTGCAGGTATTGTCGGGCGTAGCCCAGGTCGAAGCTTATTAGGGATAGTTCGTAGGTGGGCAGGTATTTGTTGCGCAGGGGGAGGTAGGCGGCGGACCAGCAGCCGAGGATTAGGCGTGTGTGCCAGGGTGGACTTGTTGGGGTGAGTGGGGGGACGGAGCTGATTGTTTGGGAGATGCGGTGCATTATTGTTTCGGGGTCGTTGGTTGTCTAGATGTGGTGTTAGTGGGGTGGAGTTGTAGTTGGAGGGGATGGGGGAAGGAGGAGTACTTTGATGTCCAGTAGAACCCAGATATGTTCTAATCCTGGTTGACGTAGATACTCGAGGATATCGAGGAGTCGGGGCATCGGCTCGTGGGGTGCTTGTAATGTGCGTAGGGTCTTCAGGTAGTCCCAGTCACAGTCGCCGATCTTTTTCTTGACTCCGTAGCACCGTTGGAGACTTGGGTCCTGGAATAGTGTTAGTAGATGATGTATATTCATGTCTGATCTGGGAAAGGCTTAGTGCTTACATGGGAAAGTACAAGGACTCCATCTCGGGAGAGATGCAGATCGATTTCGAGGGCGTGAGTACCGGCTTGGACGGCGCCTTGGACTGCTGCAAGTGTATTTTCGGGGAACTTGCCCTTGTACCCTCGATGGGAGATGATCTGGGGTAAATGTGGAGAGTCGTTTCCACTGGGGGAGTGGAGGAGAGGTACTTCACAAGGGATTAGTTGATAGTCGCTGATGGGATGAGAGGGGTACTGACCTGATGTGGAAGTTGGAGGTTTGATCGAGTGCTCCTCAAGAGGAGACTGTATTTGGGTGTGGATTTCTGCCATTGTGTAGGTTGGTGAATGAAATGATCGGATCTTCGATCAGTTGGTATCTGATTCTTTTATGTTTTTGGCCAACGGAGTTTGGCGGAGTTAGGCGGCCGGCGCGTGCGTGTCGTCGCAGCTTTTCCTGCTTGTGGGTTCAGGCCCCCGAGATAAGATTCTGGTTTCAAACTTCAGCCCTGCCACACATGAGCTCAGTAAACTAGCACTGCTAGCTATACTGATGAAGCCTTGAAGATGGAGAAGATGAAACTGGCCAACTTGGTGTTTTCGTGCCCCGCATCCAGGACTTGCTTACTCAGCCATGTCTCCAAATTTCTCCACCTCGGTGATTCTCTTGAAGGAAAGGAATGACATCACTTAATATCCCGAGTTCACAGCTTCACAGAAACTACGAATATCATGTCAATTCAACAGTGGGTGACTCCCCTCGAGGGCCTGGATAGTCTCCGCCAGACGGAGGCACCAATGGCCTCACCGGGAGCTGGCGAGGTCCTGGTGAAGATTCATGCGGTCTCGCTGAATTATCGGGACGTGGAAGGTTCGTTAACCTATGAAATAGCAGATATTCAGAATGATCCAAAGCTAATATACATCTACAGTAACCAAGGGAGAATACAAACACCACAAATCCGCCGAGCAGAATGCCACCATCGTGCCTTGCTCAGACATGTGCGGCGTCGTCGTCCAAGTTGGTTCCAGCGTAACCCGCTGGACCGTGGGAGATCGTGTCTTGTCGACGTTCCTCCCTGAACATCAGACCGGCCAAGTCACCGAGAAGGAGTTGGCCCGTAGTATCGGTCTCCCCTTGAACGGAGTCTTGGCTACTCACCGGGTCTTCCCCGAGTACGGCATCGTCCAGGCGCCGAGTTATCTGTCGGATGAAGAGGCTTGTACCCTTCCTATTGCGGCTGTTACAGCTTGGATGTCTATTAATGGGATGAGACCGATGGGCCAGCCTGGGGGTCAGGATGAGTACGTTTTGCTCCAGGGAACGGGTGGTGTGGCGATTGCTGGGTTACAGATTGCTAAGGCTGCTGGGGCTAAGGGTGAGTTTCATGAGAAGGGGATTGATTGTGTGGTTGAGTGTTTTTGACGGTGCTGATTGGTGGCTTACAGCTATTATTATTTCTTCCTCTGATGACAAGTTGGAACAAGCCAAGCAGCTGGGCGCTGACTTTACCATCAACTACCGCACCACGCCCAACTGGGAAGAAAAAGTGATGGAATGGACCCAGAACCACGGCGCGGATATCATCCTCGAAACCGGTGGTGCTCAGACTCTGCGAAAGAGCTTTGATTGTATCGCATTCGGTGGTCTCATCGATTGTATCGGCTACGTATCCGGCAAGGTTGATGCCCAGGATGACCGGTTGAACGTCAACCTGCTCGCCCTGCGCCGGACGGTGACTCTGAAGGGAATCATCAATGGACCGAAGGATCGATTTGAAGAAATGATTCGGTTCTACGAGGCGAAGCAGATTCACCCCGTGGTTAACCGGGTATTCTCCTTTACGGAGGCGAAAGAGGCATTCCAGTTTTTGGAGAGTGGGAGCCACTTTGGGAAAGTAGTGATCAAGGTGCAGGCATAGAGGAAAAAGGAACTGTTTATATCGTATAGCGAAAAGGGACTATTCCCATTTATAATATCATCATCCTCTCGTTGCTCACTGATCATTCCCACTCGGCTCTATAATCCCCTCCCCAATCCCCAAATCCTCCTTCAACGCCTCCCCCCAACAACCAGCGGCTGACAATCTTGCAAGACAAAGGCCATCCTCGCCCACTCCGTCGCACTCGGATTCCGCCATCCATGCATCGTAGCCCTCTGCACCGCAATATCCCCTCTCTGCATCACAGTAGCCTCTCCTTCCTCAAGTACCATCTCAACAGTCCCCTCCAACACGATCCCATAATCCAGGCTCTGCGTGCGGTGGACCACGCACGGGTTGCCGGGCGCAAAGTCGACGACCCGACACACCGTGCCCTTGGGGTTGACTAGTCCCAGGTTTCCGGATTGCTGGACTTTGTCGTGGGCGGCCAGATCGGCGTCCCCGTTGAGGTTTGCGGGGAATTCGGAGGTTGTGTAGACTACGTTGAAGGCCATGTGGCTTTCATCGTAGGATTTCCATTGGCCTGGCGTCGAGGAATGGAGGACTGCTTTGCCTGCGGCGTTGTGGGTGGTGATGTGTCGGGTGATTGGGCGGAGGGGGGAGATTTGGCCTGGATTGGACATTATGGTGGTTTAGGAGAGTGAGATGGAAGAAGAGAGTGTAGTGAAGAGGTGTAAGGAAATGGAGGAGGAGAGAGGGAGATGGTAAGTGATGTTCAAATACTCTTGTGCCACGTCAGGGCGATCCTTGTTGGACCGGGCATATTGGTAAGACCGAATTCCGAGCAGCGGTGAGGAGGATGCATGATCCCAATGAAGCAGGTGGAGTAGAAGTGCGGGGAATAGCTGAGGAGTTCGAGGATCTCTCTCAGCTATCTCGTTGGATCCTTCTTGGTCTGGTTATGTGGATAATGTGGCTTATGAACTGTCTCTAGTAAATGCTTGAATTAACCATCTATGCTTCCTGGATTGTACTCCGTCGTGATTACATCTCCATGTAAGCCCCGCTTGACAGCTCATGCGGGAACTATGAGGCATCCCAGTCAGATTAGCAGACTTGGAGACCGAGTGCACGAGCTATCATCTTCGGATTTATTATGATTCAAAATACTCCATAACTAAACTCCGGAGAGTGATCCATCCTTCAAAGCTTATACTTCCAGTGGAAGCGGGGAACTATGAAAAGAACCTTAGATTACAAATAAGCCATTTCCTATTTTCAGACGAAAGAGCCGTTTCATTCATATAAAAGAGTTAATTCTTGGCATAGTCACATAACAAGACACACTTCCACCTCCTATCTCACAAGAACCAGCGGAACTCTGGCGACGCCGGTCCATCTCGCATACGCTCCGTGGGAATATCCCGCGCCCGAATCACCCTTCCATCACGACGATCGCGCCGTTTATTATCCCACCACATATACAGTCCCAACAGTCCAGCTAGACAGGCACCCGTGGCTCCAAAGGCGGACACCGTAATCAGGGCCGGCATGTACTTGGGTGCATCCTTTTCCAGGAATACGTTGCTGCTGACCAGGCCCATTAGATTGGCGAGTGGGACGCCGATACTAGTTAAAAGCACACGGCGGCCCTCATGGGCGATGTTGTTGTTGTACCAGGTACTAAGCATCACCGAGGGAGCAGAGGTACCCCATGTCATCATAAAAGTTGCAAAGTAGGCGACCTGGATCTGTTGTTGGACGTCGTTGATAGAGGCGTAGATCATGAACCCGGTGAAAGTGAATAGGAATCCGAGCACGATAAACGGGGATCGAAGTCGGGTATAATCTGAGCAGAAGGCGAGTACCAGCAGCATCACAGCTCCCGTTACGTTCGGGGCGACCGTGTAGAGATTGGTCTTGACGGTCGGATAACCCAGACGAGCCACGATTTGCGGCATGAAGAGGGCTACACCTTGCAAAGGCACACCTAGGCAGATTTCAATGCATAGGAAGACGTATGTAGTCGGGTGCTTGAAGATACCCAATGCCTCGCGCAACCGGAACTTTTCATTAACCACCGCACTCGAATCGACCTGGATGCGATGAAAGGCCAAGGCTTTCTCCTCCTCTGACAAGAAACTAGCCTCGGCGGCACTCTTGGGCAGGTAGAAGAATGCAAATACGGCAAAGATGACCGTCACGCTCCCCTCGATGATGAACAGATAGCGCCAATTCGGCAGGCTAGATCCCTTGATTTGAAACACGCCAAATGCGATTAATCCGGAAAAGGCATTGGCAATGTTGGACGCCGCGTAGAAAATGGCCAGCCGACGAGCCAGCTCGCCTCGGCGGTAGAACGTGGTCAGATAGTAGATGACCAGAGGGAAGAATGCAGCCTCGGACATGCCCAGGAACCAGCGCAAGGCGAAAAGACCACTGAAGTTCTTGGCTGCGGCCGAGAGCAGGGTGAAGCTGCCAAAGGAGAACATCAGGACGGGCAGGACACGAGCCGGACTGAACTTTTTGCCTAGCATGGAGAAGGGCGGGGCGAAGATCACAAAGGGTACGAAGAAGATTGATAGTAGCAAATTGTACTGATTTGGCTTGAAATGGAGGTCTGCGGTGAGTGAGACGAAGAGATTAGTATCTTGTCTGCATGTTAGGAGGAGAGGTTGCAATACCTTCTGTCATATGATCCGTCTTTGCATTACCCAAGTTGCCCTTGTCGAGGGCATTGAATAGATCTGTCTGTGGTCAGTATCGTTTCCAGGTAGAAACTCTTGGGTATATTCTCGAGTCGACGAGTACCCAGTGATTCTTGGATACTTACACATAATCGCCAGAATTGGCAACAAGCGAATATCGAATCGTCGGCATAGACGTCGCTCAGCCTTATGGTCAACCACCCGAGTGACATCGTCGACCACACCCGGAGCCGAAGCATAACCTTGCAGCTTGTTAGGCTCTTCAATTGATCCTCGAGCCCCGGATTTGGTTGTGTCGTCCAGCGACGATTGATGTTTGTGTCTCGAATCCATCTTGACAGCGTAGAGCAAGACGGTAGGGAAAGGAGAAGCAGGAGAAGCACGAGGCGGGGATGAAGAGAAACACCCGACGAATATAGCTAGAGAATCAAAGTGCGCCGTTCACTTTCCCCTCCTGTCAAAAGCAACCGAAGACGGCCAAGGTCCGCAGCGGAACCCTCGTCTTATCAAGTCACTGTAACGCATCCCTTGACAAGTGGGTTGGATCGATAACGAGTATGTTGCATCACGGTTGCCGATGTCACCCCCACGCTTTTCTCCGCAAAAGGGGACCAGTCACTGGGTAAGAGGGAACGAAGGGCAACTCGAGGGAGGTTCAAGGTTGTGGTGGATCATCTTGGGGGAGGAAATGAGGGGGTGTCGTGCCGATCGCTGGACGGTTGCATCCGGTCGGCAGGCAAAGTTGGGGTATTTTCTTGGCAGATACCGTTGAATGACAATCGATTATTGAATGATGGGAGCATTGTGAGATATTCGACATGGTAATTGTTGAGGCTCTCTGTTGACATCCTTGTAGGAAATGGCTGGCCAGGATTATATCGGTGTCTGGATCTACAGCCGCATTCCTTAAGACATGTACGCTGAATGCCGATCGTGTTTCACACCCCCTTATCTCTGGGAATGTTCTAAAATCTCCCAATTCATTCTAGACTGCGCCGTCATCAATCTATTGAATCATCAAAACAGATGAACGGTCCATGATAAATTGAGGGGTATAGTAAAATGCAGCTCGTTTATTACAGTTGCCAGCGGCGTAAACTCTAGCGGTGTGGCCGCGGAATACATAAAGGAGACAGCTCCAAAGCGAACCCTCTTTAAACCAGTTAACCAACTTTTTGCATGAATGCCCATGGCTTCAAATCTGGAGATGGAAGATCAAAAGAAACAGATTCGTGATCGAATTATGAGTCAGATTCCGAACACTATAAATGCCTTCCTCGAAACAGCTGGCTCGGGAGCAATCCGAATACTCGGGGACACCCCTACTAGCGTTCTTACAGCTGGAGACAACTTGGGTTGTATACGCCAGCTCGTGTCTGAGCTCGAATATGCAATTCATGTGAACCGTCCAAGTGCTCAAACCTGTTTTCTCGCCGTGAACATATATCCTCAAAGTCAAACGAAGCACTCTTACTTTGTGTTAGACCTCAACAATGTTGACTATGTCTACGCGACCGCCCATAACAATATGAGACCAATACCCGTTTATGTTCTCCGCTTATCGAAGAGAAAAATTAGCATCTTCAGAAAGGAGGACTTGGATGCCGCCGTTGCCGAGAACCTTGCAACAATGCACAATGGACACGGGAATGACCCTTTACCTTTAGTTGACGATTACAACGGCATTGTCCAATACAAAAGCCCACGCAGTCTCTCTGCTGGGTTATCCATACAAAATATTCAGCCAGCTCAAAATCCAGAAAACGAGTCATTAATTTTTAATTTACATAAGAAAAAAAAACGAGATACGTCAATCGGTGGATTCTACTGCAAGGTCCGCAATTTCCTCGGTAGAGGGCCTATTATTTTAGCATTAAGTGGCTAGCCTACGTGATCTTTTCTCTACTCGGATCCCCTTGACCTGCCCCCAAAAACTGTTTGTGAGCCTAAGTCTTGGATAAAGTCAGTCGACTCTTTCTCATTTACTGTCGTTCTCGAAATCGGCTTGACCGATACACAATGAGAAAGTCTTTCCTGGCCCCACCGCCCTCGATCGCCAGAAATCGCAGGGCTTGCCGGTTGCGGCGACTTGCCAGTCTTGGAGACCCGAGTTTGCATCCTATTTCCAACCTATTATGTCTTACTCCCGGAGAACTGCAATACCAATAGAAGATAAAATGTTTTAAACTCAACATAATACCCATTCTTTTGCGATACCCACTTGGTGATCTATAGATGTACTTGAGAACTTTATCGTGGAGGCTTTTCTCCATCCATGGTCCCAGTCCCGCCGTCCTATCGAACCAGTGTTAGCACAGTGACAAAGACATTTAAGTTAAACATAATTTTTAAGAATAAAGCGCTCTCAGAACCGTGTATAATCACTTTCTTGCTGGTCTTAAGCACTCCAGCAAGGTCATTTCGGCGAGTGATAGGTATCATCATGAAACAGAATTTTCCAAACATGTACGACTTACTGGCTCAATGGTCAACGAAATAAGCACCCGATCCATTTTGTGTTTAATCCTGATCTACCGAAATAACTGACTTTTGTTCTTTGAAGTCCTTTTATATACATCGTCGCCTCGGAAGCTCGGTCGACATCGCTTCCCGATCAGACATGCCCTATGCCCCTGGACGATAACTATCTAGGACCCACAAATATATCGGATAATGAAGACGAACGAATGAGGACTATGAATACTGACTGCTAATTTCGACGTGACTCATGAAATTGCTAGTTCAGTCACATTTTCGTATTCGTCGACTCATCGTGCGCGAACAGACCCTGCCGATTTCCTAATTGGGTGTCCGACTACGACCCCAACTGCGATGACAGTCAAGCTGCCAAGCATCTCCTACTGTTGAAATTTCAAGGACCAATGATGGCAAGCTAGATACAATTAATCGTGTGTCAATTGTCTCTTTAGCTCATATTTCACGTATATCATAAATCTGTTTATCCAAATCTACCTCGGCAATGTTTCCGTGTAGAGCAGTCAACTAGCTACTCCGCGCTTTAGCATCAGCCTGAATAGCCTCTTCAGCCCGACCCTTCCACTTCTCATCCCAACGCGAAAGTGCCGCTCGCCCTTCAATCACATCGTCACTGGCCCATTTCATACGCGCCTGATCCAACGCCGGAGTCGTCTCGCCATCCGGGCAAATGATATAAAATGATCCAGATTCCAGTCCCTTTAGCAGTTCCTCTGCTACCTGACTAGGGTACCATGCACCAGCTGGCTTCTGAATTTCTCCCTCGTTGGTGGGGCCCACGTTACCCATCAACCCCGTCCAGGTCCACCCGGGGATTAACAGATGGGCTGAGATATGCGTGGTTGCTGGATCGGAGCGTAGATCATGGGCGAGATGTTCGGCTAAATTCTTGATTGCCGCTTTGGACGCGTTATAGGCTGGGTTTCCTGCGCCGGGGGGATTGGTGATGCCTTGCTTTGAGCCTGTGATGACGATTGATTTCGGGGATGGTGTTTCAGGAGCGCGGAGGATGGGGAGAAGAGCTTCTAGTCCGTTAAGTGGGCCGCGGACGTTTGTGTCGAATGTCTTTCATAGCTGTTAGTGGGCGTCCACAGGTAAACTAGGTATATACCTGGTCGTAGAGATACTCGATGTAGACGTACTTTTTGCCAATAATCGCCATCTAACCAGGGATTTAAGCGACCGGATTCCTGTCCCTGCGGCTTATATCCCTTGCCGGCATTCAGCACCACTAGGTCGATCGATGGGAAGAGCGTAGCAATTTGCTTCGCAGTTGCTTTCCAGATCTCAATTTCGGCGACGTCAATCACATATGCCTCCGTCAGGAGTCTTGGGTTGATGTCGTGTAGGACACCCTTTGCTTTGACCAGGTTGGTCTGGTCAATGTCCAGCAGGGCCAGGTTCATCCCTTTGCTGCGACAGAGTTTCGCAATTGCGAATCCCACTCCCGATGCAGCACCGGTAATAAGGGCGGTCTTATTTTCCTGAATTACAGAGCCCATGGTGAATTGTGATTTTTCTCCAGCCTGTTGTTTTTGAAGTTTGTGAATGTTGAAGGTTGAGAAAGAAGACCGAAGGAGGGGGTTTTGGAGATTTGGAGATTGCCCCCAACACTCATGGCGATGTCATCACGGGGTTAGCGGAGATAAAGTGTCATCAATGTGAAAAGGACCGCAACTTTATTTAGTTTTGATTTTTGGCTTGCTCTTTCTAAAATTCTTAAATCCTCGAGTCTCCACTGCTTTTAGCCTATTAATGGCCTTAATCTGAAGAATATCTGTCCAATAAAAAAGAATTCTAGGGTCTATAGCCTTCCCTCGCGGAGACGCCGTCAAACAGATGGTGGTGTGTCCCTGGCTGAGAAAAGGGCTAAATAATTGTATAATTTAGCCAATGGTCTTTTGCGGACTCTCAATCAACGAGCTATCTCAAGGAGATTGTAAACTTAGTGTATAGTCTATAGCAGACTGCCTGATTCGTTTAGCGCTTGAATTGAACTGATTACCTTGCACCATTTGTAAAAGTCTGTGTACTTTAGCCACACTGCCACGTTTTGGTAACTAATGATAAACTTCTTAATGCACGATAAATGAGACATAAGATAATTGTTCTTGATTTATTTGATACATATTATATACTCCGGGCCTGCACTCAAATCTAGTGGATACTTGAATACATCAATGAAGTGATCACCAATCCACCAAACAATTCAAATGCTTAGCCACGGCGGCGCAGACGGCTCTCCAAGCTGCGCTTCTTGTAAGCACCGCTCTCCTCCAGAGCCTGGGCAGTTCCAGGGCCAAAGTCAGGTTGACCACCCAGAGTACCGAAGATATCACCAATGTAGTTGGTAGCCTTGACGCCCTTCTTGAAGGTCTTCTCCCAACCCTGCAGGATACCCTGCACAACCTCAATACCGGCGTGGTAGATGTTCTCCAACGCGGGCTCGAAGCCACCCTGGTCAGAGTAGAGCAGGTTGTAAGTGGCCGAGGCTCCGGGGTAGGGACGGTCAAAGTCGGATGCAGTGCGCATGACGATGATACGAGAGAAATCGGTCAGCTTGTGGACAGCAGCACGGAGGAGAACCTCCAGGGTAGCGTTGTCCTCCTGCGCAGTGGAGCAGTAATCGCCAGTTCCGTTGGTGAACAGCTTGGTGGTGTTCTCGAAGGCGGTTCCCAGGATGTTACCGCTGTAGTAGACATCTGAAGTAGCAACGTCACACTCGACAACGCTGGGGGCAAGGGTGGCAGCCTTGTACTCTGCACTGGCATTGGCGTAGTTGGCACGGTAAACCTTAGCAGCGGTCGAGTCGGACAGGTTGGCACGGCGGGCGAAGTTGGCAGCAATGGTACGGAGGTTAGCGTTGACCTCGAAGACCTCGGTGCCGTAGATGCTGGTGGGGTACTGGTCGGGATAGTCGGCACCCAGGGGAATGTAGCCAGTCGAGTAATTACTGGAGAGCTCGCGAATGTCGATCTCATACTGCAGAGCAACCTGGACTGCGTACCGAGCAAAGGTTGCAGAGCCGGTGGTGGCTCGCTTGGGGTTGATACCGGCAATACCAGCCACGAAGAAGTAGGTTTTGGTCAGGTCGAAGAGGGGAGAGAAAGCAACAGTGGTGACGGTAGCAGCAGCATTGATCTCGGCCTCGCCAGTGATCAATTGGCAGACCTCATAGTCCTTAGTGCAGTGGACATCCGGGTAGAGAGGAGAAAGACCGGGGATGGTAATGTTGTGGGACAACAAGTCGAACTCGGGGATGTTCCACCAAGCCTGAGCTTCGGGCTCAAACTATACATGGAAAAGATATTAGCAAAAGTTTTCAAACATTGCTAATTCGGCATTGACTGTTGTACAGAATACCTACCATTGAGACAATGAACACCTTGGGAGCAATCTTCTCGCCATTGTGGGAGGCCGTCTTCGCCGCAACCTGCGCGCTGAAGGTGCTTCCAGCGAGCAGCAGCGAAGTGAACAAAGTCTGCATGGACAGCATCTTGGGGAACAATGGGGAAAATTTGTTCAGACACTCTGACTCTCGAGATACCCCGCCTGGGGGAATTGGTTGCTTTTTAAACCCCCCGAGGTTTATCCTACACGACAGCCAAGAAAAAAGAAAAAATTGACTCGCGTCGAGCTATTACGGTTTGCATGAAGCAAATTCCTCAGGTGGACCTCAAATGCACCCAATAAAGGAACGATCAGCGGGTCGTACCTGACGAGATTTGGTCGAGGATGGCGATAGCATGGTTGATTGGCGTCTTGTCGGACCAGCTCCATCAACTCAACCCCTTTTTGATAGAAGATACATAATTGAATGGAGGCTTAACTTCCGATTGCGCTTTTACTGGCCAATCGCATCGAGGGTCAGATTGTCGTTATCTTCAACGCGGCTGTTATCGCGCGCCTTCTTTTTGTTAAGCCTCGGAGCGTGCCGGGAGACCCACTACGAGCGAAGAGAATTTCCATGGCATTCCGCAGAAGAAAAAAAAAGCTTGAAACTGTTTCTAGAACGAAGCAGAGATACAAGAATGAATGCAGGTACCATGCAGAGCGGGAGCTCCCTCTCACACAAAGTTTGGCCAAGTCGTTTATTCAATAGAGCTCTTAGTTCATGTTAGCCTCTGCCGATCGACCATGCCTCAACGGACGCTAACTAATTACAGCAGGCGTGAATAGTTACGTGCTCGGAGGGAAAGATCAGACCATCAATGTATCTTGTGAGGCGAGAAGCTATTAAATGTCAGAGCCAAGGGCGTTGAAAGCGCAATAGTAGACCTGTCACTATGCTACTCTCTCCATACAAGGGTGATGAAGAGATTGTCTGGATAGGCCCGACCAATCCAATTTTCCAAGGCATGTGGAACTACCCAGTAAACAATTCACCAATCAGAAAAGACTTACGGCCTTCCTAGGGCCTTCTTCATCAGATTATATAGAATCCATGGACTTCCTCCTTGGAAGGCGCCGCTGATTGGTATTTAGTCATGATTCTTCTAGCGCCTATCAACTGTCACGGCAAGAAAGCAGTCCAATACTTCGATTGAATGTTTACCAGCAGGTTTTGATCTTGCCCTGGCACCCTTGCCACGAGGACACCCAAATTCCCGCTGTAGTGTATCCATGGGTGGTGATGTTGGCTCCCATACTGCGCCGTAGAAACTCCCCGCATGCTGTACTACTGTATAGGCAAAGTGGTGAAGACTGAACAATACCCTATGACGCGCGGGGCTCAAGCCACCGTATCTGATGGCCCGGACGTTGGCGTGGGGCATGACGCATGTCAAGAGGGTTATTTTGGGGGAAATTAGAATTCATGTGACAGGATCAAGATGTTGATCGCCCGGGATTTTTGGCTGCTGTGCTTTCAACGTCATCTCCGTGACGTCATTTTAATATATCGGCTTGCACCACAACGAGCGCAACCAGCCATTAAAACCACGTTGGTTTCCCCTCTCTCTGGGATTGCGATCCCCTGAATCCGTGTTGATTGTGTTGTCCCTGTCTGTAGGATTGTTTACTTGGTGAGTTCGCCCGGTCGGAGAGGAGAGTATGTGGTCTCGTGGTCTAACTAGACTTGTTTATTAGTCTCGATCTCCATATAAACCGTGCATCGACCCTCTATACCCTTCAACTCGCCCATCATGCCATCTATGTATGATCGCATCCGTGAGGATCTCATCAACAAAGAGCAAGCACTATGGACCGCTCTTACCTCCGCCGATCCAGCCCCTGCGATAAAGAAACTGTGCAACCCCGAAGGCAATTTGATGTTCCCTCAAATGCCTGAAATTCTTACTCTCGAAGACGAATCTCATTTCAATGAAGCCTTGAGACCACCATTCCACCGATTCGACGGGTACCAGCTCGACGAGGTTCGAGTCATCATCATCGATCTCATGGCGGGCGCGGTGACATACAAAGTCCGCGCGGTGAGGGGGAAGAAAGAGTATCGGGCGACATGTTCAACCACATGGGGCCAAGGATCAGATGGAGAGTGGACTCTGTTCTCGCACTCGGAAACCCTGCAGTAGAGAGAATGGGAGAGGCGTGATGAAGAACTTGGGTTGTGGGCAATCGAGCGTCTTATACTTGCGAATGGTACTATGATGTCACGCGTCACGAAAATATGAACCACTTCATATATTTTGCATTTACTTGGGGTTAGAGTGCCTATGAAGATGTCTGAGCTGCACACCGTCGTTTGTTTTCTGAAATTCAAGAAGTTGGTGTTCGACATTCGATTATTCGAGTGATCAAATTGATCGCTAGTGCATATCCATCTGCGATCGGCGATTCAATAGCGCCCGAGTGCTTTTAGTGCTGATTGGCTGTCACATTTTGTACGACAAGCCTTGCCAATAGTATTCCAGTAGTACTACTTTCAGGGCTTAAAGTGTTTTTCAGCTTGAGAAGAGTTGGCCAGGTGTTTACGTTGATGATTCATCATTTGAAAGATGCAAGGGACTGGGGTTGCACCCAGTCATCCTTGCTGAGAATTTGAGTAGAATAGGAAAATGCCCAGGCCATGGAATTATTCACTCTGGATTCGCTTCTCAAACCAGTTTCGTATTGCTAGGTCTAGATTAAACATCACCTGGAAGTAGTCCTTGGCAGTCTCGGAGCCGATTAAACTATGTATCATTGAAGCGTGGCTCAAAACTCAAAGATCCTGTCTGGGCTGGTCGAGAGTCTAGCCTCTGAGGTCACCTTCCGCCTGAACCAAAAAGTTAATTCTTGACGGGCCTACCGATCCAATGGCGGGGAAGCCAGCGAAAGGCCGATCGATTTCCGAATTACAACCGAGCTTTGCTTATTCGTGTGTAACTATCCAAACCTAGAGAGCACATTCGCGCCTGTCTTTGCTTGCATGGCTGGCTGTAGTGTGTTGGTAATGCGTGTAGTTGCTTTTGTAGTGTCTGCGAAAGTCTCGAACCAGGCGTACATTGCTCTAACGTGAGCGAAAACCATCGTAGATGCGGGTCTTGAGTATGCGCCTGTCTGCACGGGGTGGTTGTACAGTGAGCGTTGATCATCCAGTCTTGTTAGATAAAGTAGAAGAAGAAGTACATGACTAGCCCTGTGTTTTTTGCGTGCCTTGAGATCGTCTTACTGACCTCAAGACAAGAAGAGCCTTTCAAGTCCCAAAGATGGCAAGATCTCAAGATCAAGCGCCCCCGTGGGGTCACAAATGGAGGTCATCCGAGTTCTTCATAATCGCCGCAACTGCAACCGCATTACTGACTGGTACGGGCCTGGTATGACCGGCAAAATCGTGTGTCGTAGCTGATTCCTCTGAGCAGATATGTTCCTGCATCAGTTTCTTGTCTCAATCTTGCCTTTCGTTCTGGAGAATCGCCTTGGCCTCGGTCCTGAACTTATCCAGCGCGTGAGTGAAATGTTGCTGGCGGAAACTGCTTTGGTATCATTCATCGTCACCCCCGTGATTGGTCGCTATACTGATCACTTGGGTGCGCGAACTTGGCTTCTGCTTGGGCTGTTTGGGGAGTTGGGTGGCTCTATGATCATTGCCTCGGCTCATTCATGTAATGTTTCCACGATATATTGAGTGCGACCGCGCACTGGCTGCTTTGTCTTGCTGACATTAATCATCAGTGTTGACGCTCTTCGCTGGACGCTTCGTTCAGGCAGTGGCCAATACGATCGTCGGTGTTCTCGGGATAACCCACCTGACGAATAATACCTCGTCAAAGGGAACAGAGAAGATATACGGAGTTCTTACCGTCTCCTTGGCTGCAGGATCATGTGGGGGGCCATTGATGGCCGGGGCGATGTTTGAGCTCACCGGATATTGGACTGCGTGGATGAGTGCATTCGGTGCAAGTGTGGTTGGTTTGGTGCTGCAGAGTCTGATGCTGGTGCCACCGCAAGATACAGAGAACGAGGTCAAGTCCGTTATAGCACAGGCAAATGTTGCAGAAGATATAACCGAAGCAAGCCCATTGCTGGTGCCTTCATCGGTTTCCGATCTCTCCAAAATGTCTGACCAGTTGAGATCAACGGTCAAAACAATCCAAAATCTCGACTTGCAGTTCTATATCTACCTGCTCACGAATCGCCGCTATATTGGTGGTATCCTCAGCTCTATTTGTTACGCGATCGTATCCGTCAGCTTCGACACGACGCTTCCGATCCATGTTGGTGAAGTATTCCAGTGGGGCAGCTTGCAAACTGGAATCCTCTTTGCTATATTGCAAGGACCGAATGCCTTCTTCAGTGTTCCTGTGAAATGGTTGAAGGACCGAGTGGGATCGCGGTACCCTACTTCCGTTGGATTTTTAGGCCTTGCAGGCCTTCTGTGGCTGGCAGGAACTCCTGGCGACGATCGATTCCCGTGGGCCAATCTCGGGTATCGGGGTCCGGTCATCTATGGGGCTGCCATCGCTGCTATGGGAATCTTCATGACTTTGTTGAACGGTACTGGAATGATGGAGGCTGCGAGTAAGAAACCACCGGGAGCCCTCCAAGATAGCAAACTGATCTCTTTCATCCAGACGCGGTTCGGGATATTGAAACCCAGCAGCCCGGAAGGTTTGGTGAAGAAGCATATTCCCAGGCTATGTTGATCAGTCGTCTCAGCTGGACATTTGGCTTATTTCTGGGGCCTATTGTGTCAGGGCAGCTCACGGAGAAAGTCGGATATCATGACATGACAGGTATCCTAGGTGAGTGAATGGATCAGATCGCTTAATGCGTTGATGGGCCATCCCCTTGAGCGAATTTCGATCGCGTGTAGCGCTAACCATCTTTCAGCCACAATGTGTCTGTTCTGTGCAGTCTTTGCTACTTGGACTCTCAAGTCGTCGCCCTTGCACTGATAGCCACGACTAAGCGGCGGAAAGGTGGAGGAGCGTAGAGTGAGGGTTACAATGCCAGCCGTGTTTGATATTAACCGGCGGCAGACTAGCGCTTAGCTTGAACTCCTGACTCCGTTCTTCATGACGCGAGTTAGGAGACTGGTACTGCAGTAGTAGCCGCACTAGGAGATCCACCAGTTCAAGCCACCTTGTGAGACCGAGGTTCCGATCGGGCGCTGTCCATCGCGGCATCTCCGGACCCCGTACTTCCCTGGGCTCTATGTATGGATTAGCCGGTTGCTTTGTCCAACACACCTCTAAGGATGTATACAACATGCATAGATTAGATAGGCTGTTCCACCTATTTTTGTGAAGAGATTTTCGAGGCCTATGCAAGTTTGAACCAAAGAGCCGACCCACTCTGCTTAGAAGAGAAACGTGCATGTATCCGTCACTAACTTAGCGCAGTTTCAATCCTGCAGAAGGGAATCGAGAAGAAACCCCGAGGTCCGCCTACTTCCGTTAGTTATTGCAGATGCAGAAAGGTGGACTGACATGGGCTGAATTGAACCGTTCAATTGAAGTATTTAGTTGTGGTTGGGCCGTATAGAGGATCATCTACATACATCTCCAGTATACATCTCTAGCACGAGTTTGCTCACGAGACTCCTGATTGCTTTCCGATTAGCCAAAGAGAATAGAGCCGAGTAGACCCGTGGGGCATGCCGTTGCAAGAAAGAAGGCAGACATGAATTCCATCACGGGAGGTTATACTTAGACAGGCAAGAGGCACGGTCGGAGTGGAACTAGTGGGACTTTTGACGGGATCTGACAAGTCAACCGAGTCAAACTAGCACAGACAATTGTTGAATCATCCATATTTCCTCTGTTCAACTACTGGACGGTTCAATTAGCCCGGCCCAGCTTGGTTTGGTGTGAATTGTTCGCCCCGGAAAGCCCATCCGGTTCTCAACGGTCGCTCAAGACTATCTTTTTGAGTTGCTCCCCGGGCTAACTCCGCCACTTGTGCGAAGAAAAAAGAGCTATCTAAAGCTCTCTTCCTTTCCACTTGTCGTCATCCAACCATCTATCAGTCTGACACTCTATCTGGAGGTCGTGGCTGACTGGCGTTTCTCTGTACTTTTTCCTCTTTGTGATGGGTCATTCCTTTTCTTTGAGACTTTGATACTTTCCCCCTCCCTTAAACCGTGCGTCACGAATACTCCGCGCTCGGGGAGATCCACCACGGTTCCACGGATGATGGCTTTAGGAGGAAAATGCCGAACGATCGCCTCTTCCGGCCGAGGAAACCTTGATTTTCATCCGGTCGCTGATTGATTGGTGTGAATTGATTATGGAGTTCGATGTGAATGACCAAGCGACGACAAAGGGTTGCTCGTGTAAATTGTGTTAAAGGGTTCTGGGCTGGCGAAAATTTTTGCAACAGAGCTGCTGCTGAACTTTGTATATATCACGTCACCCCCCATCCTCTGCTTGACAACACAGGGGGACCACGCCCTTCAAGTGGATTACTACTTTTAAGAAAATCATTTGAATTTGGACGACTCATAGACGACTTATCTTGAATTTTGTCAGTGACTGGGTATAGCCCAAACAGCCCTTTACCGGACATTCCCACTTCGTCAAGAATTTGCACCTCGAAACCAAACAAACTTGAAACGAAGATGATGGATCTTCCCGGTCCTCCACGCGAAATCGCCATCGTTGGTGCAGGCATTGCCGGTATTGCCTGTGCGCTTGCTCTGTCCCGAGAGCTCTCACCATTCGTGCCAAACCTCAATATCACAATCTATGAGCGACATGACATCTTGTCCACCTCGGGCGGTGCAATCAATTTGACTCCTGTCGCACAACGGCACCTAGCACAGCTAGGAGTCCTGGATGAGCTAGACCGCATGGGTTCGGAGGGTGGGGCCGAAGTGGATGCTATTGAACTTTTTTCAATGCGCTCGGGTCGCTCAATTGGCTCAATTGACTTTGTTGATCACAATGGAAACGGCTTTGGCGGGTATAAGGGCCGACGTGTTATGCGAATCATTCTTTCCGTGGCCATGATGACGGTGGTCGACAGGACTCCAAATGTCAATATCATCTTTGGCAAGAAAGTGATTGGCGGGGAGGAAATTAGCGACAAGGCCATCATTCATTTCAGTGATCAGTCAGAAGTCATCGCAGACCTCGTCATTGGTTGTGATGGTGTTCACTCCGCCGTTCGCACCCGCTGGGTTGATCCCGACAGCGCCTCTCAATATACGGGCATGTCTTTCTTGCAAGCTACTATCCCGGCAAACACCCTCTCCACCCCACCGCATTTCCGGTCATCTGCGTTGAATGTCTCACGTCATGGCTCGATGTTGACAAGCTTCTGTGACCGTGATCGTGAGCAAATCTTTGCAGCTGCGGTCGTTCAATTTGATCAAGCAGACTTGGGCTTCCATCGCCTTGAGCCGGGCCAAGACTGGGCGACAAAGGATCGAATTCGTCGGGATTTGCGCTGCGAGATGCGATCCCGGTTCTCCAAATCAGCTCTGCCCTGTATTCGAGAGATGGTGGAGACTAAAGCGGATTGGATGCTTTATCCGGTCTATCAAGTTCGACCAGGAGGACGATGGTGTATGAACCGTGTTATACTACTTGGCGATGCAGCACATGCGGTATGTTTATGATGAAAACGTTACGGTAAAATACGACTTTTTGTACTAACAGGCTACGACAGATGCCCCCTCGGGACGAGTCAGCAGCATATGCTTTGGATGATGCTATTCTCTTTGCTCGTATCCTGGCACGTTACCGCTCGGAGCCTCTAACAGAAGTCTTCGATGCGTACGAGCGACTCCGTCGAGAAACGATCAACCGTGCATTCAAAGAATCCCGCCGTATGTGGGACAGGAATCGCGACATGGGCTTTCTGGAAGGCCGACTCAAAGAGTGGATGATGCCCTTCCAGATTCGAAGTCACCGCGATGAACGAGAAAGTGCGTGGGAGTTTGACGCTACTAAGATTCTGCTTCCGACGCCAACTCCAAGCGAGGATTTGGTGTCCTTGAATTCATTCTTGAAGGAAGGTACAACATGAGTGAAAGTTTATTATTGAAATTCCTTGGGTCGGTTCGGGTGTTTGGATGGATTGCATTGGGGGTGTACCGATTCGGATTTAGGGTGATACCCGGGGAAATTTTGGGTTTAGTGATATCTGTAATTAATCAAGCTGGCCTCTTGCCTGATGGCTGGTGTCAATACGAAGTTTACTTCCATGAACTGTAATATTCCCTTGCATGCGCATGCAGAGCTGGGCAACCCGATGAAATCTACTGTAGTATCTGTAGCTGCTGAGCAGGCTGTGCAGATGGCCGACAAAGGCATAGTGACCATCTAGCAGATGCTCTGGATAGTATGCGCGAATGGGCTTTCATGTAAGGAGTTCGTGGTCTGCCCTTGATGTTGATATTTCATATCCAAATCATATTTACCTCTGCCTCTCCAGATTCAGCCGCCTCAGAACGTATAACTGTTGTACCTCATAACAACTCAGATGAAGCGCCCTTTCAGCAGTCACTCACAACGACCGGCGGGTACCACGTAACACCTAGGATTAACATCTTCTTAGGGATTCTTGGCCTAGAAGAATAAGCGGTTAACTACAATGTTTCGCTTCCTTATGGTAAACAGATCAATTATTATTCAAAGAGACTATTATTGGCATCGCTAGAATCATGGCAGGAACACTTTCTTCGCCAGCCTCTTCAATGCATCATTCCTCGTCTTTTTGATGTGCTTAGCATACGCCTCCGCCTCGTTGACGCGCGGGAACGGCACGTCTGGTATATCCTTGCCCAAAAATCGACATAGAGGTTCCCATCCGTCCTTGAGCTGAAATTCGAGCAGTTGTTCTTGCGGCACAGTCGCGCGGATTTCCTTGTAGTGTCTTTCATAGGCGGCACGGGCATTCTTAGAAATATCCTTTGGGTGTTTCGATTGCGTCCATCCAAGCTGGAACTTCAGGCTCACTTTTCCCTCGATGCTTCCGATATAAGACCCAACCCAGTGAATCATTCGGACGTGAGACCGGCTCTTCCACGGTCTGAATACCTGTTCCGTGCTTTTGAGCCAAGATTGAATGTCGCGTTCGACGAGGATGACCTGGGCATCAGGGTACGCGCGAATCAGCGACATGGCGTAGAAGGACGCGATATCAGTAACGGCCCCGTATCCTCCAAAGGCTTCATCCCATTCGGAGCTTGTGAAGGGCTTGCCCGTATATGTCGGCAATACGGGAAAGCTTGCGTCGGCAGCACGGTCTAATACCTTCCAATGCTTCTGAAATTCGGGGCCGATAATCTCTAAACCGTGGTGCACGTTGGGAACGCCCAGGATGCGCAGCGACTGGGCTAGAGATGCGGTGCCCGTGCGAGCCATGCCCAGGCAGAGAATTGGAGGCGATGATTTGGCGACTTTCTCTGATACCGGGGGAGGTGGTGGGTTCACTGTGGCCTCGCCCGTGGACGTTGCTGTTTCCCCTTCCTGCGCCATTTCTTTACCCTTTGCTGTCCTGATTCCTCAAGTTGAGTAAGAAAAACTCCCGAGGTGTCAATGGTGGCTCGGGGAAAGCTTTTTTCAAAGCAATCTCGTGAACAAATTGTGGAATGTAAGAAGAGGTAATCCCTCACCTTAGAAGATTTGCTTTAAGTACTCAGATTTTTGCGCAGCCTCTGTAGATAAATGTGATGTCGCTAGGACGCTAAACGGTTTCTGCACATCGCGACCAGTCCGCTTTAAGTAAGTGTAAAGCATGCGGCTGAACCTGCTTACGTGCGTGTGAGCTGATACAGACTCCGCGCGCGCCAATTCTCGAGCGTCTGCCGCCATCGAGCTGAGGGACAACGACTACTGGCTCGCGCATTGAATTTTTGCTTATAATCCCTCGCATTCGGTTGCAATATACCATTGTTTTCTAATTAGGGGAACCTCCAACATATCTCTTGCAGGATCACCGTCAGAGAAGGCCTTCACCGTTTTGGCGGTAACTCTTGAACCGAGCCCTGGTAAGGTTCAGTATGATTCGATTACATAATACTTCTTTCATACTGTAGGTACCTAGGTCGTGGATAATGTAGACTAGAAGCCCAACCTATTCACCTAAAATCAATCATCTCGAGGGACCTTTAGTCATTTCGCAGCCTTTGTACTATTCGGATCCCTTATCCTAGATCTGGGCTACCATGTATCGTATTTTGAAATAAGACTGGCAAAAGATACGACGAGTTGCAAATTGATAAAAGCTCAGTGTTACATACAACTCTGTTCTCAAGCTACCCCCCAAGACCGAGATATCGGTAGTCAAGCCCTTGTTCAAGCCGAGCCCCTAGAAGCTCAGGGTCTGACCAGCAGTACCGACAACAGCGCTCTTGACATTGGCAGATCCAACCAAAGTGTAAGAGTAGGGCACAGAGGTCAAAGTTCCAGCCTCAGCAGTGTTCTCACCATCACCAAAGTCGTTGTCATTGGCCACAGCATAGCCATCGTCAGTGGAATAGAGAGGCTTGCTGGAGCCGACGAAAGTGTTGGACTCGACGAGGACCTGGGCGCCGTCGCGAGTGTTGATGCCATCGCTGACGGTGTCGAAGTAGCTGTTGTAGAAGTGACCAGTACCGAAGCGAATAGAGGGGGTACGGGAGTTGATGTTGTACCAGTAGTTGTTGTTCTGGGTAACGTGGAGGTAACCGGTGTCCTCGTCGCCGTTGCTGTCAGAGTGGCCAATCAGCGAGGCCTTCCAGTGGTCGTGGATGTAGGTGTTGGACACAGTGACGTAGTCAGCTGCATGGGTGATCTAAAATTATGTTAGTATACTTGAATTATATGCCAGAGCTTGGTACTCAAAAGTACTCACGTCGATAAGACCATCGTAGTAGTCCTTGTCGTGGTCTCTGTCGGAGGAGACATCGCAGTGGTCCACCCAGACATTGTTGGAGTACTCTGAAAGACATTAGCACAAACTCGCTTTGACGGTAAGTTCCAGGACATTGACTTACGAATGCCGATGGCATCTCCGTTGTCAGCCAGAACCTTGGAGATACCAAGGTTGCGAATGATGACGTTGGAAGCTTCCTTCACAAGACTAGATATATGGTCAGATTTATTCCTTTCATGAGCCCGAGGTATACTCGTGATACTAACATTCCAAAGTTCACCAACTTGGCACTCGAATCCTTGCCAATGATGCTGGTGTTGCTACCAACGCGAGCTTGATCGGCAGTCTGGGTGATGGTGCCGCTGACAACCACAACCTTCTTGTCATCTCCAGAAACTGCAGCAGTGAATGCTGCATACGAGGAGACGGTTGTAGTGGTACCACCAGCTCCGCCAGTGGTGCCTCCATTCTGGCTGGCGTAACCGGTGGCCGCCTGTTATTGTAAGTCAACGAATCAACGTGAATGGGACTGGAAAGCGAGAAGGTCGATATCTCGTCGAGAATTCTACTCACATCATTGATGCTTGCGCGCTTGACGATCTGGTCACTGGCTGCAGTGGGAGCTGCAAGAACTGATCCTGAGAGGCAGCTTGCCAGCACAGCGGTGATCCACTTGGAGGGAGCCATTGGGAATGATAGAGCAAAGTTAAGCTGATAGCTTTGGATTTGAATTGAGGAGTCTGATGTGATTGTTTTGATCTAGAAATCCGGAGGTCTGCTCGATTTTATATACTTATGGATCTCTATTGAGCTTCCATAATAGACTCAGCTTGATGCTTCTCATCCACCAGAGTGGATGGAATATCTCCTCGGCGTCAGTTCTTCCAGGTTAGCTCACGGAATGAAGGATATAGGTGGACTAGTTCGCCATAATTCTCCGACAAATATTGTATCAACTTCACACTGCCGAGAATTCGCATCAATGCAGGGGCTTCTCTAGCACCCTTCAGAAGAGTCCAAGCCTTGGCATCAAGAATAGATGTGCCGGCCCGCCTCGCGTAAAGTCTTGTGGGAAAACAATTCACCACCACACCAGATGAGCTTAATTACGAACAAGTCTGATCAAATGGCAGGAAATGATCGTCGAAAGTAAAAATCAAAAACTTCCACAAATGAATCCCTAGATGCGCTCACTTCTGGGGTGCATGCATATGCAGCCGCGCCAAGACTGCTGGGGTTTCATCACGTCGCGGAAGATCTTGGCACGGAAGATGAAAGGGGAGGGACTGTGCAGAGCTATTTCCATCAATCGATATATGCTACTGTTATGCTAGTTGACATCATCGTTTCTGAATCTGTTTCACTACGCATCTTCTCTCCTCAGGACTCGGCATTTAGACCTTTACTAAACAGGAAGCGAAGACAACATAGAGTTGTGGAGAGGGTCCACTGGTGGCATAGTTCTACCGTTCCCTCGTGTCATAATGAGAGGCTATAAACGCCTCGCTCAAAAGAATATGGTGCGAAATTAATTATAGATGACAGGACGAAAGTGGGTATATCAGATGTATTATGGACAGTCAACAGACTCAACACACAGTCTTGCATGGGGTACTCTGGTCCGGGCTATGAGATGATGACCCAACGGACGGACATAAACGTGGTGCTCTCTTCTTCTTCATGCCTATTGAAATCTAATCATCAATTTTATGTTCGTCGCTGAAACATCATTCTGTGTATCTAGTTGTCTCTGGAAGTAGGTTCGTCCGTCAAGGGTGGAGAGTATGCTATCCTCAATGTGGCTGAGTAATGGTGGAATTTTGTGGGGAAACAATCACGACATCAGTTAGGCTCTGCGGGGAAACCGAGTTCCCAACTGCAACTGCGACACTCGTCTTTCGGGAGCGTATTCTCTTTGGGCAAATCCAGACTATCTCATAGCCACACTGCCGTCGACGCGTATAAGCTTAATACTTGGCACCGGTCGGTTGATCCAGGTATATTGTGGCGCAGGGTGAAGTGATTAAAATGTCAGGGACATTCTCATCGGTTCCCCAAGTCGATTACTCTCGTCTGAAAGACCCTTCTACAAGAGATGACGAACTTACAAAGCTACGGGAGGCAATCTTTGTGGTCGGCTTCTTGTACCTGACCAATACTGGATTGGAGGTTGGTACTCCAGAACCTGCCATTTAGGAAACATGGACAGGAACTGACCGAGGCATAGGATCTGATACGCCGAACGCATGATGATATCCCGCGGCTGTTTGAATTGCCTGACGACGTCAAGGAACAGTGCAATATGATCCACTCTCCGTCTTTTCTGGGATATACCCGTCTTGGGGCTGAGACCACCGCAGCCAAGACTGATATTCGGGAAGTACGTAACCGGTTTACGCTTTAAGCGTTGCCCCTTTACCCTTATTTACCGAATATGGAGACTAAAACACCCAGCAATATGATTTTGGAACCCCTGGTATGAAGGATTGGACGGATCGGGATCCATTCTGGCAACGTCTTGAGGGCCCCAACCAGGTAAGTTCTCCCTGGGCTTAGTCTTAACTTCGGATAATTCTCGGCTGGTTCACTTGTTGACTAACAATATAGTATCCAAATTACCCTGGCGCGCAGGCGCTGGTCGATGAGTACATCGCCAAGATTGATGGGCTTGCCCAGGATTTTGTCCATCTCGTGGCAGAGAGTCTGGCCCTGCCTACCAACACTTTTGACGACTTTAAAGGCCAAATGAGCCGATTGAAGTTCGTCAAGTATCCCCAGTCGGCACCGAACTCGCAAGGTGTGGGTCCTCACAAGGACTCGGCTGGTCTTTTTACCTTTCTTTCCCAGGACAACACCGGCGGACTGCAAGTTTTGAATAAGAATGGAGAATGGATCGATGTTCCTCCCATCGAGGGTAGCTTGGTGATTAATATCCAGCAGGGATTTGAGGCCATTACCGGGGGAGTTTGTGCTGCCACCACCCATCGTGTCATTGTGAGACGGCTCTCAACTTGTGAACGAATCACTTGAAAAAGGGAAAGAGATGCTAATGACCTCCCCTTCTTAGGCACCTACTTCTCGTACTCGATACAGCATCCCATACTTCCTGGGAGTTCGCTTGGATTTGACTCTGAAGGAGCTCAAGGAATCCGCTGCTCACATTGTGCAACGCATTCCGGCATCCGACGACCGGAAGAAGCGAGCAGTTGACGTTCCTAGCGAATTCCTGTCTCCTCTCTACTCCTGCGTGAGTCAAGACACCGTTCTCTAAACCATACTTTCATTTGATTGGCTCACCATTGTATAGTTCGGCGAGGCGCACTTGCGAAATCGCATTCTCAGCCACCCAGACGTCGGTCGGCGTTGGTATCCCGAGCTGCATGCAAAGTATTCTCAGCAGATTTTGAAGTAAACTGAAACGCGACCAAGGGATTTACATATCGGGATAGACTGCGTGTCTCAGTTGCATAACTACCCAGGAACAGATTCTATTTAGCATTGATAGCTGAGGTTGTGTTTTGTGAATGTAGAGCTGTCGTATTGAGTTGCAGGATTCTCCGCAGAAATGGAATATATATATATAACTTGAGTTTTGTCCGGGGAATTATGTATTGAGTCGCTACGGCTGTGCAACTTCCTCTCTTTGTCGCCCGATCATCGCGGTGGAGTTCAAGACCCCGCCCATTTGGGGTAACCAGACGGAGTAACCAACCAGCGAACAAGCTGATAAGCTGGCGTGAAACCAAACAAACTAATCGCAGTCAGCATCCAAGACCCATTTCGTTCTCCTCTGGCCTTGAAATACGACGCCGAGGCAGCGGGGTTGTTCGGAATCTCTTCCCCGCCATTATTTCTACCAACATCGTTACAACATGACAGCAATCAGCTCTTCAACAATCGAAAATCTTCGCAGTCGCCTGGCGACCGCGAATGTCTTTACTCCAGACTCCGAAGGATACAACGAAAGTCTTATTCGATGGTCCGATACGGGCAGGAAGCAAGCAGTATGAATGAAGTGATCCTGCAACGTATGCAATGCACTAACATGAGCCAGGGAGTGGTAATTCAACCAGTGGATGTCGCAGATATTCAAGCTGCGCTACTTTGGGCCCAGGAACACTCCGTGGACATCGCCGTGAAGGGTGGTGGGCATTCGACTGCTGGAACAAGCTCGAGTGAGGGTGGTTTGGTTATTGACCTCTCACGGATGACGAATGTTTCCGTAGACGTCGTCAGCAAGACTCTTACAGCTCAAGGTGGTGCGACTTGGAAGGAGGTCGATGAGGCTGGAGCAGCTCACGGTCTGGCGACCGTTGGAGGGACTGTAAATCACACTGGCATCGGTGGACTGACCCTTGGCGGTGGTTACGGCTGGCTCAGTGGCCAATACGGCCTCACGATTGACAATCTTCGGTCGGCTCGAGTGGTACTGGCTGACGGCAGCTTGGTGACAGCCTCTGCGACTGAGAATCCTGATTTATTCTGGGGATTGCGTGGTGCAGGATACAACTTCGGAGTTGTCGTGGAGTTCACCTACCAGGCATACGACCAGAGTCCACTGGTATACTCGGGAGTCCTTGGGTTTTCTTCAGACAAGCTCGAAAAGATCATTGAGCAGCTCAACAACACTCTAGCAAATCCCGATTCCCGGTCGGGAGCAATGTGCATCTTCGCCCAAGCACCGGATGGGTCAGGCCCGATGATCATCGTGATCTGTTTCTACAATGGCACCCGTGAAGAGGGGCAGGTCCGCTTTTCCGGGTTCTTGGCTCTGGAGCCCCTCCTCAACACTGTGGATATGATCCCTTACTCGGTGGTGAACACACTGCAGAACCCCCAGGCCACGTATGGTGATCGCAAGTCCTTCAAGGGCATCTTCTACGAGCCCCCGCTGGATCCTGGCTTCATGCGAAGTGTATTTGAGGAGTTCATGGCCAAGCTTCAAAGTGATGTGGATCTGATGCCGTCCGCCATTATTCTTGAGTTTATTGATATGCGCAAGGTCTGCGAGACGCCTTTATCTGCCACTGCGTTTGCAAGTCGCAATATGACACAGAATGGTATTCTGTACCTGCGCTGGACCGACCCGGCAAAGGATTTGGAACATCGTACCTGGGCGCGTGGTGTCCAGGCTAAGTGGAAGGCTGAGTTGGTGGCAAGGAAGAGAGACTTGGAGAGTGCCAATGATGTACCTCAGTATATCAACTACGCTGAACGTAAGTTTTTCTGCTTTGCCTGAGAAGGACGATATTGAAACCATACTGACATCAAAATCAGCGGGCGACTCCGTCGTGACTAACATCTATGGTGAGAACTTGGCCCGTCTCCAATCGATCAAGGCAAAATATGATCCAAGAAACGTGTTCCACAAAATGCACCCCATTCCATTATCCATTGAAGGCGACTCAGAGAAATAAAGCCTTCGCTTTGCTCCAGGAAAGGCTAAATTCGCCATCTTTGCTTCTTTCTGATGTCAGTGCTACATACTGGAACATTCGTTAGTAGAGAGAAAAATGAATATATCTCCTTCTATCAACGATAGAGGTTTTCCTTCTCTAAACGATAGGGGTTTCAGTTTGCCTTCTTTGTTGCCCATGTTGGCAATCAATCTGAGCAATATTTAGTGCATCGAGAACTCGAATATCAAAACGAAATTGATTCACTAAATACAAAGCGCCACCAAGGCCAATCGTGCTTATCAAGGGATATTGTCTACAGGCGAGGAAGGATATGGTACTTGACTGCTTTGATGGTTGTCCAGCCTTCCAAGGCATCTTCACCCATGTCACGCCCGAATCCACTCTCCTTCACGCCACCGAATGGAACATTGGGACTGAGCATTGCCCATGCATTCACCGTTACTTGACCAGACTCTAGCTCTTTCGTTACGCGGTGGGCCCGGTTGATGTCGTTCGTGAACAGAGCTGCACTCAGACCATGATGTGAGTCGTTGGCTTTCGCAATGACTTCTTCCTCGGTGGAGAATTTGGCAATGCTCTAAATTTTCCATTCGCGTTAGTATGGCCTAGTAGACTGGAAAATTGAGGCGCCACTTACAGCAACGGGACCGAAGATCTCCTCGCGCATAATGGTCGCATCGTCTGCGACGTCTGCGAAAGCCGTGTTTTGAACAAAGTACCCCTTGTCGCCGATCCTGTCTCCTCCGAACAACAACCGGGCACCAGACTCCTTACCCTGCCTAATATAATCCAAAATCTTCTGGTGCTGGGCGCAGTTCACCACGGGGCCCTTGGTAGTCGCAGCATCCAGTGGATTGCCAGCGACAGTAGGGGCGTTCGCAGCAGCCTTCTGATATGCTTCGACAAAGCGATCGTAGATGGAATCCTGGACATAGATGCGCGAGCCAGCTGCACAAATCTGGCCATTATTCGCGGTGATACCAATGCGTGTCCAGAGGAGAGCGTTCTCCAGATCACAATCGTCAAAGACAATCGATGGGCCTTTGCCTCCCAGCTCCAAGCTAACCTTCTTCAAATTGGTCCGCGATGCAGCCTGCAGAATCTTGCGACCGGCAATCGCACTGCCGGTAAATGCGACCTTGCGAACCTCCATGTGTTCGGACAGAGCCTGGCCAGCGCTGGCTCCCTCGCCGGTCACGATATTCACAACACCGGCTGGGATACCCGCTTCCTTAACCAGCTGTGCCAACCGCTGAGCGTAAAGTGGTGACATCTCGGAGCTTTTGATGATTAGGGCATTACCGGTCGCTAGCGCTGGGGCCAGCTTCCAAATTGTGATCATTCTATCGGTGGGAAAAAGGTGGATGTTAGCATCAATGGTGTCAGATATACTGCCGGGAAAGAAAACGAATAGCTTACAGAGGCGCATTCCAAGGAACGATGGCAGCGCAGACACCTAGTGGCTCGCGGTGGGTATAAGCAATGCCACCATCCATGTCGAGAACTTTGCCGTCAATCTTGTCAGCCCAGCCAGCATAGTAGCGAAGGCAGCCAAGCGCCTGTGGGATGTTCATTCCCATGGAGTCCGTATAGAGGACTCCGGCATCCACGGCCTCCAGAGAAGCGAGATCCTTGGCATCCCGTTCAATCAATTCAGCCAGCTTCAGGAGAAGGCGACCTTTGGCAGGTCCAGGGACTGCTTTCCAGGCTTGTAGACCAGCCTTAGCCGACTCAACTGCCTTGTCAATATCTTCTTTTCCAGCCGCGGAGATGGTTCCGAGCTCTTCGCCAGTCGAAGGATTCTCCACGCGCAAGGTTTGGCCCGTTACGGATGGGACGAATTCATTGTGAATGAAAAGGCCGGAAGGAACTGTACGTAATTGAGATGTATTAGTATTGGGAAACCGGTCGCTCTTAATCCTAAAACAATATAGAGAAGTGAGGAAGATTACCTGTGACTTGGCGGCCCTCCACCCCGACGATAGTCAACGAAGAAGACATTGTGGAATGGAAGATGATGTTTCTGAAACAATTTGAAGCAAATCTTCTGACACCACTTGGTAAACGGTGTTAATAAAGTATTTAATCATTTTAGAGGGCTCCTCTGACTCCTTTTCGAAGAACTGATCTTCCGGGTATCGGAAACACTGCGGGGGAATCAGCGCGGCCCCGCGCGCAAATTCCGCGTTGCGTTCCGAGCTGGTGGAGCGAGTGCGATAATGAGGAAGTTGGATTGATTGGAATGCGAGAGAGATTCCGAGATTTGGTAAGTAAGAAAGTTAATAGTAAATAGTTAACTAGTTAGTGTCTGGATTTGCTAGGTAAGCGACGAGGGGTGAGTCTATTATTGCAGAGGTGCAAGGGTTCCCATAGGGCTACACTTCTTGCCAGACGGCCGCCACATGAACGAGTAGTAGGGATAGTCACATTCGCGGAAACTTGATAAAGTACAAACATGGTGGGCCAGGCAACGATAAAAAGACTCTGTGTAATCTAGATGCAAGTGATTATTCACATTTCCAAAGAATTTAAAAGTTCAACCGACCTCCTCCTCTTCCCAGGATAAATGCTGCCTGAATATTTAGGCTACATAGTATGGCCTGAGAAACTTGGCCAACAAACACTCCCTCGGCCGACTCTCGCCCAGTGTCCGTCCACTTTCACTCTAAAACTATTCCATCTTCAACTTCCCCAACTACTTCAAGGATCATGCCTTGGTTTTCCACATTCCCCAGGCTGCGGCCACAATGAACTTGATCCCAGCAACCAGCCAAAGGATGGGAGCGATGTCCCCCGTGGCCTTGGTGACCCAGCCCCCAACAATGGCACCTACCAGCGTTAGAATGAACGCTATTATACGACGGTCCCGCTTTTCGTTCCGCAAAAGAAACAGCTTCGGGTCCGACATCAGATCGCAGAGCAGACTGGTGATAACCACGGTCGGGATCTCGTTGAAGCCCAAAGCACGACTGGCCACGATCTGTCCTGCAGACTGAAGACTGAGAAGCACAATCGGCACTTCTTGGTCCCAGCGAGCGATGGATTCTGATAGATCGTCATCGAGAGCACTCGATACAACCCCTCCCTGAACGAGGGCGGCTGTGATGACGATGATGCAAGCTTGGATGAGAAAAGAGAGCATCAGAGAACCCCGACGCCGTGCCCCAATGATTCGATTGAGCCATGCAAAGAGGAAACATCCGATCACAAAACACCCGATCGAGGTCAGCGAGCGTGCCCATCCGAACGGACGTGGATTTTGATTTGAAGCTCCCAGTCCCACGAAAATGGTGTTCCCTACAGTGCGAGAAATCGTGGAATATCAGCATCCCTACACCATCTCAAGATAATTGAGTATGCTGGATTTTTGGTCAAGGTCGCATTCATACCAGTTTGCATAGACACAAAAGTGTTATAGGCTGGTCAAGTCAGTTCAGCTGCCTTCAACTTCCAATCCGAGACAAGAAGACGACGCTCGCACCCTTGTATATTGTACTGTCCACCAAACCTGAGCTCAAGCAGCAGGTAAACAATAACAGGTCGGCATGGCGAGCATCGACTTCACCACCCAAGAACCTGGATAATCCACGAAATGGTTTCTCAGCCTGTTCCATTGCAAGTGACACAGATCAGAAAAATACAAAGACACCGGGGCGAGTATGATGGGAGACAGCTTCCTCTTGTTCCCACGGAGCCAGAAACTCGCCGGAATATGTGAGAAGTCTGGGCGAGAGTTCCCCCCCCTCCCTGTCGGCCCGTCGATCTCATCCTTTTTTCGGGAACTCTTTTTTCTTCATCTCGGGGATGCGTGGTCTTCTTGGCTTGAGGGGCGAGGCGAAACAAAACCCCCACGAATGCTGGGATCCAAGACGAGCAAGCCTGGGCATGGGCATGAATGTCCGCTCGGAACGGCCGACCACCCTCTGTCACCATTTAGCCTTCGGGTAGATCATTCTTCGGCAGCAATCTGGGCATTGGGTGGAGTACTGGACCGGAGACTTTACCTTGCGCGCCGGTTGAATGTGGTGGTCCTGACGCGCCAAGAAGGACTCGGGGGAATTCGTTGGTGACGCCGAGCCGCTTGGCGTCGTGTCTGGTCTTGCCCCGAGATCCATCACACAGCGGAGGTTGTGTCACAACGACTTCTCATGTGTGGGAAAAAAAATATCTAGCTTTCAGCTTTTTTTTTGTTCCCGTTCTACTCCCTCTATCGGCCGTCATGTCTGAATGATGAGCGATAGCTTTATGGTCGTTGCACTTGAGTTATAAGAGCAACTTTGAACCGACGGATACACTCCCCCCCCCCGAAAATGGAGGATACCACGCTGTTACGCTCCCACGGCTGATGTGGCTGCTGATCTCCCGAAAGATGAACTGTGGAAAACGCTTGGCGAACTGGGGTTGAATGATTGAATCGCGGGCCAAGACTTATATCGCTCCCGAGCACTGCCCCATTCACCCCTGATAGGATTTTGCAGACGCAAGTGAAAATGCAACTCATGCGCAGCTGCATATGCATTCGCCGTCACTGGCGTCTTCAGACAGATTATCTTGCTTGTGTACTCCGTGTCAATTGCCTCTCTCCTGCCTCGCCCAGCCCATGCTACACATCTTGCCCTTTGTCCGATTGGACCGCAGTTCCGTTATCAGGACTAGAGCCTGGCGACTTCACCACCTTCTTCGACCCGTGCCGTAAATGGCTTGACCTTATCGGGAATGAAAATCATCCCCATATCTCCTCGGCGGTCTTCGCGCCTTCATTTCCTGGTGGAAACTATCTGGGTTATGATGTCGTCTATGCCTCATTTCTAAGCCAGTACGACCCAAGAATGAGCAAATGATCAATTTCTGGCTTGGCGCATGATGGGATGTTGCATCCTCAAGAGACCTAAGCCTCTTTTTTCCGTGATCAATGCCGGAGAAACGAATTTGGGGTTATTCTGCGCCGTTGAATTCACTCGATAATCGGGTTATGTTACTCCGGATAGGATACTATTGAACTATAAGTAGCGAGGTCAGAAATTTGAATTCAAACCAGATCATACTTCACATTACAATCACACAAGCTCTTTCTGTCTTTTCCCGTCGTTGTGCTACCGTCGGCATCATGACAATCACTATCACCGTTGAGAAGGACGGCTTCTATGAAGTCAATGGAATGCGCCATGAGCCTAGTGTCTCCCTCTATGTCATTCCTGCTGCATCTAAGCTGCGTCGAATGTTGAAGGACTCCAAGGACCTCATCGTCTGCCCAGGAGTGTATGATGGTCTGTCTGCTCGAATTGCCATGGAGCTAGGCTTCAAGGGCATGTACATGGTATGCCATATGTTCTGGCTGCCCCTTACTTGGGCCTTGGGCCATAACTGATGTCGACAGACTGGTGCCGGCACAACTGCTTCACGCCTTGGGATGGCAGATCTGGGTCTAGCTCAGCTTCATGACATGAGAACCAATGCGGAGATGATTGCCAACCTTGATCCCTTTGGTCCTCCTCTTATTGCAGACATGGATACCGGTTATGGAGGTACGTCTAGAAGAACTTACTTGGATAATACAACCAATCCTGGACGTGGAGCTGACGCACTCAATTGCAGGGCCTCTGATGGTGTCCAAGTCCGTGCAGCAGTACATTCAGGCTGGCGTTGCTGGATTCCATATCGAAGACCAAATCCAGAATAAACGATGTGGCCACCTTGCTGGAAAAAAGGTGGTGGGTCGAGAAGAGTACCTGACGCGTATCCGTGCGGCCAAGCTGACCAAGGATCGCCTGCACTCGGATATTGTCCTCATCGCACGGACTGATGCCCTCCAGCAACATGGCTACGAGGAATGTATCGCCCGCTTGAAAGCCGCGCGAGACATTGGGGCCGATGTAGGCCTTTTGGAAGGGTTTACCTCGAAGGAACAGGCACGCCAGGCAGTTCAGGATCTTGCCCCCTGGCCTCTTCTCCTCAATATGGTAGAAAACGGTGCCACTCCAGTGATCACCACCAAGGAGGCGGAGGAGATGGGATTCCGAATCATGATCTTCTCATTCGCTTCTCTTGCCCCGGCTTATATGGGCATTCGGTCAGCTTTGGAGCGCCTGAAGACTGATGGCCTGGTCGGAACACCCGACGGGCTTGGTCCTCGTAAATTGTTTGAGATATGTGGACTTATGGACTCTATGAAGGTGGACACAGAGGCAGGAGGTGATGGCTTTGTGGACGGTGTCTAAGGAGAGAGAGATGAGCAAATGTTGATTGAATTCCTGTTCTGCCTCTTGTTTCGTAGCTAAATAGAACCAAATCCTCAATAAAGCTATTTTGGCCCTTTGAAACCACAACTAACTCATACTTAAAGTGAACGACTGTAAAGATCTGCCGAGAATTCAGTTTCAGTGAGAGTCGCAGGATCCAGCTCGATCAGGTGCACGACTTCCTTCTCCACAATGATCCAATTATCAGAGCTTCCCTTGCAGAGCATCGGCCATATGCTTTGTGAGACTGTCGCTTCCGTAGAACATACTCCGGTAAAACTCCGCATTCTCTCTTCAGAGAAAGGTGTTCCCGGGCAGCTCCCGTGGAAAAAGTATATGGATGCTTGACGATCAAGTGTCATCTTGAACCTCACACATTCCAGTAGCAGGTCTTTCAATTCATGCTTCCTATCCATGGTATCTGTGAGAGTATACCAGCCGAAGACATCGTCTATGTTTTGTGTAATCTGATCACAAATACCGCCAATTTCTTCCCTCGCGAGAGATGCCACTGCACGACTGGTGGAAGAACGCCAGTGTTGCCAAACATGCAGTGGGACTAGTATCGTTAGCACAAGCTTCCTTATCGGGCTAGGTACGCTAACTTACAAGATCTTGATACTTTGGTGTCAATTTCAAGGAAAATTGCGTCACAGGACCTGTCTGGGAGGCCAACCATAAAACGGGAAAATATTCCACGCAAGACTTCCTCGGAGATGGCTGCTTGAATAACCTGAATAGTAAGAGGAGAATTGCGGTAGCTAAGCAGGGCCCCATCAATATGAGCATTTCTCATAAATTGTGTCACATGGAATACTTCGTTGAAATGCCGTTTGGTCCAGTCCTCCAATCTCTGGAAAAGCTTGCGCATAACTTCAACGACCTCACCATCGTCAATACTTTCAGTCCATTTTTGAAGTTCAGTAAGCTTGGATAATGTCTGAGACTGCTCTTTTAGTGCCGTCTCTGTATTCTTGCGTGACTCGCGGAGTAGCTCATTTTGTCGTCGAAGCCTCTCCTCTGCGATTAATTGCACCCTCCGCGCCGCTTTTGTAGTCTCCCCGGCAATTTCCAACCTTTGCATTAGGCTTTCATTCTCCCGATGAAGATTCTCCATCTCTTTAACCGGATCAGGCTGAGGTTCAACATCTGATTAATTAATTTAGCTTGTGCTTAAATCTTGAAAACATGCGCTTGCTTACCTTCGAAAGAATCCCCACGCGAGGGCTCTGCCGCTGTGTCAGGAATATCAGGTACATCATAGCTTTCGGTTGAAGCGCCCCCGCCCTGCAGCACCCCAAATAATCCCATTCTGCCCGTTCAGCAGTTGAATGACATGGGAGGTATCATTTCATAAAAGGAGGAAATAAAAAATGGTCGTAGTGACCTTTTTGGACCGGCATCTCGGTTCTTAAAACGGAGCGAAACTATCGTCATCACAAGACCTTTTCGGCCGCGGGAAGGCATCTATTACGCGCAATTAGGTGAACAGGGGCGAAATATTTTATAGTTGGGCCCCATACTTTAAGTCTCGCTCAAATATTTCTTAAGGACTTTCACAAGACTCTTTTCACCTCAGGAAATCAGTGTAAACTGTCCCATCTGAAGTTTCTCATATACGCAAACATGGGGTACGAAGGGATGCCGAGAGTCGTGATCGGCATAGATTTTGGAACAACCTTTAGCGGGTATGGTAACATTCTTTTTAGAAATCGACTTTTTCCTATATTGAAAGCTTACAATCGCAGTGTGGCCTGGGCCCTCGAAAACCGTCTCGATGACGTGGAAGTCATCCAGATGTGGCCAGGGGGTGATCCAGATGTGGCCAGGGGGTGGTAACAGTAAATTTGCCCCCAGAACGGCTTAAAAAAGGAGTCTCAACTGACTATAACTACTAGATACGTCGCAGAAAGTGCCCACTGTATTTGATTATTGCAAAGGGAAGATCCGATGGGGCTACCAAGTTGATGACACCTCGAAATCCATCAAGGGGATCAAGCTCCTACTGGATGAAAGCCAAATTTACCGCTATGGTCCTTCAAAGGAAGCTTCCAACCTTCTGCAGACCATGAAAAAGTCCCCGATCAGTGCGTCCGGTGAATATATCGGCAATGCTGGTAGCTCACGCAAAAAATACCCTGAAGTTTCGATTCGGCAGTGCGCTGCAAACAATAAACATTCAGTTCATCCTGACGGTTCCAGCCGTATGGTCAGATAAGGCGAAAGATGCTACAATGCAGGCAGCATGCCTGGCAGGCATCCCCAATCAGGACTTGTTCCTAGTTTCAGAGCCTGAGGCAGCGGCGGTATATGCAATTCAGAGTATCCAGCCTAACACAATTTCTGTACGTTTCTACCTACGAATGGTGTTAAAGCAATTCTAATACTTTTCATCATTAGGAGGGTGATTGTGTCATTGTTTGTGACGCTGGTGGAGGGACTGTGGTATGGCCCGGAGTCTTCCTTTTCTTAAAGCAATGCTGATAAGGGACGTGCGACCTCTAGAACCTGATCACGTACCGCGTCAATAAAACAGAGCCATTGAGACTGTCCGAGATAACCGAGGGAACCGGTAGAGTTGAAGCTAGTTGAAAAGAATTGCCATTTCGTTCTACTGACTCATCTTCCTAGGGGCGATTTGTGGCTCGGTGGTTTTGGACGAACGATTTGAGGAATTCCTTACCATCAGGATTGGGAAAGAGAGATACAATCAGCTGCCTCGCACATCAAAAGCCTTTGCACTAAAGTATTGGCAAGATTATGTCAAACCTAATTATCAAGGACCCCTAGACACCGACGACTTTGCGGATGTGGGCTACTGCATTCCGATTCCAGGTATTCCGGATATTCCAAACGTCAATGTAGCAAACGGAGTTCTCTACATGGATAGGTAGGAGGCAAGTCAGATATTGAAGACATATCGCTGATAATGGTAACAGCAACGATGTGGAGTCCATTTTCCGCCCCGTTTTGCGACATATCGAGGAATTGGTTACAGACCAGCGTCTCAAGGCGAAGCAGACGGGGAATTCTACGAAGGTATGCAGCCCAAGCTCTAGCGTTACTCAATCGCTGATTCTTACTGAAAACTATCAGGCAATTGTTCTTGTTGGAGGCCTGGGTGCATCTGAGTATCTTTGCAAGCGATTGCAAAAGGCATCACAGGGTGTTCAAGTTATGCAGCCACAGAACGCGTGAGTGTATACTAGCCTACGAATGTTTCCATAAAACAACTAACGAAAGCAATTTCTTGAACAGGTGGTCTGCAGTGGTACGGTAAGGCCTAACCTATCTCGGCTATATTAAGCAATAGTCACTAATAAAGGCAGTGGAGCTGTTCATCGAGGCCTGGAGGGTAACCAGGTAGACAATAGAAAGGCCAGATGTCATTACGGTACAAAATGTCGCCGCCCGTACAGCCCAAAATTTCACAGTCAAGAAAAGGCCGTCTGGTGTAAGCTGGAGGAATCTTGGAAGGTCGAAAATCAAATGAGTTGGTATATTCACCAAGTGTGCCACTCTCAAGTCCGTGACTTCGACAAAAAAGATAATATCTGACGTTAGTGACACTGTGACACAGGGAGATTCAATTGCAGAGGAACAGCCCATAAAATTGACTTTTATCGAGTTGTTGACAATTTCCATAACCTCAAATTTACGGACACGCTGAGCTTTTGCCTAGCAGAAGAGGCTCCAGAAGCCTCGAACGCGAGTAAGTGTTAAATGACAATTAAAACACTGTTTCATGATACTGACATCCGATGATCCAGCTGTTTCTAATTTATGTGAGCTGGAGACCGATCTCAGTAGGGTGCCGAAGGAATTGTTTGAGAAGCGTCAGAACTCGAATGGGAAAGTGTAGAACAAAATCAACTACCACTTAGTTCTGACTCCCATGTCCGCATCGTTGCTCTTCGATCTGGAATTCAACGGAATATCTTATGGAACTGTCAGATCAAGATACTAGATATTTCCGTGACCAATCTTCTAGCCCATATTGCTCGCAGTGAGTGACTGTTATACTGAAACACTTTTCAAGTCTTTGTCTCTCCTACAATGATGGCCACCTGATAGGAATTGGAAAGGATATCGAAGTTGCTGTCTTAGCTGTCTTAGCTGAGGAATAAATAGCAATATAGCTATCAATAGCTAGAATATTTCTGGCTGTTACATCTCCGGCTGTAGCTTCTGGATTTTGAGATTATAAAACACATCATAGAGGTAAGCAAAGCAAAGTCGGGCCCTCTTGTCATGGTACCGCAACGAGTCTATTTATAAGAAAGTAGATGACAACTAGATATTGTAAAACGACTCAGTATCTCAGTATAATAGTACGTTTTCAAGTCCCGTTCCTTTGATAACTGCCAGTGGTGCCACAAACGCCATCTGGCTCCATGAGAACACACGATTCTTCCCACCGTACACAAACACCTCAAATCGCCCCACAAATTGATCATTCACCCACACTCGACTCCCAGTCAATGTGTCAGACATGATGGTGATCCCGCATTTTTTGGGTACATGGACAACTTCATGCGTTGAGCTGGTAGCGTTGACCCAAATCCTTCCAATGGCAGCTGGATCAAACCCATCCTCCTCGGCAACAGAGCGAAGCGGATACGGCCAGCCATCGGTAGTAAAGGTCAATTGGCCACTCTCAGACAGGGAGAGAACTGTGTCGTTCGATTCAAGCGAGAACGGACCCACAACACTAAGCTCCAAAGTATAGTTCATCCCTTTGCTGCCATATCCCAGAGGAAATTGGTCCTGTGGGTGATCTGAGTGCGGCTTGGACCAGGAGATTAAAGGACCCGTTGACTCTTTCTTCTTTGAGATTTGTCGGTCAAGGTTCTCCCCTACCACGTTGGAAGTCAGGATCTCGATTGTGTCTTCGAGGCCTACTTCATCTAGTAGTGGTCCTCGGCTGCCAGTCCAGGTGCGAGACGCAACGACGGGAATCCCATTGCGAATCGCGTAGTATGCCTCCAACTGAGTAGTCGCATCCGGTCCATTGTCATTCCACGCAGCAAGGATTGCTCCACGCACCGCCTTCTGCTCTGGTTGTTCTGTGATATTGACCGGGTTGAACAGTTGTGGAGTCCACTGCCACCCCTCTTTGTCGGCGAAATTCAACACTCGAGCATTATTGAAGAACTGTGGATAAGGAGCTGGGGTAATAGGAACGTGATTGTTCTTCAGAGACATGTAGGCCCACCAATCCTCGGAATTGATGATTTGATAGCCGTCCTGGGCGAGTACCACTGGATCTGATTGCCCATACTGCCAATGCTGGATGGTGATGTTTTTGTCGACCGACTGGGTATCTGATGGCTCGTAAGTCCCCCAGATGCGAATCCCCTTCCCAGAAGTTTGGCGGATGAACTGAGATAATTCATTCACAAATGTGATGTAGTCGTTGGCCAAGGTCGAATCATACTCATCAGCCCCGATGTGCACCTCCTTCGTGTGGAACCAAGGCAGGAACTCCGACCATATAGATTTCACAAGGGGCACTGTATCTGGATGAGAAAGATTCAGAAGATCGCGTGACTCTAAGGCCAGATCTGGCCTCCATTTAGTGATGGAAAGACAATGACCAGGGCTTTCAATCTCCGGGATCACCGTCACTCCCCGAGCAGCACAGTGGCTTTGAAAGTCATCGAACTCGGCACGCGACAAAGTTTCATTCTCTCTTTGTACAAGAGGGAGAAGACTAGGATTTTCCGGTCGCAGCGCAAATTGCGAATAGACTTCATTCCATGAGACATTTGGACCCCGACTGAGAGGATAGTTGTCGGTCGCATGATAGTGGAATTCGGAGAGCTTGAAAAAAGAGGCGTAGGTGCAGAGCTCCTTGAGATAGTCCAACGAGTACCATTTGCGCCCTGCATCCAGCATGAATCCTCGCGTCGCATAGGCTGGGGCGTCCTTTACGTGGCCCACTGGAATAGAGGCATGAGGGTTTAACGCGACTTCTTGTAGCAATGTTCGTGTTCCCCACCACATTCCTCGCGCGCCCGATCCCTGGATCGACACGCGGTTGTTTTCGACGATCAATTCATAGCCTTCCTCGGTCGTTGTGCCATCTTCATACGTGAAATGAGCAGGAGTCTTCGTACGACTAAGAAAAACCCCCGATGTATGCTTTGGAGGCTGCTTGACCGTTCGGATTTGCCACGAAGAGTTGGTGATCTCCTCAAGATCCTCAGAAAGGGTGCGGGCAAAGTCCAACGCCGACGGTGGAATCAAAGTAAGGCCATCCTGATCCCGCCACTGAGCAAAATCATCCTGGAGATAGATGATATGGTCGATTCTTTTAAGAGAAAATCCGTGGGTGGTGCCTGAATATGAGTCCTGGTGACCCCATTCAACTGGAGGCAAAGTCTGCAGGGCCGAAGCGACCGTAGCGAGAGCAAGTACAGATAACTTCATGACAGATGTGAGAGTCGGCAAACTGCTCATCGGAAGTATTTCAATATTTACATATCGGCAATGCCCAGAGATACGCACGGTTCTTGGATGGCAGCGTTACATTCTTCGCGGTGGACGGGTATCTACATACGACGGTGCCAAGTGGAGTGGAAACGTGGGATGCCATGCGGGGGGATGGGCGTGGGGAACAAATCAAAACAAAAGAGTTCGGCTTCATACAATGAAGATTCTCCCCAATAACTGCCTATCTAGGCCTGGACATGCCTTGGGTTTCTTTATGGAGTCGCACTGTCCCAATTTCAATTCGAGCTTGACGTGTTTGGTTAAAGATGCGCCGACCCATTCGTCTTCCTGGAGGGAACATGGAACCAGGCCTGTTCAAACCCCACATGTCGAGGCCAGCGTGCAGTCACTCGTTGAATCTCGGTGGACATCCAGCTCGCATGTTTGTATTCGGCGCAAATCATCTCCCTCTCCTGCTCTACGGACTCTTGGTTGAATTGTTCGGCGGAGTCAATAACTACAGGGTTGAGCGTTAGAGATTGGTGCTGAATGTGTGAATCTGAGATGGCTTACCCATATGCGCAATCTTGAGAAACTCCTCATCGCTCTTGATCATAAAATCTGCTTTATGGGCATACTGCTTGCTTACTTGAGCGGTTGTGGCGACCCCTCGGATCAGTTTAACCAAATGACCATCATCTTCATACTCGCAGGCTCGCCGGAAAACCTCACCCCATCCAGATGGAATATGTGGCTGGTAAGAAGCTAATTCTTCAGGTCTCGGACACGGGGCTCCAGTCTGGCAGTATAGAATCAGATCAGCGCGGCCTTTCCATTCCAAAAGCCGGCATTTCGACTCGGTAGAGATCCACGGGGTGCTGTTGATCACCGGCCAAAGCGACCCAGCTGTAATCGAATGCATGAGGAAAAAGTCAACCCGAATCTGCTTCTCGGGTCGCTGTGCGAGAGATGTCCAGTAAACTGTTTATAATATCAGATATGGGCATAACGTCTGATGTATACTTGAAGAAGACTCATACCAGTTGAGTTGAGAGATTCAGCAGTCTTTTCCTGCAAGTCTTCAGGCGTCACCTTCCAGCTACCGACAACTTTTATGAATTCGTCTTTTGCATGTGCGAGCAGTCCATCCCGGATCTGAAAAACGCTATGTTCATACTTCATTGCATCTCGAAGTTTACTGTTGGAGTAGATTTCCCGCTGCAGATTGATGAGGCTGTCGTTACCATCTGATTTTCGCGCTGCAGCCTCGATATCGGTCAAGACTTCGCCAAAAAAGCAATCATGGACCGCTGTCAGAGCCAATGCTTCGGCCATGATAAGCGGTTGATCAAATTCGATAGCATATCCTAGGTGGATTGGCGAGTGGAGAAATCCTAGAAGATGAACTTAATACTCACATACAGTCAAGGATGCCGTTTCTTGTTGTGTGCTCACGAACCACTGAAAAACCGGCGCAGCATGTCTTCCGCTGTTTCATCACCGCTGAAAAGATACTTGTTGACAGTATTGGGTACCCCATTTTCACCAATTTCATTTTGGAAAAAGGCGAAATAGTCGTCGTAGTATTCCCCTTGTCCAAGGCACTGCTTGAACCTTTCCGGATCTTGAAAGTCTAACACTCGCTGAATATCTGGTCGTCGGGTTGGGCGTTGCGAATCCAGTGCAAGCTTATATGCCTTATCGAGCTGTGCATTCGTTCCTCCTAACGCATAGATAGCCAGTATATGATGGAGGATATGATCTGACAGCATCACAATCAGCAAATGATACCATCAAAGAAAAACCTTTATCTTACTGTGGAGGCCTAGATCGTGAATATAGATGTGATAGTTGTCATGGTTACTTTGAAGAATCTCGGAAGCCTTTGCAGCCGTTTCAGCTGGCAACGCTTCGACGTTGAACGTTCCTGTCACCGTGACTTTCGTCGGAATTTTGATCTCTCGGTGAGTACCCATCGTGGCGTGTCAATATTTCTATGTAGTCTCCAGTGTGAGGGAGGAGTAAGATTCGATATAAACCTCCATATCGATTACGCTGATCTTATCCTATCTCACCTCGAGAGGGGGGCGGGGTTCGCGGCATTAGTTGCAAGTGGGTTTTGCCGACACGAACGGCAGAGAAATAAGCGAGAAGCCTAGGGATCCAATACGCCCCGCATTATTATTCAAAAGGAGTATATACACAAATTGATGACATGTCATACAAAGCACTGTTTTAGTACGTGGGGCGTGGGATATGAGGAGGCTATACCCGGCCTGGAAGGTGGAGTATACTTAGAGGTCGGGTATAATTGCCTTCATATCTCCTTCTTCCATTCAAGGTTTCTGCGTCTGCCAATCAGATTGGGTTGTGGCTCGCCAGTCCAGTCAAGCATTCAGCCAGTGTATTAGTGCTAGAGGCCAGCCATAAAATTCAGGAGAAGAACATGTGCTGCTATTAAAATTTGGGAGCATAATCTAATTTTTCTGGCCAGCTATGTACCTTCAAATAATCGAAAATTCTACTTACGAGGCCGTGGTCGCTTGATTAGTCGTTGCTTCTTGTACATGTGAAGGAAGAACGAATGTGTTCGAGAGTCCTGCCCAGTGTAATGCATCCAGCCGTGCAAGACCCAGCTTGATGAGCGCAAAACTCTGACTTTGGCATCTCAGAACCTGCAGCCATGAGTCTACTAGCTGTTTACCGCGAGTTGCATGGGCTATATTTGGAGCTTGCACCAAAAGTAGCATGAGGAAGTTTGAAACAGTTGCGAATCCGATGCGTGACCCTTGAATGGTAAGCTATTGAGTCTATAACCTTTCATCGTGGGTTGTAATTACTTACATGAATACCAAAATCCCGTAAAGTCGCTGGGAGTCAATCGCCGGGTAAAATTGACTAGAATGGTGGCGCATTTTTCAGCTCCATGCAGAACGATTTCACCGGTTCCACACTCGTCTGAAATTGATATTTCAGGTAAAGACTCAATTCCAGTCATATCTGGTAGGTCTAGAGCGGGATCATCAACAGGCAGCGGAGAGTTTATCGGCATTTCCTCGAGATCAAATATCATGGGTGGGCTTGAGGACCGCGCCATGGGTCGAAGCATCGCCCGGTAGACATAGACGACGAGTAAAAGGTAGGCAAAGTGTATTGACGTTGGATAGGGCGCTAGTCCTTGGACAGACTTGCTCCAGTTTGGGAGACGGAAATTGTCCGGCAGAGAAGAATACCACGAGTTGAGCTGCTCCAGCAGACCCTGGCCAAGCTCGGCCGAGGAGTCGAAGTCTGCATTGAGAATTTGGGATGCTCTGAGTGTACTGAAGTTGGGCATTAGCAGGGGGCCTAAGGCAAAGTCGGGTTGTGAGAACTTACTAGAATGTTTCTTGGATTTCTTGCGCAATCCGAGCTAGGTTCACAAGATACCGGAAGGGAATCTCGGTGTCACACGAACATGTTGAGAAACCCTGACGGGGGCCAATAAGAAAATCGCCTTCATCCAGCTCACTGACATCCCATTCAGCCGAGTGGATATACGGTGGCCGGCCCATCAGTAAGCTGCGCCATTTATCTTCGGCATACACTGCCCACCACAGACGCCGCCGAAGACGCTTCTCCCATGCCGGTATTCCCCACATGCGACATTCTATGTGAACACCGAGCGAGCATGTTAGGCCGACAATTTGGCCCACAAAAGACCATGTGAATGGGGTGTCGGCGGTCGTGTAACGGGTCTCGTCTATCGGTTGCTGGTGGAGATATAGCAGCGCCGCCTGGAGAACTGCCAGCCGAGGGCTGTGTATTTCTTCGGTCACTAGCTCATAGACCATACGCCAAAGTCTTTGCACCGGTGAGTTATGGTATGTGCTCAGAACACATAGATAGTTGTCATGGCCGACAAATGGAAACGCTGATGCATAAACAGCGGCCAACAGATGGACGGGTACCTTTGCTAATGCAGGCAACTCAGGAAGCTGGTATGACGTGGTGGTCAACCCTAGCTGGGAACGCGATATAACGGGCAAAGCAGGAAACACGTACTTGACAAATCTTGACCGTGGCAAAGTTAGTTGGTAAGTCAGACTGAACATGGGCCGGATTCCACTTACAATGCGACAAGTCTTCTACCATATTCCGGCGGCACTAGGCAGTCTAGATGCTCTCGAGTAACTTCCCCGACGCCTGCTCTCGTTTCCTGCTTGATCGTCGTCGAAAGTTCCTCGGACGATACCATGAAATGAACCGGTATACGTTGCGCAGTGGGCACTCCTCCAGCATTGCGATAATGGACCTTGTAAAAATATTTCATGCCCGCATCATCGAATCGGCAGTGTCTCAGAAGCCAGGGGTCTGATTCAGACGACGCCCCGAACAACTGGGCATAGCCGTGCTCTAGTCGATCAATGCTCTGGACGAACTGCGTGGCTGGCCGAGCGGCCACCAGCATTCCAGAGCCCGGCGACGGCTCACCAACTTGGCCGAAACCCAGTGATGAATACGCGGGTTCAACACTACCAGGTGGGCTTCCGGCACTGGAAAAACCATGACCGAAGATACTCTCTTCAGGCTGTGATGTGACCGGGACTTCGTCAACGCTTGGAACGGCGAATGAAAGTGATTCCGAGAGACGCGCTCGTTTCGGCGGTGGGTTATCGAATGTACAATCGAGCTTAGCGGCTCGGCATCGCTGGCAAGGGATGCCATTGTCAGTCTGGCAACCTAGTTTTCGCGCTCGGCATTGATCGCATGGCCGATGACGCTTTGATCGATATGGTCGAGCGGATGAAGGCGAAGACATTCTGGCACTATGCGGCTCTCTTCAGAACATCGGCGAAAGATAAGACAATGCCCGGCAGAAGCACATTTTAACATGAGCGACGAAGTGGAGATTAGTGTATTGGGCGCGTCGGCGAAGTAGGCGTATACCCAAACCTGTCGCGACGGCCGAGAGCGATGAAGAGTGGGCGCGGCGAAGGCCGAAGCCGTCCATTCCGATTAGGACAGATGAATTATCAATTTAAAGGGGTAACTAGCAATCTCACTAATTACCGTCATGACGTCATTGAACCCTGATTCTCATCGACTTGAAGAGGCTATCGTGTCTCAGCGACAAAGCCGGCCACCTACGACCCACTGTCGGCCATCACCTCGGCGAACTCGACCATCATCATACTTTGAGAACTGGATGAAGGTACATACGAGATGAAATTTTCATGCCCAAAGGGAGTTTTCTGGTTGATGACCTACCACAGATTGGTCTGTTTTGACCTTATCCAGAGATGTGTTGAACTCGGGGTCGGGCAGGAAATGGATATATATTTGTGGGAATACCGCCTTTGTAAACAGGAATGGGGTCCAACAACCTTGTGCCAGATCACAAATTGCATACTATTAGGTTGAAATATTGTCTGAACAAGAGCATCACATAGTTACGGGGTTATTTAAAGCATTCAAAACCACCAAGTTACTCTCAAAATGCCTTCGCGATGCGATGAACCTGCGAAAAGATGGTCCATAAGGGCCCTATTCTCACGAAGTGCCCAAGGAAAAACAATTGCAGAGGACGATCGCTCCGAAATCACCTTGGTTCAACAGTATGTCCTCGAAACTCTCAGTGAAAGAAAAATAAATAACGATTGGAAGTTCAATACTGATATATTTGCCTTGACAGGAAGGAGCCGAGTCCGAGTACCACCAGAAATGCAGGATCAAGAAACTTTAATGGTATGTTCTCAACCACAGAATCTCCTATTAGTACGACCTCTGACAATTTGTCCGATAATTTGTAGCAGCGGATATGTGCTTTGGGTCCTGTTGTAGGAAGGGGTGAGTCGATGCTATTTCACTTAGCTTGTGACAGCCCGATCGGGGCATCTGTAACAAGAATGGACGATGTTGTATGATATTTTATCATAATATAGCTATGATCTGTGTAATGAAGAAACTATTAAGCGATTTACAAATATGAGCCAAGTACGCTGAGTGTTTAATGTTGTTGTCTTACAGTATGCTATGGAGGACGGCTCTGTTCAGCCGCACCCCAGATACCATAAATTAGAGACTTTTGGTAATTAAAGATGCTAGTCAACCAATTAATCTGACAGCTTCACCTCTAAATGGCTATATTCCATTCTCACCTACCCGTGGCTTTGACCACCCTCCCCCTTTGCGGGTGAGGGTGGTCCAACTTCTAGCGTAAAAAACTTTCCAATGCAAAAATCTCCTTAGTCGAATAAATATTTACTACTATTATTAACCACCACTATATAAAATTAGAAAATTAATAATATAGATAGAGTCTTAAGGATATATATAATTAACAAATCTAATAAATTATATAGATTATCTTTATTAATAGGTAATTTTCTATATTCTTAGAATCTACTTTTTAGTAGAAGAGAAGAAGATACGGACTATTTTCTACTATAATTCCGTAATTCTATTAACTAATATATTATAAAGATTAATAACAAGGAGTTTAATACCTGGAATCTTATATTCATATATAATTAATACTATACATAAGATAGTTCGTAGATTAATAGAAGTATAAGAGTAAATTCGAGGGTTTCTATACGGTCGGCATCGAGAAAAAATAGGTATATAAAAGTAGTAAAAACGAGATAAAACTTAGATTTATATAGCCTTCTATAATTATAGCCCTTAAATTAATTTATAGACCGGCTTTAATACCCCTTATAATCTAGAAATATATCTATTTTTAATAAATTTCGATATATATAGCTTATAAATACTAAAAGATCTTTAGGTAATAGATAGAATCTCTACTATAGTAGCTACTACTATATAGAATTTAGATATACTACATAACTTAAATCCTAGGATTATTAGTATCTATATATTATATAAGATCTAATTTCTTAATTAATATAATTACTATCTAATTTATTAAGGTAGTGGTTAATAGTAGGGGTAGATAGCTTTTCGATGGAGGAGATTTTTGCATTAGAAAGTTTTTTACGTTGGAAGTTAGACCACCCTCACCCGTAAAGGGGGAGGGTGGTCAAAGCCACGGGTAGAGAAAACTTCGATCGATGTACATCCCTATAAGATCACGTGACATGAAAGGGGGTGGACTAAAGACGGGGCTTCTTATCTTTTTATGCATGCTCATCTCATTTCCCATTATTTTGCAATGGGCAGAGCCAATCTCACCTCGTTCTTCAATCGATGCTGATTCGTTCTATCATCCCTGCGGTTATGATTACACCGGGGGCCGAGATGGTCTTGTGATAAGAGCGTGGCTGGGGGCCGGCGTTTCGCCAGGAGATGTTAACCAGTGAAACTAGGGAGATGTTGCCCTGGGAAGAAGAAACCCAACGAGGCGCTCTGTGCGGAGTAGTTTCTCTCCACTCCCCCGCTTTCTTTGTTGTGATCTCGGTCACCACTACTAACCTGATCCCTGGTTTATGGAACAGTAGTTCCTAGATGTATCTCACAGCCGTACGGAGTATAGTCCCAACATTAACTCCTACGGTATCTTATGAGCACAAATTGTGTCTTCGTCTGCTATTTCACCTGCATAAATCTCGCTTCGAACCCTCGGCCCTTTTCTCCTTCAGCCGTACCGGTCTGACACGCGGGCCTGTAAAACGGTCGATCGAGTCGAGCTCCAGCCGAGTTCCGAGCTCCGGGAAAAGGAGGGGCTGTGTGGCTCGTTGAACTCTCTTGGAGTATGATGCATATACGGCAGCAGCGAGGAACCTTGACGAGCGTGCACATAGGACGCCTTTGATTTAAGTTGTCAGCAACTGAAACCGTTAATAAGAAAAAAAAAACCTAGCTCAGCTTGGATCGTCATCCTTCGATAATTGTTCCCCATCACCTTCCGACCATGATTTTCGAACCAGCAGAGAGGACTCTGCTCCCTACAAAGGATCTGTTGTCTTACATTTTCGATGATCCACCCTACGATCTGGATAAACCGGTAGGAATCATCTCACGACGCTAGATCCAATTTTAGAGGCACCTTGGCTGATTGCATTGATCCTACCTAGATCTATATCGATGTTCGAGATCCAACGCGCTCGATTTCGTGCAACCAAGCCCGCAAATTAATTCGGCGACTCGTTGCTGGCCTGAGAGCGTCTGGCGTTCGCCCAGGGGATTGTGTTCTTATTCACTCGTTCAACGATGTACGTGTGCCTTACCGGAGGGCTAATCTATGGCATTGGCTGATTGCAATGAAAATGTCAAGATAAACTACAGTATACTTGTGCTCGCTATCATTGGCGCCGGCGGAGTCTTCACGGGCTCTAATCCAGCATATACCCCCACAGAGCTTGCCCACCATATCAAAGCCTCCGAAGCAAGATTTTTAATCTCCGAACCCGAGATCCTGAAGTCCCTTCTGGGCGCAGCTCAACAAACTGGTGTGCCGCAGCAGAATGTGTGGATCTTCAATAACCTAGGCCAGTCGGTTCCGACCGGGCATAAATCATGGACGGAGCTACTCAATTTTGGCGAGGCTGATTGGGTGAGGTTCAATGATCTGGAAACTGCTCGCACAACGACTGCTGCGAGACTTTTCAGTAGTGGAACTACTGGTCTTCCCAAGGCAGTCATGATCACCCACTACAACCTTATCGCGCAGCATGAATTGGTCCTGGGAGCCGATCCACGGCCTTATCCGGTCAGTCAACATATCTACTATATTTGACTTGGCGCCTGATATACTCTCTTCCCCCATGCCATTGTCTCCAGTGGTTGAATCAATCTTCTGACCCTTTCATCCCATAGATATCCCGCATCATCGCAGTCCCAGTCTTCCATGCATCTGCTGCCCCCGTGACGCACATATCGACACTGAAAGCAGGAGCCCCTGCCTATGTGATGCGGCGGTTTGATTTGGAGGAGTATCTCAACACGGTCGAGAAATATGACATTACTGATCTGGCCATGGTGCCGCCTATTGTCATCGCGATCTTAATGTCACCCGTCTCTCAAAACAGGCCTTTCCTTCGCAGAGTTCGCCTAGCAGCCTGTGGTGCAGCCCCTTTAGATAAGGATGTCCAGGCTCGTTTCCGCTCACTCATGGGAGATGACAGCCCTTTTAACCAAGTATGGGGAATGACGGAGACCTCGTGCGTGGCGACCATGATCCGGTTCCCAGAGCACGACGACACGGGCTCGGTGGGACGGCTGATTCCGAATCTTGAAGCAAAGTACGTAGCCTTATGCCCTGTTCTATGGTGACTCAGAGAATACTGACCAAATGGCTCGTTCAGGCTTATCGACGACGATGGAAACAATATCTCGGCTTACGGGGTTCGTGGAGAGCTCTGCGTGCGTGGGCCTACCGTAACACCTGGATACTTCAAGAATCCCGAGGCCAATGCGCAATCCTTCGATGCGGATGGATGGTTCAAGACCGGTGACATTGCCTATTGTGATCAATCTACCCGAAAATGGTATATTGTGGACAGGAAGAAGGAGTTGATTAAAGTCCGCGGATTCCAAGTTGCACCGCCCGAACTAGAGGCGGTACTCCTCTCACACCCGCAGATCATCGATGCTGCCGTGATTGGCATTACATTCCCAGGAGCCGATACGGAGTACCCTCGAGCATATGTTGTCCGACGCCCCGGCAGCGAAGGTCAAAAGCTCACCGAGCAAGAGGTTCAGAAATATGTCCTGACACGACTTGCACGGTTCAAGGCGCTGACGGGTGGTGTCAAATTTGTTGGATCTATTGCTAGAAATCCCAGTGGAAAGATTCTGAAGCGTGTCATCAGAGAAGAAGCAAAACGAGAGATTGAGGCTGGCCAGATCAAGCCGCACTTATGAGTTCCCGGGGCCTTGCCGTTGTCGGTTGAGATGCAGATACATTTTTGCCGAGAGAACTGTTCTTATTGAGTGCGTTTCTTTGTTTGTGGTCGATATAAATTAATACCTAAAATACAAGAAATATTCTGCTTTCTGTTGTAGATGGGAGATACAGTCCATGCTTAAGAGTTATATCGCGCGGCATGTAAGGAAGCAAACGAATTTAGATGCGTCATGGAGAGAGTCCATTGACTGGGAATAGTCCACCAATAGTTATGCCCGATTAATCATCGATGGACCTCTATTTATTGACTAAATCGCTTTGAAGCCTCCTGGTCGGAAGAATAGATCAAGTTTCAGACCGTCTGAAGACAGCAAATATCGAAGACCTCAGGGAACTCCCGCTCCTTCGAGTAGACTCTTCCAGCCTGCCAATTAGAAGCCGCTCGTTGTACTTGCTTAAAATCCCCATGCGGTGATACTTTTTAAACTTCTTGGTTGCGTCTTGGCCTGCTACACCTAGCAAAACTGTCGCATACATGAGATTTAGTGAACCGGGTATCTGCGATCTTTCGGGCTCCAGGCGACTTACTCTTGGAACCACCAGGGTGATCTTGCAGGAATTGACTCAAGTCATAAACATCACGCTCAATGATGACCCAGACATCACCGTCTTGAGTGTGTTGGGCGACCTCATCCCGTGAGTACATCCTTTTTTCCGTGTCGCTAAGATGTTGCGACTCGATTGACGTTTGCATTTTGCCTACCAAAGGGGCTCATTTAATTTGAACTGATATTTATGAGCTTCGCGGTCTAAAAAAAAACCTGACATTGGGGTGGGCTCCCCGCAATGCCTTTTACCCTTCTGCGGCACATGAACTGTCCAGGAGCCGCGGTCTACAAGGGACCAAAGCGGGCCGAGTAAAAAATAATTGCTTATTCTACACGCATTCAGCCGGAATAGTCGAACTATCATGATGAGAATTGACATTATCTTGTGAGAAGCCTTACCGGAGAACGAAGATCAAATCAAGTGGCTCTAATTACCTTGAACCTGTTATTCTACATGCCCGCTACATGGAATACGGCATCAGGCATTGAAAATTTTCACATTCTGAGTTCTTGTGTTTCAATTTCTGATTGCCTGTTATACAAGAGCTCTTAGTGATCGAGCAACGGCAGATGTATCGCTGGAGCTGGAAACATCCCCCAGAATCTGGGTGATGTTTTGCAAGATTTTTCCCAACGTAGAGTCAGTGTCGTTTAGTAATCCTTGTAGGGTACCCCCAAGACTTCAAGAATTGGCACTCGAGTGACGAGAGTAAGGTTGTTAAGGACTTGTTCGTAGTACTTGATGTGAACTCCGTTATAGATGGTGGAGTTGCCAGAGGCCGAGAGCTCGAGATTGCCATCCACTAAGGCGGCCTTTTGGACAGCCAAGATCTCCGAAAGGTTCTCTAAAACTGTAGAAATCTCGATACGTCCTCTCAAGGAGACAGTGTTGTTCCCGGGCTTAAGAATAACATTCAAAATGGTTGCTTGGCCGATAATCAAATCCGCGCTCATCAAGTTTAAGGTCACATTGCCCTGTATTTGAAGTCAGTAGTGCGAAAGTAAAAACAGAAAAAGGCGTAGAGCCTTCATGTGGATCATACCAATGCGAATGTAAAGACAGAATGATTTGGTAAGTTCGCCTCTCCTACCAAGTTGGTACCGTCTGCCTCTTTGGGAATTAGGACTCGCGCAGAGTCTATTGAGAATCCACTCAGCTTATCGAGCCCTGCGGCATCAAAAATATCAGCGCGTAAGTCATCCAAAGAATAGTGAAAGAGAGGTATACCATTCAGCTCAATGTCCTTATCAAGTGTCAAAGGGGCTTTGAGGGCGCCGAGGTGGCCAACCGTTGATCCCTTGGCCGACATTGTGAATCGTTTGTTATACACAGCTTGCGTGAGAGTCTTAATAAATTGATCCTCGTTCAAGATATCCGTATTATTTTGTGTCACCGTCATGTTTGTGTCTCCTTTGAGGCTATATGATGGTAGATTAACAACCAGATATGGCTGCATTGGCTGGACATCTCGATTGAAGAGACTCAGGCTAAGGGGATCGGTACGAATCCGAAGCCCCATAGGGACATTCAAAGATGTATCAAGAGTAAATGACACTTGGTTGGCTTTTGGATCAAGGATTTGGGCTGAATGGACCGGAAGATTTGTGTCGTCAACGATCCGCTGGGCAATTGCTGGGACTGCAACTAGGAAGCTAGATAGGAGAAAGTGTCAATTCGTGACAATCAAGCAGCGAACGGATCGATATATCGCCATGGAGACCTACAACACCGGTAGGAATATGGCCAGGAAAATTATAGCCGCCACGAGATAGCAACACCAGAACCGGCGCCAATGCTTTTGGACATTTGCTCGAAAACTTTTCAGACTTGGAGGACTCTTGGATTTTTCCAGTGCCCCAAGACTTTCAACATGCTTCATATCGTCACCGAGGGCCTCTGGTGCCTGTTTTGATCCGAGATTTCTGTTACTTCCAATCACAAATCTACCGTCTTCTTTACTGTAATGCATATTGGAATGTATGTAGGAACGAATTTTGAGCAGCAGTAGGATAAATTTCCGTCATGACCAACATGATTCCTAGCATCAACAGTGCGGCCTTTTATAATATAATGACGAGCTCACTAGGGATCTCATCATGTATGACCAACTTCAACTCACCCCGCGTCGCACATAGCCAAGAAAATATAGCGCTTTGATACAAAGATATCAAAAATCCGGGGAAAATGGGTCAGTTCCCCAGGTTTGGACCGCCCTATGGTACTTGCCCCACCCTTGAAGATCGGCCAAAGATATATTTTTATTGCATGTGCTACAATTTCCGCGGCATAGCGGTCCGCGGTACACGAACTAGTCTTTGGTTCGTGATGGGGGGACAAGTGAACTAAAATTGTCCCTGTGATCAACCTTAAATCTGACCTCCGTCCGGTCCGCGGCAGACGTTCCCGCACAGGGCCCCTTGACAAATCATATGATATGACATATGAACATCATTCATTTACGATGCCCGTGGAAAGCTATGACTAGATATAAACGATTAATCGGGGTATTGACTGCTTTAAAACTATAAAAGCACTTTTGAAATACCTGTTTCAACTAATCTCACTTCAAACCTGGATCGAGCTACCTTGACTCGGTTCATAACCTTTCAAAGATAAACTTCGCCGACGACAACCCTTCTATATCGAGATTATTCAAAGAATGAGTGAAAAGCAAACGGGATGCTCCCCGGAGAGCGTAATCTCCTCGGAGACACACCCCTATGGCCCGAATGATAAGGTCAAAGAAGGCCTTGTCGGGCAAAATGTGTTGGACCAGCTTGAGCAACCAGTTCAAATCCAGAAGGTTGTTCAAGAGGCAATCCTCCTTGCTGGCGGGGCTGCTGCAATTTTATTGCAAGTTGCAGAACCAGGTGTTGGAAAGGGTGTGGACGAGCATAGCAACTTTGCGTACAGGCCCATGGATCGTCTGCGAACCACAATGACCTATGTGTATTGCATGGCTTTTGGGTCTCGAAGTGAAAAAGAGGCTGTCATCGCGATGGTCCACCGTGCACACGCCGTTGTAAAAGGGCCAGACTACTCCGCCGACGATCCCAATCTTCAACTCTGGGTTGCCGCTACTCTTTACGCGGTCGGCATCGAACTGTATCAACAAATGTTTGGCCGAATGACAGAGGAAGATGCGGAAAGTATCTACCGAGAGTATTCCGTCCTCGCGGTATCACTTCGCGTCAGACCGGGAATGTGGCCGGTGTCACGGAGAGCATTCTGGGAGTACTGGGACCATCAAGTCGAGACTATGCATATCACTGAAAATGCACAAAGAGTTGTGAAGGATCTTCTCTGGAACAAGGAGTTGCCGCTCCATATTCGGTTTCTTCTTCCTCTGGTTCGCTTGACCACAGCCGAGATGCTACCTAAGCGAATCAGAGAGGCCTACGGCCTGAAATCTACAAAGCTTCGACGAGGTGTGTACCGTGTGACTCTTGGATTCACCAAGGCGACTTATCCTTGCCTGCCAAAAGCAATTCGGACTTATCCGATGCGTTACTACTTGACGGATATGCGGCGTCGACTGAAGAATATATCCTAAATAACAGGTCCGCTTTGAACCACGTTACGAAATTCATGCCTAACAATTACTGTATTACAATTTTTGATTTGCCTCAGTGAGCTGTGAAATTCTTGGGAGCTCTATGGATGGTTGCTGGATAGAAACAACTATGAAATTTTATTGTGCATACTTCAATATAATCTAAATTTAACCGAAGCTAAGCTTGTAGTTTTCCTCATTTTAAATATATCCACCAAGCTCAATTTAATCCGAGGCGACAAGTGAACTCCCTCCAAAATTCCTTGGTGACCAATCCCTTCCACTGCAAGTGGAGAGGGTCAGTTCCCCGTGCCCAATGTGGGAGTGGAGCATGTGGATTCAACCGAGTTCCGCGGCAACCCCTCCAAATGCGGGGAACCCTGCACAGTGGCGGTTTTTGAGAGCTCAAGAAGACCACACCTTCTACATGGAAGAAACACTACCGCTACTTGGAATGGAGTTGGAATATGCAAATACAGCGAGGCTGCAGTCTAAATTAGACGCTTTTAATCACTGAACCCTAATACTTGCACCTGGCCTGAGGATTCCCTAGATGTTGTTGATCTTGCCAAAATGTAAGATCGAGAAACCTAAAGCAAGCACAAGAGGACCACATTTTAGCCGTAAATCCACTGTCCCACACGCAAACTTAACAACCTGGCGTGTTTTCATAGAAAACATGATTCAAGTATCACCCTGGAATACAAAACATGAATTCCGTTGATTAGGTAGTCGCAAGAGAGTTTGTCAACTTCAACGACCCTTAAATCGTATCTCGTATCAATTATCTGAGAATGAATATGTGAAGTTGACGAGCTTATCCAGCCTCCGCATGATTCATGAGGCCCACACAGACCCACTGTTTGCGAATTAGTAGGGCATGAGCTCTAACTAGGCGTGTCGCTTACACTGACGGCTCGGTCTCTTAGCTCGCAGCTTCATATAACCGCTCTAGTGGGGCATTCGCGACGATTACCACTGACCTCAACATCTCGACTTCGGGACAAATACTTTTCATGCCATAGTAGTGAGAGAAAGCCATCTTCATGTTAAGAAGGACCAGAAGAGCGCCCACAGCTTGCTTGTGGTGCCATCACCGCAAGGTGCGATGCGATGCCTCCATACTGGGTTGTCCGTGCACACGCTGTCGTCAGGACGGTCGCAGCGATTGCGTTTTACGAAGGAAGTTACCAAAACAGCATGTACCTTTCCATTCCACATGATGAATAGAAAGAAAGCCTAACTTTGGTACAAAGACCGAAAGGTCACTCGCCACTTGACCTGGTTGATATACCTTCCGAGAAGAGAGCTTCGCAACACACCATCAAGAACCCAGAGGGATGTTACCAATCGACAGAAACAATGGGTCCATACGATGTGTTAGACGGAGCAGGAAAGGATGCCAATTCATTCCACCTCGGCGATTATCCATTCCTCATGTCAGATCGCTTATCATCCCTCGAACCCGAAGACCTCACATTTCTCAGTTCCAAAGGCTCCCTAAGCATTCCCAGCCGGGCATACACAAAGGAATTTGTTACACAATATTTCCTTCGAATCCATCCAATCCTTCCCGTTTTGGACGAGATCCAGTTTTGGCATGCGTTTGAAGGGAACTCCACGGAGAAGGTTTCACTTTTTGTCTTCCAAGCTCTTCTATTTGCAAGCTGCCCAGTGAGTACCTAGACACCTTAGAGCTTACAGGTCATCGATTGGGGCTCATGACGACGACAACAGTTCGTTTCATTGGAGATTCTGCAGCGATGCGGGTTTACAGACAAGCGAGACGCGCGGAAGAAGTTATACAACCGATCCAAGGTACTCTTCAATGCCGATTGAACCCCACAAGAAACAATTTCTGAAAACAATTTCCAGCTTCTTTACGAACTCATGGTCGAGACACGGCCATCTGTGAGAGCGCAAGGTGCAATACTCCTCACTCATCACACATCGGCAGAGGCGCCACAGGCGGGTAGCCTATGGTTGACGCGTGCAATTGAAAATGCAATGCTAATTGATACGAAACCTTTGATTACCGTTGAAAATATCTCAATCTCGGCCAAGAAACGATTGTGGTGGTCTATCCTACTTCGAGATCGAAGTCTCTGTATCGGTCTCCGTCGCCAACCCCAGATCGCATCACATAACCTTCATGGTTGTCGTGATTGGTTGAGGGAGGAAGATTTTGAACAGGAGATGCATTGCTCACCAGTCTACGACTTCGATGCGAAAAAAAGGCTCTTCAAGGCCTTGCAAGATCAATGCCGCCTTGCTGTTCTTCTGACCGATCTTGTTTCTCTAGTGTTTACTCCTCGAGTGACTGCGATGGCTTCCTATTCAAAAGAGGCATTTCGATCACTGATGTGCACAGTTGAAGATATAAAGACATCTCTCGTCTCCTGGGAAGCACAATCACAGGCACCGGATATTGCGGATGGCATGGCTGGAAACCATGACCCTGCCCTAACAACAAAGAATCTGACATTCATGTACTACCAGTATGAGCGCATGAGATCCAAGAACTTAGCAAGAAACTGAGTCCTAATAATATGTCTTAGTGCGGCCCGTGTCGACCTCGCCCAATTCGCAGCTCTTGCGATCGAGGAGCATCTTGCCTTGACAACGGATCTCTACAGGGAAGCTGTATTTGGAATTGGAAAAGATTTGAGTTCTGGTATTCGAGGCTTGACGGCTGTCATGGAGTACTTCAGTCACAACGGCCACGTGGAGAATCTGCCTTTGAGCGTGTATGCTTTCCTCAATTCACCCTAACCCTTCTCTTTCCCTCCCACTACGTGATTGGACTCCCCGGTTTTGTGACACTGCGGCTGACATTTTCTATAGACTGGGATATGTTGGGATGCCTCTCATCCTAGCCGCAATTGACCTGAAGCTTTCTCCGTCTGGCGATGAAATGAAGATCCGACAGAGACGCCTGGATTCCTTGAGTAGAATAATACGTCTTTCTGAGTCTCTGTACGATGTCACAGACTTCGTGGCGGCTGGAACCAATCATATACTCCAGTTGGCGTATATGACTACACAAAACTTCTTTCTTCCCAGCGGGCCTCCATCAAGAATGATAAGTGATAGGGTCGAGCAAACCCGGATTGAGAAGCAAGTGGGCCCCGACGTTCCGAATTCGACAAGATCGCGAGATCAAAACCCTATACGTGCGAAATGTTGGCTCGATGCTTTCCTGCGATGCCCGCGCGCATACTTATTGATATCAACGTCTGTGGATTACAGCTTGGCAGTAGGTCGCCTACCCTACGATACATCCCTCCCAGCTTTAGTTCGCGATATTCCGGCAATGGGGGCAATAACGCAGCTTCCCTGGACAATCGATACGAGCTTGGGAAGAGGCACTTCTCTCCATGCGAAGAGACGGGGGCTGTCGCCTCCTTCCGAGTGTGATGGATCAGTCGAATCGACTAAAACGACCTCGGTGGCAAACACGCAAGCCCAAGATAAAAAGTCGATTCGCAAAGATATGGATGTCCAGCATTTTCCAAATCCAATCACAGCAGTCAGAGAATGGGAGCAGAGTCCCACGAACGTGAATCAAAATCCGCAGCTCAGATTTGAAGCGATACTGCCTACCCCAGAACAATCCTACGAGCCCTTGAGCAGTACTGTGAATCTCGACTTCTTGGATTTGGATATGAATTTGGATAACGAGATTGTCACCTGCTATGACTCACCAATTGGGGTATACGATAACTTCTGTTCGTTACCGACAACCCTCGGAAGCGAAAAGAACATCTATCCAGGGAAGGCCGATCGGACAGGCATTGACAGTGACCTAAATACGGGGCTTACCGCTGAAGGTTTGGATTCGATCCTTTACGATCCCTTATTTCACGATTCTTCAGCAGGTGCAGCCTATTTCAATGTATGATATTACACTTTGATGTTCGATTGAATAGGACTTATATGGTTAACGAGAGAGCGAAGAGTAGTAAATTGTCCACGATTGATAACAACGACCGGAAAAATAGCGAGATCGTCCGTGGTAGTCCACCTAGATAATCGCCTGGCGTACTCAAAATATGAAAAGAGATTTAGGGACAGAATGTAACCCAGTCAAATGCGTAGAAAGAAATATAAACACAAACGATGCAAACCATTTCGAACGCAAAAGAAGTTCCAACATATTCAAGTACTACCCAAATAATCACACGGATTGGGTAAGGGTAAATACAGATTCTAGAGGCAAGGCACTGTAGGTATCAATCTGACTTCACATCTGCGCCCCAAGTTACGTTTCCGTTGAAGGCCTTCACATCCACGTTACCCGGTCGATTCACGTCAAAGTCTAGCCGGTCCGGAATTTTCAGCCCTGCCGGAAAATGGTATCTATTGAACCAGACAGACACGCCGTCTCGATACAACCAAGGATCTTCAGTCCTCCGTTGCCATTCCTCCAATAGCGTCCTCATGCTGTCCAGTAACCCGTGATAGCGTGGATCTCCGGCAAGGTTATCGACTTCCAACGGATCATTCTCGAGGTCATATAGCTCTTCTGGCCCACGGAAAAAATAATCTTTCAATTTTCGCTTTCCGAGAAAAATTTCCTTGTCGCCCGAATTACGAACATCTTCCCATGACAGTGATCCGTAGATGTCAGACGCGAAGGGGAAATCCAGTCTCCATGCCAGATTTCTGTGGTATTTGTAACGCCTGTCACGAATGAAGCGGGTAGGCCAATAATTGGTTACTTCATGAAATGTATGAGATCCAAAGACCCGGTCAAACCTCGTATCATCTGATGTCGAGCCCAAATTTTGCAGGAGAGATTGACCGATTCGCTTTTGAGCTGGATCCACTTTTGCCGGATGGCCCACGAAATCCAAAATTGTGGGAAGAATATCGATATAAGAGACCATGGCTCGGCTGATTGCTGATTCTTTCTCGGGGTGTTTGACGATGAGAGGCAACTGAACCCCGGAGTCATAGAGTGTGGTCTTTGAATTCATGAATGGGGGGCCATTATCACTCAAGAAGATAACAAGAGTCGAACTTGCGAGACCAGAATCGGCGAGGGCATCTAAAACGAAGCCAACTCCCTGATCGAGACGATGAATAGAGTTATAATACTCTGCTAGCTCCAATCTAGCACCCGGCGAATCGTTCATAAATGAGGGAATTTCCACGTCCTCTGTGGTATATGTCCCTTCGCCAATCCGAGGGTCATATTGGTGCGGATTCCCAAATCCTCCTCTGGTCCGATCGCGATGAGGATCAATGAAACCAATAGTCAAGAAGAAGGGTTTCTTATCTTCTTTGCAATTCTGGAAGAAGGAACGCGCTTGATCGGAAATCACTGCGACATCGCGTGTGTCACTTTCCTCCTTGATCTCCCAAGGATAAATGGATATAGGGCCAACGTGAATCTTGCCGATAATCCCTGTTCTGTGTCCGATCTGGTTCAAAAGCAGAGGAGCAGTCTCAACGTGGTCAAAGGTCACAAAATGATGTCGATGACTCGCTAGGCCATATTGACCATTTTGATGAGTGTGTAGACCTGTGTAGATGACAGAACGACTGCCACTGCAAGATGCGGTGCTCGCAAAGGCATACTCGAAAAGCGTCCCCTGTCCTGCGAGTTTGTCGATATTTGGCGTTTGGATTCCCTTAGCGCCGTAACAGCTCAGTTGCTTCCCCAGGTCGTCAGCGACCATCAACAGAACGTTCTTCTGCCCCGCCATACTATTTGACTGAAATCTGTTCACCAATATACCCTGAAAGAAAAAGATTCAATCCCTAGCCTGAACGTATAATAAACTACAACTACAGATTGAATTAATAATATGCGGTTGCCTGAAATCTATGAGTAAAGCTTTCAAATTTGACTCGTCCAAGAATTCCCACCAATGATCAGGATAGTTCCGGATTGCGTAATTTTTCACGATAAGATGCCTTCTTATACTTGAAAAAATCAGACTATTTCCACAATCAGCCTTGCGTGATTCGAAGATTGGATGATGTAATACGCCAGCGGACCGGTTATGGTAGGCGGCGCTAGGTGCCTCGGGAAGAAATCTCATTTGAGCTGTCCGTAAATCTACCGATATTCACCATATTCTTCACTATAACCGATCAGCGGGGACAGTAGTTTTATTTCGGCGGAAAGGTAAATTTGCAGAAATCTTTCTATACCTCTCCTTAGCGTTACATGAATTTCAACGTATTATTAGACGGAAAAATGATGGCGACTATAGAGTGGACTATGAGCAAACCCTGATAATCAGATACCGTGAAAAGTAGAAGAATCAGACATTAAGCCTTATAATCTCGATTTAGGGTCAAAATAAAAAGAGCTTAGGACCGGATCAAGACCGGCAAAATTCGAGGGCTGAACCATCTGCTATCTGTGCGCCATTCTACCGGTACTGCAGCCATGCGACTCTTCGCACATTTCACGATCATTGGGGTGGCGGCTAGCCAGCTCGTTGGAACAGTTGGGCCTCCCACACCACTCGACGAAAAGACTGTTGAGTGCAATGTCTTGAACTATGGTGCGGTGGCAGATAACTCTACCGATATATCTTTTGCAGTTGAGAAAGCCTTCACAGAATGCGTCCTCCAAAGCCCCGGGAGCCGGTTGATTATTCCAAAGGGCGAATATCTTCTTTCCAGAAGTGTTGTTCTTAGTAATGCAACCAATTGGGCATTTCAGTTGGACGGCTTGATTACGGCAGCATATGATGGGAATTGGACCGTTGATCGCGATCTGATCCTCCAGGGGTTTGCCGGTAGCGATTTGATCAATTCGACGATTAATGGGGAGGGGGATGGGAAGTTCTTGCTGGATGTTCTCGTGATTGTCAATGGTAGGGTTGAAAAGGCTCAAAGGGCTCAAGAGCGTATTAAATTATCCTGGCGTGCGACTGCTCATCTAAATATTCTCTATTTCTAGCCGTCGACTTCGAATTCTACTCATTAACCGGAACTGGCGCTATCCAAGGACAGGGATATCTCTATCGAAATGCCAACAAGTTAGTAACATTCTTCTCGGGGCTAGCGGTCCTAATACTAACGATACCAACTATATAGCACTGAGCGCCCGCGTCTAGTTAGGCTAATTTCACCAACCAACGCTTCAGTCCACGACTTAATCTTGGTCGACAGCCCGAAATTCCACATTGTGCTTGATTTCATGTTGAACGTCGAAGTATACCACTTGACAATACGCGGGGCAAACTTGGGTAGCTACGATGGCATAGACGCGATTGGAAATAATTACTACATTCACGATAATGAGGTTTGTTATCTTACATTTATGCCTCCCTGATGACTTTGAGCCTAAATGCTGTACTGCCAAGTGGCTCCTTGCATACTGACCAAAGGGTTCGCTGTATAGGTAACTAATCGAGATGAGTGTGTCTCGGTTAAAAGCCCATCGCACTTTGTCCTGATAGAGAATCTTGTCTGTAACCAGGCAGGATCAGGAGTCTCTATTGGGAGTTTGAATGTATCCGCAGAGATATCCAATATCGTACGAAACATCGCAATCCATAACTTGAAGGATCCAACAGACTTATATTTTAACAGGAAGCCCGGAACATTAGCATTATTCAAGGAAACAACATAGCCTTCATAAAGACATACCCCGGAGGCTCAGGCTACGTGACAAACATCACGTTCTCCAACTTTCGCTCTCTTTCCAGTCTCTATGGCCTTAATATCAATCAGTACTGGCAGAATACCTTCACGCCAGATACTGGCTCCGTTTCACTGAGTAACCTTGCTTTCCGCAACTTTTCAGGTTCATCATACCTTTCCTCCGTTTTATTAGAGCGATCAGATTTCTTACAACGATAATAGGCTCTGTTGCTGATGGCACAACGAGAGGACCGCTCAATCTGATCGGTAACGATCTGACTTTTGTCACAAATGTTTCTATCGAGGACTTCACTGTCTGGACCGATACTGGGGATCGAATCGTGAATAAAATTAACAATATTTTTGGGTCTGGCGATGATAGCTATGGTACGAACGATGGTATCAAAACACTAAGGGCTTCTGAGTTGCCGTACACTTACACCAGCTCTTATACTGTTACGGCTACCCCCAGTGATTGGTATGCACCGAGCACGCCAACGTGGGCTGCGCCAAGCACTGGCTATGGCAGTAAGTTGACTACCTTCATGTTGAGAAAATTCTCTAACGGATGGCAGCCTCGACTCCCATTCCTGTTTATTCTCCTGCTCCGCTTTGGCGTCCGGGCTCTGTCGACTACAATCTCCATTATTGGGGAAGCTTTTAGTCCGTTCGACTGACTCCGAACGGGTCTACAGATTCTCGAATCATCAAATTTGAAGCAAACTCCATAGAATTTCATCTGGTGCCGTTGGGCTTCATTTTCCCAAGATATTTCTATTCCCAAGCGTAAGATGTATACTATACTTCTGAAAGTTTTAGTTCGCTTCTCTGGAGCATTGTAATAGTGATAGATAGTAATTAGATGCGTCTAGGAGCCCACCTGTTTCCACTGTGATTCTCATATAGTCTCCAGAGGACTGAGAATAATTGATGGGCATGGCAATATTTGTGGAAAACAGCGGGATTTCGATTTTGATTTTAACTAAAGTTTATAAGACATATGATTGTGAATCCATCCCATGCATAGCAATTTGAACTAATATCCCTTGTGTCTTCGGGAAGTAATACCTGGGAACAAGCAAGGATGCAATTTGAACCTCAATTACCCGAGCATGGAGGATCTGCGGCGGCGAAGGAATAGAATTGTCCACCAATCGTTATATTTTATTTCTATTGAAGAGCAATCTAAGCGAATCATACTTTTTACCCAAGTGAAAGGATTTGGTGGGGTTTCAATTGGTATTGATCACACCTGATGCCATCCGCCCTTATATGGCGAAACTGTTACTGGGTAAATACCCCATGGAACAAGGCACTCGATTAGTTGAACGGTGAAAAATATAGCTTCAATGGAAGGCGAACGCCAAATCCTGCGCTGACCTCCTATCTTTCAACGAATTAACCAATTTTCTCATCAGAAATTTGTACAATCGCGTGGGATGGTATCATTGCGTCCCAAGAGCACGAGTTTGGTTTGTATGTCCCGTATTACCTAGTCAATCGTGTAGATTTCATTCTCGAGGCTGTCTGTAGGATATATAGCTGCACCTCGGCGCTCAGTCGTGACAGGCAAAAGCCCCAACTCCATTCAAAACTCTCAGGATGAACACTGAGACCAAATCGGCTGAAGTCACAGTAGGTGGCGATTCGCCAGGTCATAAAGGGGATGCCGATGGTTTGGTGGAACCCTCTCAACAAGGAGAGCAGACATCGCTGCTACGAAGACTTCTTTTCCCTTCGAGCAGGGCCGACAACCCGGACGCAATCGCGACCGTTCGAAGCGTTTTTGACGATCCGTTGCTTGCCAAATACTACCAACCACATCCCGAGTACGAAAACTTTGCCCACTTTGACCCTAGTGTCAGGTGGACCTACCGCGAGGAAACCGCAGTCCGACGCAAAACCGATTGGAAGGTGCTTTTGTGGATCTTGGTGATGTTCTTCGGGCTGAATCTTGATCGAGGAAATTTGTCCAACGCTGCCGCAGATAATCTCCTCGATGATTTGCACCTCACCACCAACGATTACAACAATGCGCAAAACATGTATCGGATTGGATTCCTCATTGCCGAAATCCCGTCCCAAATGATCGGCAAACGACTTGGTCCCGACCGCTGGATACCAATCCAGATCATTCTGTGGAGTTTAGCATCCGGTGGTCAATTCTTCATGCAGAACCGGGCTGGTTTCTTTGCGTGTCGCTTCTTTATTGGTCTATTCATGGGTGGATTCATTCCTGACTCCATCCTTTACTTATCCTATTTCTACACCAAGTCAGAGATGCCATTCCGGCTCGCACTGTTCTGGTTCGTCGACTCTATGTCTGGAGTGATTGCCTCTTTTATTGCATACGGCGTCCTGCACATGAGAGGCGTTGACGGCCGGGAAGGGTGGAGATGGCTTTTTCTCATTGAGGCACTTATCAGCATTGTTATCGGCTTCTTGAGCTTTCTCTTCCTTGTGCCTGGCCCTACACAAACTAAGACATGGTGGAATCCGAAGGGGTACTTCTCAGAAAAGGAAGAGAGGATCATTGTTAATCGTGTGCTTCGGGATGACCCGTCCAAGGGGGATATGCATAACCGCCAAGGGCTGTCACTGAAAATGCTCTGGCAGAGTCTGAAAGACTATGATCTTTGGCCCATATATGCAATTGGTTTATTGTTCGAAATTCCAACAGCGCCACCGAAGACATACCTTACACTCTCACTGAAGGCCATCGGGTTTAGCACATTCCAGACCACGTTACTCTCGATTCCGGTGACTGTTTTCGCGTCCATCAATCTTCTCCTTGTCACGGAGCTGACGGAGCGGTTCCATCAAATCTCTATCATTGGTCTCTTTACTCAACTATGGTCTCTGCCATTGCTTATCGTTCTATACACCTCTTCCGGAGCTTTATCTAATTGGGGCTTGTATGCGGTAACATTTGTCTTACTCGGTTGGCCCTCGCCACATGCGGCACACGTTGGGTGGTGTTCACGTTTGAGCAATACGGTTCGAACCCGGACCGTGAGTGCTGCATTATACAACATCACCATCCAACTTTCGGGTATCGCATCATCAAATATATATCGCGCCGATGACAAACCCCTCTACCGACGTGGTAATAAACAGCTTATCGCCATCAATGTTGCTACTGTTGTGTTGTATGCTCTGGCAAAAGCGTACTACGTGCGCAGGAATCAATGGAAAAAGGCTCACTGGGAAAAGCTGAGCCCTGAGGAAAAGGCTGCTTATTTGGAGACTACCACCGATCGAGGCAATAAACGATTGGACTTTTTATTTGATCACTAGTATCGCAATATGCAAAAAACTGCGGTCAGGTGCGGATGTCTGCTTGGGAGAAGAACCTCATGTTGATCAGTTAGTGGAAGACGGCCTAGGCATAAAGGTTCGTGGCTTCTATGGATTGTCACGGTGGGACATCAACGCCTATCACTTTGCCTACTTTTGATTATGTTAACATACAACCGCGTCTTAGGATTGGTCTAGTAGACCTGTTTCCGATTGTGAGTCGGTACCTGTTTTGCCATATATATGGTGTAGTTCCTAATTTCAGTGTCTGTCTTGTTTTGTCCTCTTATATTCTGTCATTTTATAGCTTTCCCCCCGGCCACCTATAATTATATGTTACTGACATAAGAGAAGCGACATAACTCTCTTAGAAAAAGCTCGAAGTAAGAACCCAGCAAGTTCAGTGAATAGATTATAAGCAGTAGCATCGTTATGAACCGAAGAAGTTCGCTCTCATGACTTTTTCTATCGCCTCATATGGCTCTCTAATAGATTTACAAATGCTTTGCATGAATCCACCCGCAATGAGGGCGTCGAGCTGTCTCTGATGGCTTGTATTCTGTGAGATTGCCTCATCAACTGTGTGAATTTCGGCCACGTCACCTTTAAAATATTGTAGGAACCTACTGTGGAGTAAATGTCTGATCGTGTGTTTCCAGAATTTGCTCAGGTTACCTTTAAAGCAGTCCGAGGAAATGCATTGGTTACTGCGAGTAAATGCATATTGTATTTGGAACATTGTAAAGTACCTTTGGCGCCTCAATCTGATAATAAGTGAGTCACATCAAAATTTAATCATGTAGCATCCTCTGTCATAATAATCAATTTGTTAATGACATCAAACTGATCGAATGAATAAATTTCACTTGTAGGGTTCCCACATCCTGAAAAGGTAATATGGTGGAAGCTATTGCCGATAGAAACCGGCCCTTCTCTGGCCGTAGTAGCCGCGTCATAAAACATTAGTATGTTAGCAAACTATGTGATATTGTGTAAATAATTGCAAGGAAGCCTATTTAAAGTTAAAACTTAGATGGTGTTTCATCATGATGTAAGTATTATGCTGTAGGTATTATCTCGTGGCTGCGGTGATGTTGAATACGTGAGAATTTCCCTTGCTTAGGCGAGATACACCTTGAAAAAACTTCAATGACGTGAATCTGCCGCCGCGCGCTTATTTCAATGCTTGAGTGCCGCTATGAAGGAGGGTTAAGAGTAATTAAATTAATACGTCAGACCCGGATATAGTGCCGGAACATTGTTTATCAAATGACATTCTTTCTATAATAAGGCCCCCTTTTTGCTCCGTACATGAATTACGGTGAAGTATATTCTTGTTCCCGAAAGAAATAGACAAGAGCTATTTTCATATACTGGTCCTTCCAACCTGCCTAGGTACGGGATATCACAATCCCAATGAATTTATATGGGGATAAATGCACAATGTGACGTAATACACCCACCTAAGCAGTCGCGAATACTAGAGCTACCTCGCTACTAGAAGTTTCAAGGCGGAAGATAATAGGCCATGAATATTTCTAAAAGGCTAGCGCCATTTTCTTTATCTTTCTATCGGCTTCGCATACCTACCACCTGAGTATTCTGGCCTTAACGTTAGGTTAAATAGATTGCGCTCGCACGAGAGACCGTAAAGGACCTCATGGATATATCATTTTTTCGTAATTATCTCCGTCATCATCTTATTCTCATTAGCCAATTACTATCTAGTCCGGGCTTATAGATATGGCTGGCCTGTTATAAAAAGCGCGGGTACTTTTAACTTAGCGAGAAATAATATCTGCCACTAAACTTGAGCCCTGCAGAGCCCGAAGAATGAAAGTGCCCACACTTCAAACATTAGTCCCCGTAAATATTATTTCTGACCGAAGGTTTACTTTCATACGAGAGTGCAACTATGAAATTAAGTTAAGTGTACCTAGAGGACTTCCATTATGTCATGTAAACCGAAAGCTTCCTTCCGATGACCGAAGTCTGACTTTCATAAATCCGAAAGAAACTATGGAAAAAGCTAAAGCCTTTATCATGAGACATGGATAAAAAAGAGTTGATTCCTGGATCTCACTTCGTGTATTTTTCAGTGGCTCGAACATCACTTAATATCTGAACATATCATGCTACATGCAGATTCCCTATGCCTGATTTCATATACTTTGTGTTCGAAGGAAATAAAGAGCGGCGCTTCAAGATTCGTCCTGAAGTTTTCAACAGTACTTTTCTCTATTCGTTATGTGATGCCCACAGGCCTAATATATTATTCTTACTCTTCTTTCTCGAAAGGTACCAGAAAGGCAGGTTCAAGTCAGCCATACTAGAGAGGACCATTGTTCGACAGTGGTCTAGATTGCTGCATTTATGGCATGTGATTTATTGCCAGGGTCTGGAAAAGGTTCTATGTTGTGTGTGTCGCTAAAAAATAAGGCGCCACCTATGACGGGTTTGACTTTAGGTTCGGATTGCCCACAGCTTCAGGGTCCGGATATGATAGCCTAAAAATATCTCATTGATTCGGTGCTAGCCTATGGCTTATGATCTGTTGTATAGAGATGAATGACTATAGTTATGTATCTCTTTCTCAATATCGCCATAGCATCATAGACCTACCAGTGTCATCAAAATATTTCAATTCAAGTGTGCTCCCCAGGTCTCGAGTCACTTTTCCCGTAACCCCGCAGTGAGATCCCCCCTCCTCCGCTTTCACAAACACGAGCTAGATACGAGATGGCGTTGTGACACCTCCCAACCACGCATGCGATGTCTCACCTGTTCGCGACTTCTTCAAACTTATCAGATTCATGTCGAAAGGTGTCTCAAAGCACCCATCAACGGATTGTTTGCTATTGGTACATAATCTCTGGCCCGGCTTGAGTTTAAACTCCAGAGTCGCCTGATGCACTCGAATAATCGGCAATGGAATTTAAGTTCAGGTAAAAACTTCCTATTGGAAACCTGCTCATATCCACAAGGTTGGTACCACGGCATGGTTTGTCATGTTTTACTTGCTGGAATTGACCCGCCGATTCGACCTCTAATGTTGTTATGTCTGCACCCAAATCGTTCGTGGTCGATATACAGACCGTCACATTATAAATACGTCCCCAACCTCTATCTGGGAAGGCGAAATTAGATGGCCGTAGCATGCCTTTTAACCCAGACTTGAAAAAATATTTGATTGTGATACAATGCGTCTCGGGCGATTTCTCTTGGGGCTTTGCCTTGCCCTTACGGTCTCGCTCGCTGCCCATGATCATGATCATGATCATGACCACGACGACGATCATGACCATGGCCATGGCCACTGCCGACCACCCAAATCTACCACTCCCCTGTCTGTTCCGTGTATTGTTGGGGGATCACCTTGCCCATTCGGCTCCCAATGCACGCAGACAATGACTTGTCACGGGCTCTGTATATCGGTCCCTACTCTTCCTCCTCAAATTCCATGCACGGTCGGTGCTTCGACAGGTTGTTCAACAGGCTCAACCTGTACTCCAACTATGAGTTGTCCTCCGGCTGGTGGCGGGTTCTGTGGCGGCGCTTGCATCTCTGTTCCAACTTCAACTCCGTTGGTGCCATGCACAATGGGCGGTGCTTGCCCTACTGGGTCGACCTGTACTCCGACTGTGGCTTGCCCCACTCCATCAAGTTGTGGTGGGCTCTGTATCGCGACCCCAACAAATCTGCCGAGTATTCCTTGCATATTGGGAGCATTAAATGCCTGTCCCACAGGCCAGATCTGTACACAGACAGAGACATGCAGCGGACTCTGCATCACTACAGCGGTACCAACCCCGACCGCTACTTCCTGAAACAGATGATCATGTAGAGAGCTAAGTGAGAGGAAAGCGATATGATTAAATACGATGGCCTGCACCGGTATTAACTTAACAACAATTTGTATTTAGCGGGTGGAAGTGAAAGTTAAACATCTAAGCTTTGTTACTCGAGGTCTATTTTCCCACTCTGTTATCAATATATCCGCGGATAGAATATTGACGGAAAAAAGGCTACAAAATGTGACCTAAATTGCGATAGTGTCTATCGATTTCTCCATAATAAATAGTACACACTAAAAGTATGCTAATATAGAATACACCTTAAAACATATCATTGGCATTGCAAGCCTCTCTGTAGGCAGTTATTGCAGTCGCTTGGCTATATGCTTATCTCCCGAACTACGTCACAGGATGGATGAGCGTACCAGCACGTATCGAAATGAAACATATACTTTAAATCTGAGCGCCCAGAATTGCACAGTGGACTTTTCGTCTCTTATAGCTGAGATGGAGGTTTGACGACAGCGTATATGCCTCAGCCTTGCTTGTCACCGCGATGATGATGAGCATAAACTCCTACAAGGTCCCTGCTAGTTCCCAAAAATCTTGATATTGAGCTATGATCTATGTCCAGTCGCGGAGTGACAATCCCCAGGAAGCTAATTTAGCCAGCTGATAGACAGGAGTTACCCCTACAAAATGTTTCTCAAACATGACGTCACTATATCTTAACCCGCTGCATCACCTGCCTTCATTATAGCGGAGGCAGAAATTTGCATCGAAGATAATCCAGTCTCAAATTAATTGCAGGTACCGGGAACCAAAGAGCCACCGCCAGAGAGTGAAACGGTTTTCTCATCGAGCCAGGTGTTGGCAGAAGATGATTTGTCGTAAGTAAGAGTATATCCGCCGCTCTTGACATTTGTAACAGATGTGTCAGTGTCGGTGAAATTGTAGACACAAGTATCAGCAGTGAGAGTCCAGGTAGAGGTTGAATCTAAGCTGACTCCGATATAGTAGGTTCCGTATCCAGAGTAAGCAGTCCCAGTCCAGGAGGAAGAGTCGGTCAGGGACCAGCTAATGAGTGACTCATTATAGGCAACCAAGTCACCAGTGAGAGTGCTATCGGACACTATGATATAGGCCTCGGCCGGGGATAGGGCGTTATTGTCAGAATACCCTGCATAGTAGTCAAACTCTTGTGTGACTTGCGAGTAGTTTGCAACGACGAGGATTCCAGACTCGGTTGTAATGACCACATCGTCAAGAGTAGCATCGGCGATGACGTTACCAAACCACAATGCAGGTATATCTTCGTTAAGAAGGTCGATGGTTGATGAGCTAATACTCAGGCTCGCGCCAGAATACCTCTCAGATGAGGAAAAAATGACAAATCCAGCTAGCAAGCCTGCATATAGGGTACTATCCGAGATAGTCGCAGTCTGATCACCATCCATGAAAAGGATAGCGAGTTTTCTGCCCATCCAGTGACATTTGTGGCTGTAATTTCTCCAAGGGCGTAGAAGATACCACTGCCAATACCCGCGGTATGTGCCACAGAGTCTTCAACAGTCACATAGCCAGCCGGGCTATCACCGGCGAACGACGAACAACGGTTTCCACCAGAATAGTGACGTACACCGGTCGCAATAATCGTTCCGTTACCGGATGCATAGAGTCCATGCGCAGCTGGGCCAGAACTATAGAGCCATGCCCCATCAATGTGAACGACAGTCTCAGATCCATAGGCGTAGATATTGGCGGCGCCATTATGGGTCGTCACGTTGATGTCGGTAATATAGGAAATAGATGTATTTTGAATGTTCACTGCCGCGTTTAAGCCCCAAAAGCTAGCCTCCCAAAGATTGGTCGAATACCCGTGCTTCACAATAGTATCATCGGTGAGGTTCACATCCGCGCCAGCTGTGATGATCATCACAGACGTGTCATTGGCAGTGGCGCTCAAAGTCTCGTCATCGATTGAGGTGCTTTCAGAACTTCCCGAGTACTCAACAGTGGCTTCCAAATCTTGCTGCAAATATAAAACAACGGTGATGTCCCAGTCGGCCACAAGAGCGTTATCGGCGGCATCAGCGGTGAGATCCATAGTCAGGCTAGGATCACCTGTCAAAGTTAAGCCATAGCCGAATTGGAGGCATGGCATCAACGAAAGGAGGACTCCGATAGCGACCATAATTGTTTGATTGACTGAGTGGATGATTGTTAAATACCCAGAGCGTGAAATCTGACCGATGGAAACCTGAAGGTTCTTTTAGGGACTTTATAAGGTGTCGAGCGACGAACGGACCATTTATCAGCCCATCATGAATGAAGAGTATGCGAATTACTGAGCTACACCTTCACTAGGCCTCTCTATTCACATGCATGAGAAGAATGGTTTCCAAGTGGAGCCGATTACTGCAAGATGGGGCCGAAAGTAGGTTGTTCACTCGATGTTACTCCCGGGGCCCTGGTTATACGTACACTTCATATATTTTACTTTCTTGGCGCGCCGATGTCTCCAGTACCTAAATATTGAGATATTTTCAAGCATCAGGGAGGAGACATGATGATATGAAGTTAGTGTAACTATCCTTTGGGTTTCTCGCACATTTTGGGCTCGGGGTTGTGGGGGAGGCTTGTATACTAGTTTACCTAGCTACGTGTGGGCCACAACCGATCGTCTACCTACGCTAAGATAACGGATGTCAACAACGACCCCTGCAGGCGAGACGAGGGAAAATGACGGCCCGGATGATGATGCGCAATTCAAACGTGATATTTCTTTTAGAAGGATTTACGGAGGTAAGGAGGGCTAGACGTTTAACAATGGTATCAGTCTTGCGAGTGGGCTCGAATTAAGGTAGGACAAGTAAGCCAGAACCTGGGGGTCGGAACGCTCGATGTGGCCGTTTTGAATTTCTCCCGCACTTGTGTCAACAATATGTTCAAAATGTAAAGATGACTTATCATTACAGGGATTTGAACGGTTGAAAGGGATCATGCCATTATAAATTCATATCTGATGTAGTTCGTTGCGATATGTATGATCATAATTCTAACGAAGAGAAAGATTATTGGCAGGACATGAAGGCTATTTTTCTTGTTCTTAATGTTGTTGCTGGCTATGGTAAGCCGGAATTTGACTCGGACCTCCAGAGCAGACTATACACAGAACGTGGAAAGCACTCCTTTGATCTCTATCCTTTTCCGGTTTCTGTTTCTTCAAGTGCCTTGGGTTACTATCACATAATAGAAATATAGTGCATGGAAATTCTACGGGCAGACGCTCTACCTAGGCTAAATAACAGTAGAACTTATAGAGCTTTACTTTACTTTGATAATAAGGAGTGGATCCCCACGCTGCTGAATAGACATAATGCGCTTCTCAATTAATCCACGTGAATAATTGTTCATTTCTACGGCTAATTATGTATTGGCCTCTTTAACCAGAGCCCTTGATTGAATTTCTGTCGGTATTCTAGCCGCTTAGCTAAATAATGATGGATTGTTTTATCTAGGGATACTGGAATAGAAAAGGAAAACATAGCCGCGAAATTTAGAAGGAACCTTGCGCATTATTTGAAAACCCCGGGAACCCCACTTAAACACAGATATACCGTCTCGTTTTTGGCTAAGGTCAGTGGAGAGATGTAGCAGTAAGACCTGGCCAGAAGGTTATACTATATAGACGAAAACCCCGTTTAGCCACGCAAATACTCAGTGGCCGCTGTGGCTTTTACAGGCCGTACAAATACTGTGCTGTGATGGATTGAATAAGAAATTCTATTCTGAAACAATGCGAGAAACAACCTGGACATCGGAAACTCGAAATATTGCAGCAGGGGAGATAGGAGCCATCGTGAAACTCTTGCTTGAACATTCTGTTGAGGGCCATGATCCATTGATACTCAATAGATTCATAGTCGCGACTTTCAAGATCAATCAAAATAAAACAAATAGGATGGTATTTCTTTTCTTAGTTGCACCATGGTGTCGTCAGCGTGGCGTTCTTGGTGAAGCTTTCGGACTGAGGGACCACATGGGATTTCTAAACTTAATATATAGTGGATCTGCCAGGAGAAAAGCTCTTTAAATACAGTTCTGGATTGGTTCAATCGCAGACCGGTAAGAACAGGCGCCCAGTGCGGCATAAAGGAGTTCTAGGGGGAACAATCCGGTTCTTGACAGAGCCCTCTAGACGAACTAGCAACTCCACCATTGTTTTAGGTATGAGCCAACCATTCCTATGTTGGTTAGCGTAGAGAACCTTCGAGCAGGCTCTCGGCATTCGTATTGCTCTGTGACTGTCTGTGTAGTGCAATAATAAGCTTGAATATTTCGAGCCTATGTTCGCTTAAAACTATGTACTCCACATTCCGACAGCTTTGAAATATTATTACTGTAGCACTATATACAGTATCCGTAGAAGACCCACATCGCTTACAGTTATACCCACGGTGGTGCGGTCATCACGGTCTTGGGATAGTGACAATTTCAAGTGTTCTAACTGAAGATCTTGCTATGCAATGAAGTCTTTATGCTCGGGGAGAAAGTCACTGTTAGCAGGTCCTACTGTTGAGCCATGGTCCCGTATTTTCTACCAGAAATAGGAAAATAACTCGGCAAGATCTAGGTAGTATGAATCATCTCTTCGGCAGGAGCGAAAGCGTGTAACGCATGCCTTCTTCTTTACAAAAAAAAGGGCAGCGTTTCGGTCGGAATCTTTAATCAAAAAGAATAGCTCAACAACTCAGATATATTTTAAATGAAACGTTATGCTACTTTATAGGTTCGATAGATATCCGCTTCAAAACTATCACAACGGTGCTGGCTGACCCAAATTCATGCGCCTAAATCGGTGCTATCAATTTACTGATGGTGAGCATTTCTCCTCATCTAGACATCCTTGATCCACTACAGCATCTAATGTACAATGATTGCCTACATATTCTGCGGGACTCAACTGACCGGTACGTTTTATTGATACTACCTGTATTTGCGGCCTGTGGTCTAGATCTCAACACTTGGTGTTTATTCACTTTCCTTGCATATATATAAAGGCTCGAAACTAACCTCTCTAAATGAGTATGTGCCATTCCATTCTTTCCTTATACATTCATTCGCTCCGTTACTCTATTTAGCATATTACTAGAGGTATCCTGGCTCGCTACCTAAACATTTACATTCCTTCCTTTCTAATTCATTCCATTCAAAATGCCTCGCCTATCCAGTGTGGTATATGCAGCTGGCTGCATCGCAGGGCTCGTCGGGCAGATATCTGCTCTGCCTGGACGGCCGTCTGTCTCCGTTGGCCTTCGTGGTAGTTCGATCTCTCCTACCACGATTGGCAGCTCATCTACTGCTCCGAGCTCATCAGTCACATCTTGGTCTGCAACGGCTACCGCCACTGAAGCAGCTATTACCATTAGCTCTACCACCTCCATAGTATCGGATGTCTACATCACCGCCACCGCCACAGATGAAAACGCCGTCGTTGTTGAGGCAACTGGCGTTGCTTATCTGACAGATGTCACGATATACAAGACTGGTGACAGCTCCGACGACGACGATTCGTCTTTTACCATCTTAAACGCGGCCGTTGGTGTTAAGACCTACGGTACCCTTTACATGTATAGCAGCACCATCGCCACCGATGGCGGTAGTGCCAATGGGCTTCACACATACGAGGACGGCGCTGATGTCTACCTCTACGATGTCACGGTCTCTGCTTCCGGTGATGGTGCCCACGGCATCTCTACTGCCGGTGGGTATATCTACGGAGAAAACCTTGTCATCACCACTGAGGACCAGCGAGGCTCTGCTATTGCTACAGATAACGGCGGTGGCACTATTGTTGTTGATACGGCCACTGTTTATACCTATGGCAGCAAGTCCGCTCTCGTCTACTCCACTGGTAATATCACCGTCAGCAGTCTCACCGGCTCTGCCTCTGTTGCTCCCGCCTGCGTTATCGATGACTCAAACTCTTTCACTCTTGTTGATCCCGACATCAGCTCTGGTACTGAAGAATACGGTGTGTTCCAAATTGTCTCCACTGGTAGTACCAACAGTGATGTCGCCTATGCCTATGTCACTGGTGGATCCATCGCCGAGATATATGGCACATATGGTCTGATCGACGTTGGGAATATCGAGGCCATTGTTTTCCTTGACGATGTCTCCGTCACTACGGAGTCTCCGAGGATATACTTACCACGGCTCCACTCGTCAAGGACGACTGTGCCGAACCTCACCATTCACCCGAAAGGCCTGCGAAGTAGACTCCTGCCTAAAATGGACCACTTAATACTTACTACTCGAATACTTCTCGTCTTGAAGAGTCTCCTCCCAAGGCTGGCTACCCCGGATCTTGCTATCATAGACACCAGTATATTAAAGACAGCGAAAGTAAGAGTATTCATCCGGAACCGTGCTTTTCTAAAATCGAAACCTTTATCGACCCTTTAATGAGGGGGTGTGCGGTGTCTCTCTGTGGAATACCTAGGAATACGATCACTTAAGAGCTTCATGATGCTACCTCCTCTAGCTCTTGCCACGAGCTATTAATAATGAGTGGTTATACGTGTTCTCGCTACACAAAAAAGTAGCTGGTTAGCACCTAAGACTCTTACGCTGATACTTGCTACTCCCCTGCTATATCTAATCCTGTTTTAAGGATAGAGAAAGCCTTGATTCACGCTATCGGTAACGTAGAGAATCAGGGTTAGGTAACGAATATATTATTCTTAGCGTTTCTGGTATAACTTATACTAGTTACGAGATAAAGCTTAACCGAACCCTTAGTTATCTACCTACCGTTAAAGACCTAAAAACTAGCCTCGTTCTCTTACGAGCCGAATTTAATATTAATCTACGCCTTAGCTTAGTTAAGGAAGTTGTCAACATATGGATGTTGTGGGGTCACATGACGAAAGACCCACTCATATAACCCCTCTCTACATCTAGATCTTCTCTATAAGATCTATCAGATTGATCCTCAACGATCTCGCATTGAATTGCCTACCTAGGCAGGAGACTATTTAACACTCCACTTTCTTACTGTTTCATTTGATCTTTTACTATGTTTCTAAGATATAAATACTGCCATGTTTCCTAGCTAAATTGAATCAAGTTTATCATCCCTTTTGATCTCTCTTCTAGATCGGTGGTACTCTTCCACAATCGTGGTGCTTCTCCTTCATAGAAGCGCGCACGACCGATAGACTCATAACCGTGTATTCAGACACTACATTGAGTATTTACCCACCTTTATGCACACTATCTTCTTGTGTGTATAACCACGACTTTATGGTCACCGCCTAAAGTCCGACAGAAGTTATGAAATATCTTAAACGAACTACTAAATTTAAGCGCGAAAGACTCTAGAACTAGGGATCTAGCCTAGATCTAATCGTCCCTAACGAGTCCTCGGAGTTTATAGCTCAAAAGTGGCCGGACGGGATTCTTGATATAGTACTGATGACTCGACCCTATTGACCTCGACTACTCGGTCGTTTGGTCATGCGTCCTCCCGTTTACACCTGTATAGATTGCTCTGCAGGTTTGATGGTTCTTTCCAGGACTAGCGCTTCTTTGTCTTGTAGACCTATTTAGGTCTTTCTCTTCTTCCTTTTCTTCTTCTTCTCTAGATCCATCTTTATCATTATGTCTAGATAGAGACAATCGATTCAGATCTCCTTTTCCTGCTTCCTTGCGCTGGTGTCGATGACACCATCAAGTACCTATAGATAGGTAGACTATCTAAGTTATATTTAATCCGAAGATTATAGGAGCTCTAGACCTTATAGAGAAGATTTAGGGTCTGCTAATTAAGCTTACTCCTCCACGCGGTAACCTATCGCTTAAAGCTAGTAGTAAGCACGTTCGTTATATCGGATATATAACGCTTCTCTCCGCTATCTTAACGATATATATTCTGGTTATGACTTAGGCTTCGCTTCCTAGAAGGGAAGTGGTATACTCCTCGGCTTTATTCGCCCTAGCCACGATTATTTAAGTTACTATAGTAGGGCCTTTCTACCCGAAGGCACTAAAGGCTCTTTTTTTCGCGAGGGTTATCGAGATAGACCTACTGATTGTCTTAAGCACTAGTGCTACCTATATTGATGGTGTTATCGATACCTACGTAGAGGAAGTAGAAAAGAAGGGGAATCTGAATCGATATCTCTATCTAGACTATGATAAAGATAGATCTAGAGAAGAAGAAGGAAAAGAAGAAGAGAAAGGCCTAAATAGGTCTACAAGATAAAGAATAGCGTCGGTCCTGGAAAGAACCATTAAACCTATAGAGTAATCTATGTAGGTATAAACGGGAGGAAGTATGACTAAACGACTGAGTAGTCAAGGTTAATAGAGTCGAGTTATCATATATCTTCTCCGTGACCTCCTTTGGATTTCTAATCGCGGGAAGGACCCTTTCGACTGGTTAGTTCTTTGAAACGAGTACTCTCTTAGTCACCTTAATCATGGTTAGTCGGTAGGTAGCTACTCTTACTCGCTAAAGAGCCGTCGAATATATTTGTATATAGTTACTGTCGGACTTTAGGCGGTGACCATAAAGTCGTGGTTATACACACAAGACGATAGTGTGCATAAAGGTAAATACTCAATGTAGTGTCTGAATACACGGTTATGAGTCTATCGGTCGTGCGCGCTTCTATGAAGGAGAAGCACCACGATTGTGGAAGAGTACCACCGATCTAGAAGAGAGATCAAAAGGGATGATAAACTTGATTCAATTTAGCTAGGAAACATAGCAGTATTTATATCTTGGAAACATAGTAAAAGATCACATGAGAAAGCATAGAGTATTGGAGTGTTAGATAGTCTCCTGCCTAGGTAGGCAATTCAATGTGAGTATGCAATTCCATGCAAGATCGTTGAGGATCAATTCGATAGATCTTATAAAGAAGAAGATCTAGATATAGAGAGCGGTTATATGAGTGGGTCTTTCGTCATGTGACCCCACAACATCCACATGTTGACAGTTACTTTAGATATTAGCCGCTATTCTTATCGACCAAAAAGTGGAATAGAACGCGAGATTAACGTCCGACTTCTTTAATATAGCGATATCTTTAAGGTTCTCTATAACACCAGAATCCTGGCCGACGGGACCGTTATTAACGGGTCGTCGGATATTAACGAGTCTAGTCTATACTCACTAGTAAATCTAGACCGATAGAGAAATATCCTAAGTCTATAGTGATTACTAGGTCTATTAATAGACCTAGAGTAATAACTCTCCGTCTAAACCGCTTACCTAGCGATAACACTATTAATAGCATTACTACTATGGTTAATAAGGCTAAACTGTCGAAGCCTAAGCTATAGGATCTCGTAGATCGAGTAGTATCCTACTTTATCCCGGTTATACTAGCATTGATAATTATCACCTTCGCTATCTAGGCTATAGTAGGTATTATAATTCGTGGATATAACGGACCCGAAGCTACAATTAAAGTAATTATCTACGCTATCACGGTGCTTATTATATCTTACCTCTACACTATCGGGCTAGCTATTCCTATAGTTATCGTGATATCGAGCGGAGTTACGGCGGAGAAAGGGATTATCTTTAAGTTAGTAGATACTATTGAAGTAGCTTATAAAACTTCTCACGTTATGTTCGATAAAACCGGTACCCTAACTCGGGGCAAGCTTTCTATTATTATAGAGAACTACGATAACGTAGGAAGCCTCTCGCTTCTTCTTAGGCTTATCGAAAACAGTCTATACCCAGTCTCCGTTTCTGTGGCTACCTATCTTAAGGATGCTAGTGTTACGGCTTCTACTATTCCTAAGGCTAAGAGCCTTACTAGTATAGGTGTTAAGACTACCTTTAGTGGCCGGAAACTTCGATTAGGTAATTCTCGCTAGCTGAATTTATCGGAAAATGAACTTATTAAGCCGATACTTATTTAAGTGTACACTATATTCTACTTTGCTATTCACGATGCGTTATAGGTAGTCTATAGTCTCGAAGATAAGCTTCGACCTAACGCTACTAGGACAATTGAGAGCTTACAGAAGCGTGGTATCTCGGTCTATATCGTTTCTGGTGACGACAATGGAGCTATTTAGTCTCTGGCGTCTAAGCTTGATGTTCCTAGCGGTAATATAAGTTCTCAAAGCTCGCCCGCCGACAAGAAGGACTATATTTAGACGCTCCTTAGTACTGGCACAGATCGTGAGGTCCCGGTTATCCTATTCTGTAGCGACGGTACTAATGATGCAGTTACTCTCGCATAGGCTACTTTAGGCGTCCACATGAACGAAGGCACGGATATCGCGCAATCCGCCGCGGATATGGTTATCATGCGGGACTTCCTAGCTAGTATCCGGACCATAATAGAGGCCAGTCTCATTTCTGTCAAGCGCATGAAGTTTAACTTTACATGGAGCTTCGTCTATAAAACCTTTGCAATTCTTCTCGCGGCGCGTGCTGTTATCAATACCAGAATTCCCCCGGCGTTTGCAGGGCTCGGGGAGTTAGTGAGTGTGTTGCCAGTTATTGCTGCTACACTGCTCCTGCGCTGGTGCAAGATCTAGGTATTGACCAACATCATTGCATGAGTGACCAACGGAGGATTCATACTCTCTCACCGATCTCCACATGGTTCCGTTGGTGGTTTGAAAAGTCAGATGCGGTAGCGCCCGTCATGCTTCATTTTGAATCATAGTCGTAGGACGCCGTAATTCTGTCATTATCGTTACTCCATTTACATCAAAGAGGCCCCATCCAAGATATAATCAAGAGAATTCATTTCGTTGTCTATAGGTCCTATCTGATAGATTATTCTCGTTAACCGATAAAGCTTTGATACCGAATCAGTCACAGAGGTTTCACTTCCGCTGTACACAGGCTCGATAGTATACATTCGCCGTATCACGGGCAGGCTTTCCGGCTGAACTATCTTTGATTGAGAATTTAAATTGATCTTTTCTGTGAAGTAAACATAGTCACAACCGTCTCGATTTTCTTTTGCTAATACATTTGGTTTGTTTACGCGGGGTTTGCTCTATGCGGAGTAGCCCCACTCCGAGCTCCGAATATGTGTGGTCCGATCCCGAAACTCATCAGCCTCATTGAGTCCGAAAGCTTACGAATAACAGGGAGCCTAGGTAGCGAATATATAAGATGTTTTCTTCACTGGCTTTTATCTAACAATTTCATCCGTCACTAAAAATCACCTTGAAACTTCCCAATTGAAACATACCACCGAGTTTTGATTTAAGCATAATCACCCTTCGAATGCCTACATCACAGCTGCCTTCTTACTGGGAGGAAGCCAACTTTAAGGCGTCGCTGGAAGATCCAGCGCAGGAATGTCTCCCAGTATATTCTGAAAGCATAAATGCCCAAGTGGCGCCAACCTCGTCTGAACAGTCCTCGCGACTCACGGTCTCCAAGATCAAATCAGCGATTTGGTCCTTCATAAAAGGCAAGCCCTACTTGTTACTCATTGTACACTGAGGGATTGAAGTTTGTTAACTCCATGAGTAGGAGACATATACAAGCACCACCCCGTATTCACGCAAGAGAGATACGTCAACGAGATGATGGAAGCGCAAAAGAAGACTGGTCCATCCCAACAACGAAGAACGACGGGCGTAAAAGGATCAAATTGGGAACCGCAGAAGCATTTAGCAGGAATCGCCCGACCAGTATAAACGCCATAATACGCGTGGGAATTGATTTTAAGATGGGCAGCTGAGGATATTACTGCACTCCGTTCCTTCTGGCGAAGAGCATGCTGGAATATTAAACTAATGAAAAATTGCTGTCATGATAAATTCGGGAAAGCCCCTACGATCTCAATCATAGAACTCTGATGTTGGAATGCTGGACTCTAGCCATAAGTCTCCTTGTAAGCCTACCGACTCGAGCCAAGCCATCCACTCAGGGTCCTGCGCAAGACCATTAAAGTTTTCAGGGCTTGAAACCCTCATGACCTCGTGATAATGCTCCTGTTGATGTGCCGTCACCTCTTCAGAGCTGTCCCGCGGAATGTGCTGTGTATGATTGAGAATCGAGTCAAGACTCTTTGAAAAGATCGACTGGGCCTGCTTGCAGATCTGGTAATTACTCTGCCCAGCCTCCGTCCAAGAACCGCAGCAGGATATTAAAATGCTTATGTCTTGAATTACACCGCTTCGGTTAATTCTTAGTTGTTCTGCAGGATGCTGTTCCTGTCGTAGAAGCTCCAAGACTAGAACACTGGTGCAAGGCATGGCATAGAACACAAGCTGCGACAGTGGTCAGAATTCCAAAGTTATTTTCTTTTCTTTGCTTTTTTTTTCAAGTGACGCTCGAATATCGAAACCTACCGCCCATTCAATATCTGCTCTATGACTGTGCAGTAGATCTCTTCGCCGTGTTGGGAGGAGGACAGTATTGACAATCTCGTGTGCCGTGGTTATCAACCTCTCGCGATTCAACTCGGTCGAACTAGCAAGTATAGTATGCAAAATAAATTCGGTGTAAAGACGCTCTAGCCATAGACTTTGCAGATTTATAGCAATATGAAGCTGACCTGCCCACTGTGACGCTTTGTTGTATTTCATGTGTGATGGAATTGACTGCCAGGTCGACTTCAATTTTCGTAGGACGCGTCTGAGGTTACAATTAGTATATATTTGATTTAATGTTAATTGCTTCGCTTACTGAGCTTTTGCCTCAATATCTGGCGTCACGGGTCCAAGTTTCAGCTCTAGGGCTTCTTCACGAAGCATACAAAGCATTAGCTGTACACGTTGGCGCGAGGCTGGATTTATGACTCGATCTTTACTCCAGCCGTCCGCATCCAAGTTCCCACGAGCCTTTAGAATGCTTTCGGGTGTATCCATAAGAACAGAGTCTGCGAGATCAAGGGGCATCTCGATCACACAAAAGTGGCGACTAAGCTGAACAGGCCTTTCCTCCAATTCACTATCAGTAAAGAGATTTCGTTCGACCGAAGTTCCTAGACCTTACCGTGACGTGAAGGTCGAGCACGCCTTATCATGATCATGCGCCCAAGCGATGGCTCTTTTGCGAGTCTCGGTCATATAGAATGGCATAGAAGTATCATTTTCGACTCCCCTATGGAAACCCAAGGCAAAAAAGACGGACGACATACTACCTATTAGCCGTAAAACATGGTACGAGTCGTCACCAAAGCACCATGTCGCAAATAGGATAGTAAGCATTCGGAACCATAGCGTAAGATCGTTGATAGCGCCTAGATTGTCGCAAAACAATTCGCACTGTATGCAAGCCTGAAAGGCTCGTTGCATTAATGTTTTCCGATCAGATTTCCAAGTCTCATGGGCAGATGAGCTGAATGATTTATCCTTTTCCCCACCGAGAAATATTCCAATTTGTGCGCAGTATATGCCAATCATATCCCAGCGCAAAGCCTGTGCAGATAATGCTGATTCCAATGCCGCTGCCGTAGGAGGAAAGCCTGGATGTGACGATGTTTGCTCGAATATTCTCTGCGACAGAGATCCAAGATCTAGAGCTGGACGATCACTCAACAGACTTTGCATGCTGTTGTGCGTGGCTTTCCACGCCAGCTTGACAAGTGGCGAATAAATACAAAGGTCCATCTCGAGAATTGAGAATTTTTCAAGGGGTTCGCCGATTTCGAAAGCAAGCTCCAGGATATCATCCAATAGTTTTGCCCCTTCCAAGATCCTTTGTTGATTATGCATGGAATTCTGAGGCAGGGCTACACTAGTCTTCGTCAAAGAGGTATATGAGCGTCGTGGGTGGGTAGCATCTGGGTCAGCGAAGGACATCAAATTGCTGTTCATATTAATCAGCTCGTAAGGGTTTGAGCCTGTTTCGGTAGACCTAGGAATCGCTCGCGCACGAAACCTTTCCCGCTCCGATTGGGGTGTGAGCCGTCTTGCCATCGGGGCTGGGTGGTAAAGGCACTGTTCCCCTGACAGCCCGCGTCGCGCACATCTCCCACATACTGGTCGACCATGATCACATCGAAGTTTAGACTTACGGCATGGCTCACACGCAGAAAGTTGGCCGTTTCGTCGGACTCGGTCGGTCATTTTGGATCGTCCTGACGTAGAAGGGGTGAACACCTGGACCTACCTATTCGTTTAAGGTTGGACCGGTGAGGTCCGAGGACCGTTGACTCGGAGCTCAGGCGGTCGGGGGCTAACTCAAGGTATAGGATATGATGATTGGTGGAAAAGGTATCATGGCTAAGCGACTTCCCTTTTAGCCAATCAAGATGAACCTAAAGAGAGTAAGGACAGGCATTATTATGTTTTACTTAAGATAAAAACATAGTAAACGAGGGGATGCGCAGTCGCAGTCTGGCAATAATGAATAATTCGAGGCACGAAAGAGATAGGTAACCGGAGAAGGAGTAAACCCATATAAAACCCCACCGGCACGAACAGGAAGAAGGTATATGATACCTACAAAAGGGCGAGTATTGCGAGTGCAAAAGGTAAAACTGAATGGGATAGAAGAAATGCGACCGTTAAAAAACACAAGAAATAAGCTGAACTGATTATATGGAACAAAGACTAGCAAAAACATGTGTGCAGCTTATATGTATCGTATATGCCCATGTTTATAACCATTTCCTCCTTGTACGAAAGGCCTTTCGCTACCTACAACTTTCTAAGTCGACGAACCAAACTAATTAAATAGTAAATCAAAAAACCAGAGATCGGACTAACCCAAAAAAACAGATACCGATAAAAGGAAAGCAAAGAATGACTGATTACATATCAGCTCATGCAACGTAATTTTCGGCGAACGAGGCCGCCTACTACTATCAAGAATTTCAAAATCGACCATCTCCACCAAAACATATTGATTGTTCTATTACTAAAGATTTTCATATAGACTCAGCTTGTGGCTAATTTCCTAACACTATGTACATCAGTCGAGCGCCTATAAGATGCTTCGTCCGCCGTCTCTTTTAGGTATTTCCACACCCTGTTCTCCTTGTCCTAACTATGCCGCTAAAGTCAAGCTTGACACCCTTTTTGCCTATGCTCCCTACTACGAAATTTAACCCCTAGCCTTTATATTCGACATTTCCACATGGCGCCCATGTCTGTACCTTTAGCTCACCCTAATAAGTACTAGTACTACACTATAACTATCCTTTACGAGGAAACTCGAGCTAGGCTGGCCTGAAAGATCAAATCTAATTCCAGGGTAGAAGTCCTGTCAGTGAGGCAAAGAACAGGCAATAATTCTACCATGTCAAGACTATTCCCTGAGAATCCCTCACGAGATCTCCGTGGAACACTCTATTTACCATGGAGTCTCCCGACGGGAACATCGAGATTCCCCTCTGTTTGATTTGAAACCAAATACCAGGACAACCCAGCAAATGCAAACACGACCCAAACAGAGACACGTATAACAGGAATAGGGGTCATGAACAAGGAACATGCATCTTGCATATCATGTGAGAAGGGGGAACATATGGCCGGGTAACCATCGATACGTCACCACCGATCAAAGGTCGGAGTATCACTGTCAGTAGAGACACTGCCAGTGAAGAAGACATCTTAACTTATCCCATCGGTGATTCAGACATGTATTGTGTGAGTGAAACTTGCCTTGTTGAAAACGAAAGAAAAAGACGCTTATGTTAAGTCACTGCGTAGCCATATTGTGGAGGGAAAGCCGTCCCTACCGATTCTGACGGACGCGAATATCGATGTACTATTTGCAACGGCAACTTTTATAAGGGAGGACATTAGGTGTGTTACAAATACCCTATCATGAGGTAAAATGCGGGATCTAACATGCTTCTACATTTTACATAGCTATGAGTGGAAATGCATAGATTTTTTGGGAAATAAGCATGTCGGGGAAAAGCAATAGCTTGGGCAAAGGCAACAATACAAGTTCCAGAGGTAGCTTTCGACTCTCAAGGAGTTTCTCCCTGACTACCGGAGAGCATGGGCCAAGAGGGATTTTGGAGATTATTCTAAATGACGAATCAACTCTGGAAATCGACTACAATCTCCTGAAATCTGCTGCTGCTAATCGATATCAGGGCCTTGATCTGATCGGCTTTGTCTGGCATCGCCTCGAAGGGAATTTCGTGGATGAAGAGCTCATGATGACCGTCGTTGGGAATGCCGAGCACGGGAGGGCAATTCTGGACCTTCTCTGGCAATGGACCGGCGATCTCCCAATAACCTCTGAAGTTCTTGATTGTTGCGGCCAACGAAGTGGACAACCCCTCGCAGGTGTCTCTTTTGCTAGAATACAATCCCACGGTGGAAATCACCCGGGCCGTCATGAACGCCGTAGCCACCACTGGATAGGTGCGATCTCTTGCCCAACTACAGCAGGGGTGGAGCATAGATGACTTGGCACGATTTATCCAGATTGCAAAGTTTTATGATGCAGCGAAAGCAGGAATCAAGTCGGAGGTCCAGAATCCTCTAGAAGCGGGCGTGAATCCTGATTTACCGAACATTCACGGAGCGACTCCTCTCCGGCAGGCTGCGGCCCGCGGACATGTTACAGTGGTTGAGATCCTCCTCACAACCGGTATGGTCGATGTCAATTCGCCCAATACTGAGCGTCAAAACCCAATATTTTTTCCGGCAGAGCATGGAATAGCTGTTGTAACTAACCTGTTGCTGAAACACGGGGCGAATCTTCATGTGCCAGACGTGAAAGGGAACACGCCAATAGTTATCATTGGCGAGAAAACATAATCAAGGTGATACCTTGTCCATAATGGAGAAATGGAAAGGTAATCAATCTGCACAAGGATGAATGATCAGCACGTCCATGGCGGCAGATTATGATTTCTTAATACGGTAGTGGTACAGTAGCACGCTAATCTAGATTCATGCCGCCTGCCTAGTTGCTAAGGGCATTTAGATCCCCTTGTGTTAACATCCATCAATGAAACCCATCAAAGTATTTATTATGAACAGTAACGCAGAGCCACTCCGTACAAAGTCTTCTCTATAGCACTAGGCATCCTTCATCTTCCGCCCCTCCGAGGATATAGATAGTCGCGCCTTCCACTCCTCCACCAACCCCGCATAATCCCTCGGCTGATGCGGAACAAACAAACCTTCCCACCACGACCCCTTCCTCGCAGTCCTCAAGCCCAAATCCCCAAGCAAGAGATCCAAATATGGCATGACCTCAAAGACAAAGTCCGCAGTCCGCACCCCATGGCCCGCCGGGGAGCGCAGCGAACAGAACTCTGTGTGTAGTGCTGTCTCGCTAATTATTGACTCCTTGTCTTGATGATGATGGTGAAGCTCGGAGCCGTGGTTAAGATAGACGAGCGCCCACAGGGCTTGCACTTCGGCAACCAAGGGTGTGTTGAACGTGGTTACGGTCCCTAGGAAGGCGATGCTATGGTCGTCCCATAGTCTTGGTGGGACAATGAAGCGCGCGAGACGGAAGGGGTGCAGAACGGTTTCACTAGTGTGTATTTGACCTTCCGCATCGTTCGTGTGGTAGGTCCTGCTCTCTGGCCCTGTGTGGAGCATGGGAAGACGCGTGTGTATGTCCTCGCGGGCCTGCCTAATGAGCTCCTGATCAATTGGGTCCGCAGCCCACGGGAAGCCTATCTCGTGTTCGGTTCCATCCGGCAAGAACCGAATACCTGGAGACACTTTCCAGCCTGTGCACAGGATGAGTGCTCTCGTGTCCAGCCTGTCGCCGCCGGTAGACAGAACAACCCTATAAGGCTCTAGCCGCTCAACATCGGCAATATGCACCTTCACCAGTCCCTGCCGGATCAATCTAAAGATATCACCCGGGAAATTGATAATACTGACGGCGGTCCCCATCCAGATAGGATTAAACCAGGGTCTTAGCTTTGCCGTCTCCTCATGGTCGCTGTATCGATTGACCCGAACCATATCCCACTCCAGGCAGGTCCAGAACAGACGCACAATAATACAGCCGAGCCATGTCCCATGTAAGAAGTTGCGTATCGGGTGGCTAACCCACACACAGGGGCTGAACCAGCCCAAGGCACGCACGAGAGGGAGGCTTTCGAGGAGAAGCTTGAAGGGCGAGAACACAGCGGCCGGACTCACCCAGGCAGGCCCAGTCCCTGACGCTCTAATAACCCAGTTGACACGGTGTCCCTTTGATGCGCAGGCGTAGACGGTGTCCCACGCGGATTTGCTTCCGCCGAGTATCGTTATTGGTGTGTGATCGTCGCGGGCACCTTCGTGTTGGTCGCCTGTGTTGTCATTTCTGGGTTTAGCGAAGAGGGTGTCTTGGTAAAGGGCAAATTCTTTTGCGTGGAACAATGGCGCGCCGAAGGATTGCTGACCAGAGAATGTAGGAATACGCGGCTGCGAGGTAAGGCCCGTAGCGAGTATCAGTTTCCGCGTCCGTATAGTATTGCTCTTCTCGTGTCCTAGTTTCTTTGTTGTTGTGCATTTAATGATCCATTCTTTCCCCCTCCATTATCTCCCTCGCAGTATTCCACGCTGTCAACCTTGTAGTTCAACTTAATTCTATCGAGGATCCCGAAGTGGGCAGCGTACGCTTTCAGATATTCATGCATCGCTCTGCCTGACATATGCTCACCGGGTTTAACTAAACTGGGAACGTTGTCCCTCATAGGAAAGTCACTATATTCGTATGATCCCAGTAGGTTATTCGTCCTGAGTTCCGCATATAAGCGTTCCTCAGCCCAGACACCCCCCACTGAAGCGGCGGAATCCAGAACCACCAGATTGACACTGGGATCGAGCGCGAGTGCTGATTTGGCGGCCGCGAGACCGTGCCAACCTGTCGCGATCAATGTTTAATTGTGGTTAGCTGCAGAACCTCCTGATTAACATATAGGGTAAAAGAGTCTAAGGACACGGGAGGGAGGAATTTACCAGCACCAATTATGGCCAGGTCAGCTATTTGCGTTTCCATTATCGTCACTGTACTGGACCTAATCGCTGGGTTTTCACTCCACTTAAAAGGTCCTTAAGTGGTATTCGTTGAAATGAGTACTTTGGTAGCTTCATAGGTAAGTGTCGGTTTGTTATTAAAGAAGAGAGGCAGGGTGTCAGCCATTTCCACTGTCCTTATATATGTGGTACTCGGCTTAAGGCGCCCAGTCCCCAGCCACCAGGGTAGGGTCTCAGCCGTGCTAATGCCTGGCCTAACAGTGACAGCGGCATTGAATACGACGCTAGCAGAACACGGACCGAACGCCAAGGCAGTTAGTATGGTACTTTACGTAAGTTCTGCATTTTGGAGAAGTTGCATGGCCAGCTTCAACACATTCAATAATGTAACTGCCCCTTAGTACAGGCCGTGGTAAACGGTAGAAGGGCGTTTTAATGGGAGACGCTTCTGGCGCCCCGCCTGCCGTCTGTCAGAAAACGTAATTAATGTAAGAATCTGTCAACATATATCCGTATGTGGGTACGATACGCCGTAGTTGCTTAGCGAGTATAGTAAATGCGTGCATAAGCCTCCGCACCAATCAGATAATATATCTGATTGACCGATACGCAATCTACGATGGCGATTATCAACTCTCACGTCAGACAGAAAGATTAATAAGTTTCCTCATACTCTTGCATGCCCCCATAACTATTTCGATAATTGTTAGTCTTTTTCTGTCATGCTCTACTATTTACCTATCTGTCTAATACTGCCGAACCCCCTTTCTTGTGGATCATTAGTATTCCACAATCATCGCTCTTTCATTAGATCGCACGACCCTTTCGATCTTCGAATAAAAAGGAATGAACTATCTCTTCACAATCGTAGATCTACGACTAGATTGCACGACCCCGAACGTGCACGAAGGATTCGTGGACACCTAAGGATTTATGCACGCCGTCTAAATCTGACAGGATCTCATACGTAAAGTTTAGAAAAAATATATACTCACCCTCTAAACTTAGTAGTAATACTATATCCTGGTGTCTCCACGGACCCGGAGAGGGTGAAGCAACGACAAGAATACAACGAACATCTTGAGGAGATACTTCGTGAAGTTGACGGTTAGGTTATGAGCAGCAGTGGCCACAAAAACAATTTACTTCTTTCCCTAATCCCTACCGGTCCTGTAATGCTTAGCATGGGTGATAATTAATGATCTCCCTTATATCAATGTGGCTTTTGGGCTTGCCTGGAAGGAAAGTTTAGTTGAAATTTCTAACGCTGGATAGACTATCAATGACTTCGCACGAAACCTCTTCAATAATGAATAGTACAATATACTATCATCCAGAGGTAGCCCACATTGTAAAGTAGCCGCTGTTTCCTATCACCGCACTAATACTTCTGATTCCCTTTCCCTTGAGTGCCACCTTATTATGCGTCAAGAAGTGCTGGATCCCGTTGCCGTTAGGGCTCCCTAGAAGCGCCCAGAAAGGTTTGGGATGTTGATTGGTATCGCTGGGATACCATGTCTGGACGGAATTGACATCGACGTTGGTAAATGCGTCAAGAAGGATGGACTGGGTGTCCTCGTTGTCGATCTCGCGGCGCCAGAACGACTAGATGCCCGAGTAGTCCGCTTGCAACGGATCTTTTTCCCATTCCGGTTTCTCCGTCAGCAAGGTCCTTTTCCACAGCTCCCAGGCAACTGTCGAGAACTGCCAGGGCACAGGCGGGTCACCACGATTGTTGGCATTGGCCAGAAAGACGCCCTGGCTGACGCTAACGGTGTTGATGAAGTCGGCGATGGGGTCATCCTTGGGGCCTACTATAGAGATGGCCAAGTACTCGCGGTCAGGACTGTATCCTGCATCTTGAAGTATACTTCGGATAGCCCTCACGGGTTGCGCTCGGTGCAGGGATTTGATACTGAAGAAATCATCGAAGTTACACGGGTTGGATGGTCGATGTCGGTAGCGAAGTGTGTGCACAATTTCCAATTGTAGCACCAGTGGTCACAGGAAACAGTGGAAAAGTTGAACTCTGCCCGCAGTCGCACCAAATTGTTGGACTGTACCACGGAGCCCCATCTGCCAGGCAATCAGGGATGGACGTACTCGACTTGATTGTTGTCCTCGAGGGGTTCGAGGAGCTGGCACTTGTTTCTAGAGGAACCGAGGAACTGAGCCCAGTTTTCAATTACGGGCTGCTTGTGATTGATGCAGAGCCCCGGAGGGTACTTACGCCACCAGGCGCAGCTATACCTGATGTGCCAAGAGGGTAGAACATGGGAAAATCCTCCCCGTCGGCCACATTACCCCAACCGCACAGTTTTGTGCAAGCTTCGACATTGGAGGATGTGGTTCTGCCTGTCGCACTACATTCCGAGAATGTCGAGTAGCAAGTGGTGGAACAAGATACGGTCGATATGGGAATTGTTGCTGCGTTACAAATGACACTGCAATCGCTGACTGTGGCTGGCGCGGCGCAAGATGAAGTTGAAGTTGATCGTTCCGAAGGTGGCCGGCTTGAAGACTGGGTGGACTGATTATCCGGGTCCGTTTCTTGAGCAAGGGTTTCAATCTCATTCTGAAGGTCCTCGAGGTTCGATTTGACGTCGTTCACAATGTTGTTCTTGTCATTTTTTGTGATATCATTTACCGAACAAAGGGTGCTATCCAAGAGATCAAACAAGGGCGAGAAGGCGCTGCCGCCGGAGAGGTCCCTCTTTATACGTTTCCTTCTCGTGCTCTTACAACAACTTGAGCTCGGATCGGGTTTGAGCTTGTTCAGGAGGCCCTCAATATCTGGACGAATATTTTCGATAGCATGAATAACACCTGTAGCCTCGGCGGCGTAAGGGTGCTCGACCCAAGAGTTGATTATGCGACTAAGGCCAACAAGCCCGACTGACACGTGGCTAATACTCGACTGGGACACCGCACCTGTTGGTGCGATGGTTCCTAGCGTAGCTGAAGGGGATATAATAGGTCCGCCAGAGATGATCAGAGTAAAGGTAGTCAGACCATTAATAGCAGTTTTAGGCCTGTAACGATGGGCCCAGGGGAAAGAGTATATCCCGATTTGCTAAAAATGTCGGATGAATGGTGCTCCATTCCTCGAGTATCGGAGTTTGAGAAGCTAATAGTGGGTCTGAGAGGAATAGACGGAAGCGGGCTAGCTCCAGGTCCGATAGGTACAGAAGACTCGATTCTACTACCCACGGAAGGAGAAGAGCTTAACAAAGACGGGGGGCTCTAGTAAGCTTCAGGTAAGGTTAAGGATCTAACTCCAGTTTTTTATAGAATCGGCGAGCCCGCGGGAATATGACTAGAAGAGCTAGTTCCTGTGCTAATAAAATTCAGCAAAGTTAACCAGCTCTCACCCGATTCCAAAGGTACAGAGGAGATGTTTCCACTTGACGAATATGAGGATGAGGGCTAGGGTGAAGAGCAGGGTGAAGTCCCTTCCATTGAATTAGCATTCATGGGTCTTAAAAAATAGTGAGTTCTATTACCAGAAGGACTGGCCGAGGATGTACGAAAGTGAAGAAACAGGAAAAGGGTACCGAAGGCCGGAATAAGTGAAGAGAGGATAGCGGTTAACCGAGAGATCGAGTCGATCCCTACCAAAGAATAATGCAAATAAAGTGCTATATATAAAACGACAAAATGCTAGTAGGGTGTATAAGAGTATAAGCGTCTAGTCCGGGCCGCCGGAATTCAGATTTTCCCGTAGCTAATACGGCATCACAGTGTCTAGGGGTAACTTGTGGATGCTAATGTTGAGGTTTACTTATCGAAACTAAACGTTGAAATACTTCTATTACTACCGTTTCTAATAAACCCACACTCTATTAGCTCACTATCTCACCCCTTATAATAAAGTTGTACGGCTCGATATTCTCTTATAAAGAGTTTATGTATATCCACGTAAAAGTGTGATGGGAAAATGGGCCAGAGCGTTGAACTAGTGGACTCGGGCTAGTGAGTTAAATTTACTCTAAGGGAGCATAACCTAGTCACTTTCTGACTTCACTGCCAAAAAATGCTCGCGAAACCTTCGTAAGTCTTAGTGAGTCCTAACGGCTACGTTGCGATCGCTGTTTAAGCAAAGTCTTCAACGCTGTCCAAATCAAACGGATCTTCAAAACTCTCTCTACAGTACTGCCATAGACGCCCCACATTCACTCTTCGTACAGTCTTCCTATCGACCCATCGTAAATTTACTTGATTCTACCTCTAATCTTCACATCACTGCCAATATCATCTTGTACTTAAGCCGTTATCATGAAATCTATCATTTCCCTCGTCGTGCTAGCTAGCGTCTCTTTAGCCCAGAATCCATCATCGGCCTTCCTACTGCTAGCTATACGGTCACCAAAGGCGGTAACGTGACTATCTAGGTTCAACGCCCTGTATGATACGCTTCTGAAACGTGAAAGGCAAAAGCGAAATAAACCTAACGCGTGTATCAGAGCTCCTTGACTGCCTCTGCAGAGATTACTATTATAATTGGGGTTTCCTCCTATGCAACTACTCCGTGTCAGCCCGCAGACGAGGTTATAGGCACCATTCTCTACCAGGGCCCTTTCGACCCGTAGTCCCACGAATCGAGCTAGCCTCCGTATCAGAACTTTACGGTCACGCTTCCTAACTTATTCGTAACTAGTAATGCGTAGATTAATGTTACCCATACGGCGCTTGTCGGAGTAAGTAGAATCTGATATAATGGCACGTACTTTCTAGTGTTTAGTTGCTAATCTATTAATCGAAGGCTAGCCCTTTCCCCTACTTAGAGACTCTGAATAGTACCGTTTTAGTAGTCTAAGAAGTTCGAGAAGCGCTCTTTCTGGCAACGATTCTGACTACGATACAGTGTTCTTAGTCGCATTTTCGTACCTAAGCAAGTTAAACTGTATCTACTACTTAGCAATTATAGTCTCTAAGATCAAACGGAATCCATTTAGTGTGACCGAATAAGTACACTATAGTAACGGAAAACTTTAAAAAAATAGTTCCGCTCTGGAAAGGTATAGCTATGAGGGTTACCGCTTAGGGTTGAGACTCCATACTTGCGATGAAATCAGTTGAATATATAATAGGCTAGTCTGGCCAACTATCTACTAGTTATAGTATAGTACTACTAGCAGCCCAAGATTTTTCGAATAAGAATCTAGTATAACCGCGATAGCGAATTAATTAGTTAGACCCTTAACTATTTATAAGTAGTTTCTGTTGCTTACTCAGTTTGACTTCTTAGAGTAGGTATCTGTTCACAAATTAAAATATCTGAAAAGAACAAGTAGGATGCGACAGTGCTACTTATTTAAATGCGCTAATTAAACCGGTTTAATGACCTATATGTTCTTAAGAGCCTCTACGCGACTTTTAGATCTCAACTTATCTAAGACTTCTTTCCTAGATTACGACTAACGTTGTCTCTTAGGCCCTAAGAATTCATAGGGAGCCTCCCGTCCGCTAGATATCCATAGAATAGCATGCTAGTTAGTCTGCATCAGAGAACTAGGTTGATATATTAGAAACCGAACAAGCGATATAGAAGCGACCATTCCTCTTACCCGTTTTGCGCTTTATTCGACTACCATTTAGAATCTCGACTTTTGCACTAGTATTTTTATAATATTCAAATAAATAAGGCGAATTCTCGGACGCAAGAGCTCGAAGATACTGTTTTAGCTCCCTCCAGAAATCCTTCTCTACCTTACTGGTTTCTTACATTCATCGCGAGATCCGCTTATGATAGCTCATGTGAATAGATTTCCAAGAGACACATTCCTCTCGTGTCTCTACACATTTAATGTTCGCCATCAGGAAAGCCCCGCGTTAATCTAGGCCGCTTATAACGACAACATCATCCTGGTAAGCCGTATGCTAAAGGAATATCGAGGAAATGCTAACGCGATAGATAATAGATCTCGCACGCTTATTTTTCACGCTATTTCGGTTGGAAGTAAGGAAATGATTCGAACCCTTCTAGAAAACGGAGCAGATATTAACTAGTAAGACGGCCGAAATCAGACCCCGCTACTATATACTCTATAGCCGAGACATCTGTCTATAGCGCGCGTTTTGTTACGATATTTCAATCTATTAGTGGAGTGTATGGACTCTATAGGGCGAAATGCTATCTAGTATACTATCGCTAGTTATAATAAGCAATTAGTATAACTTCTCCTAGAACGCTAAAGCGATATATAGATAATAGACTACCGATAAACTACCCCTCTTAGTCTAGCGATTTCTAAACGAAATTTACGTATTATCTAGCTACTACTTAACTATTATCGGATTTTAGGCGGTGACCATAAAGTCGTGGTTATACACACAAGACGATAGTGTGCATAAGGTGGGTAAATACTTAATATAGTGTCTGAATACACGATTATGAGTCTATCGGTCGTACGCACTTCTTATGAAGAAGGAGAAGTACCACGATTATGGAAGAGTACCACCGATCTAGAAGAGAGATCAAAAGGGATAATAAACTTGATTTAATTTAGCCAGGAAACACAGTAGTATTTATATCACAAGAAACATGGTAAAAGATCACATAAAAGATCAAGAGATTAGAGTGTTAAATAGTCTCCTGCCTAAGTAGGTAATTTAATACGAGTATGCAATATAATGATCGTTGAAGATTAATCTGATAGGTTTCACGCAGGAAAACAATGATGTAGTTTAGTTAACGTAATTCACAAGCGAGCCGTACACATAAGCGAGCCGTATACCCTATCCAAAATCGCGTCTTCCTACTAACCTAACTAATCCAACCACCTACCATGCTACTAATTCGCTCTGAATCTCGGCAGAAATCGGCTAATCAAGAGGGCAAGATCTTATTAGCCCTCTCTGATATCGAAAATGGCTGCATCAAATCTATACGCGTAGCAGCGAAGCTATACGAAATACCCTATATAACATTAGCCGACTGCGCAAACGGTATACAGGCACGCGTTGATAAACGCCTAAATAGCTATAAAGTGACCTAATTAGAGGAGGATTTACTAGTTTAATGGATTCTCTCTATAGATACACGTGGAGCAGCGCCTAGGCCTGCTACTGTTAGAGAGATAGCTAATATCCTTCTTGCTACACGCGGAAATAACCCTTCGCCTATAGTAGGCAAGAATTAGCTATCTAACTTCATCAAACGACGCGATAAGCTTCGTATACGCTTCTCGAGACGTTATAACTACTAGCGCGCACTAAACAAAGATCCGAAATCGATTCGACAGTGGTTCGCGACTATACAAAGTGTGATTAACGAGAACGGTATATAACTAGAGGATATCTATAACTTCGATAAGATAGGCTTTGTAATAGGCCTTATATCTTCGCAGAAAGTAGTTATAAGGGCCGAATACTATAGTCGGAGATCTCTTCTATAACTAGGAAATCGCGAATAGGTTACTACGATCGAAGTAATCTACGTAGATAGCTATTTACTACCGCTGTATATAGTCTTTAAAGGTAAAGTAGCTATTATAGGATAGTTTAACGAAAATCTACCGAAAGACTAGCGAATCGAGGTCTTAAAGAATAGCTAGACTACCGATAAGATTAGTCTACGCTAGTTATAAAAGTACTTTATACTATATACGAATTCGCGTGTACGTAGGCGATTTCGACTATTAATTCTTAATAGCTATAGTAGCTATCTTATACCCTAATTCGACTAAATCTATACAGAAAACGATATTATACCTCTTTATATACCTACGTATTTATCTTATCTACTATAATTACTAGATATTAGGTATTTTATAGTGGTTAAGCGCGTATACGGTCGCTTTATTAGCGATCTTACGCGTAGAGGATATAACTATATCGATAAGCACGATTTCTTAGTAGATTACTAATATATACGGCTAGAAGCCTTCTAATTAGCTAATCCTACTATTAAGAATAGCTTCGTAGCTAGTGGTCTAGTACTATTAGATACGGAGAGAGTACTTAATAAGCTTAATATCTCTCTACGAATACTAATATCACTAAGTAGCCGTCTAAGTAGTAAATCTAGCTAATTTATACTATAAACGCCTAGAATCGTTACTTAGCTATTTAAGTAAGCTTCTATATTAAAAGATCTACTAAAACGGCGGTTAAATAGCCCTCCGAGCCTATTAAAAGAGATCCTAGACTAGATAATTAAGGGGTTCTAGCTAGCGCTATATAGCGGTGCTTTACTAGCAGAGGATAATACGAATCTACGTATAGCGAATAAGAAGATAATTAAAAAGTGTAGTCGGTTAACTAAGAGGATACCCTACGTAGAGGGTTTAACTATTAAAGAGGCTATATAGCTAGCTAAGTAGCTAAACTAGCTAGAGGAAGATAATAGGGTAGATTCGTATACAGAGATCGAATTACCTATTTAGGTAGATATACCGGTAAAGAGGGCTCCGCCTAGGTATAGTGGGTATAGGGAGATTAGTCACAGGATTAATATATATAAAAATCG